TGACTTGAGCTGTATTTTATTTTAAATTGAGTGAGTTTCTCCATTGGTCAGCCTCAATTCACTCTCACCTCCTCCTTGCCTATCTGTTCCAATGGCAAGACTTAGTCCAGTCACCTCCTGACTTATTTGTTCCAATGGCAAGACCTAGTCCAGTCACCTCCTTGCCTATTTGTTCCAATGGCAAGACTGATTCTAGTCACCTCCTTGCCTATTTGTTCCAATGGCAAGACTTATTCCAGTCACCTCCTTGCCTATTTGTTCCAATGGCAAGACTTATTCTAGTCACCTCCTTGCCTATTTGTTCCAATGGCAAGACTTATTCCAGTTACCTCCTTGCCTATTTGTTCCAATGGCAAGACTTAGTCAAGACAACTGGAACTGGAACAGGATGCAGTATGACCAGCTGTGCTTCTTAAAATATAAACTTCTGTATATTGGACTTAAAAAACAGCCAAAAGTGATAACTATTTTTTAAAGGTGTTTTGTTTCCAAATGGCCTGTTCATTATTTATTTAGTTTGATATATTTTTCTTTCAAAACAAAAAAAATCGGATGGGCAAATGTTTTTGACAAAAGTTAAATTGTTTGAAAGTTGCTGACAAGAGGGAGGGGCATAGACTCATTCATACTGTGACCCCGCCTTTCTTACTTAACCTGTTTTGATAATAGTTTGCAAGATCCTCTTCTATAGTGTTTCCCAAAGTGGTCATCCTGGAGCAATGTTTCTCAAATGGTGGTCCGCGGACTGGCGCCGGTCCGCAAGCCTTATATTGTCGATTCACACAAAATGAGTATGTAAGGTGGAATAAAAAGAAAATTTAATTTTAAAATTTGGCACCGGTCCCTGGTATAATTTCAAAACATGTCCGTTCCGCAAAACTTAAAAGTTTGGGAAGCCCTCCCCAAGAGCCTACTTTCTCAGTCAGCAGTTAGCACACCATGAGTCAAGAAAATTGAGGAGAAAAGATTTTTTTTAAAAAACAACCTTAAACAATAATAATTATTTAACATACCGGGTACTCTTTCACTCACTAGGGCATATAGAATTATAGAATAAAACATGACATCCACTCTTTCACTCACTAGGGACTATAGAGGTAGAGAATAAAACATGAATCCACTCTTTCACTCACTAGGGCATATAGAGTTATAGAATCAAACATGACATCCACTCTTTCACTCACTAGGGCCTATAGAGTTATAGAATAAAACATGACATCCACTCTTTCACTCACTAGGGCCTATAGAGGTATAGAATAAAACATGACATCCACTCTTTCACTCACTAGGGCATATAGAGTTATAGAATCAAACATGACATCCACTCTTTCACTCACTAGGGCCTATAGAGTTATAGAATAAAACATGACATCCACTCTTTCACTCACTAGGGCCTATAGAGGTATAGAATAAAACATGACATCCACTCTTTCACTCACTAGGGCATATAGAGTTATAGAATCAAACATGACATCCACTCTTTCACTCACTAGGGCATATATAGTTATAGAATAACACATGACATCCACTCTTTCACTCACTAGGGCATATAGAGGTATCGAATAAAAAATGACATCCACTCTTTCACTCACTAGGGCATATATAGTTATAGAATAACACATGACATCCACTCTTTCACTCACTAGGGCCTATAGAGTTACAGATGCTGATCGCCAAAGATACTTTTACATTTTTAAAAATTTCAATTAAGCATAATAATAAATGATGTGCTGAACTTCTAGAAATTGTTTTTACAGTTATCTTATCATTTCATTCAACTTACTGTGAAATTGCATTGATTACCAGAGAATTACCTGCTTTATTTCCAGTGCTGCACATCTTTACCAGAACAGTACTTGTAGTATTACCAGTGTTGCACATCTTTACCAGAACAGTACTTGTAGTATTACCAGTGTTGCACATCTTTACCAGAACAGTACTTGTAGTATTACCAGTGTTGCACATCTTTACCAGAACAGTACTTGTAGTATTACCAGTGTTGCACATCTTTACCAGAACAGTACCTGTAGTATTACCAGTGCTGCACATCTTTACCAGAACAGTACTTGTAGTATTACCAGTGCTGCACATCTTTACCAGAGCTGTCTGTGAATTATTACCAGTGTTGCACATCTTTACCAGAACAGTGCCTGTATTACTACCATGGCTGTACATCTTTACCAGAGCAGTGCCTGTATTACTACCATGGCTGTACATCTTTACCAGAGCAGTGCCTGTATTACTACCATGGCTGTACATCTTTACAAGGGCTGCTCCTGTAGTATTAAACTAAACAGGACTACCCATCCCTGCTGCGTTACAGCCCATGTAGGCCTGACTCACCACTTCCTTCCACTCAGACCTAACTGATGTTTTTATTACTATTCTTGGATTCCCAGGTGCTGTAGATCTTTTCCCACATCATCCATCCATCTAAGTCTAAGCCAAGGTCTGCTTTTGAGCCATTTTCCTCTGAGGTTTTAATGGTGCACCCTCTTCAACCTAGGAATGCTTATGTATAATTACCATGGAAACAACAGTATTACCATTGCAACACCAGTATAATTACCATGGCAAAACCTCTATTACCAGGGCAGCACCTGTATTATTTCAAGACAGCAATAGTATTAAGACCAGGACATCACATGTATCATGACCAGGACAGCAGATATATTATGGCCAGGATAGCATATGCATTATTGCCATGACAGCACACGTATTATGACCAGGACAGCACATGTATTATGACCAGCAGCGGTCCTACCACATCACTTGATGACGACTGCTTTAGACAGCTAAGAAGTCCAGGTCCTACCACATCACTTGATGATGACTGCTTTAGACGGCTAAGAAGTCCAGGTCCTACCACATCACTTGATGACGACTGCTTTAGACAGCTAAGAAGTCCAGGTCCTACCACATCACTTGATGACGACTGCTTTAGACAGCTAAGAAGTCCAGGTCCTACCACATCCCTTGATGACGACTGCTTTAGACAGCTAAGAAGTCCAGGTCCTACACATCACTTAATGACGACTGCTTTAGACAGCTAAGAAGTCCAGGTCGTTCCACATCACTTAATGACGACTGCTTTAGACAGCTAAGAAGTCCAGGTCCTACCACATCACTTAATGATGACTGCTTTAGACAGCTAAGAAGTCCAGGTCCTACCACATCACTTGAGGACGACTGTTTTAGACAGCTAACGTGAAGGCATCCTAATGGCAGTAGAACCCCAATTTTCTACAATGGTGTCATTAACATACATTAGAATGAAACAAAGTTTTTCCTATAAATTTTTTAGATGCATTTTATATTATTGTATTTTATAATTAATTTATATTAATGTTCTCATGACCCACCCACTTTTACACAGCAGATTTATTACACCAACTATTTTAGAAAAACTATAACGCACCAAACGCACTTGTTATGCTTTTAAGAATCTCATGGAGTTATCTGGAATTTTATTGAAATCTGTGCCATCATATTTCCTTAGACTTTTCCTTGAAAAACGGGGGAGGGGGGTGTTGAAAATTTGAAAGAATGAATTTCACCGGCAACGAGTCTATGTGCCAAGTTTCAGCTCAATAGGTTGATGAGAAGTGGGTCAATTAGCCCTCCAAAAATTTTTGCCACCCAGCCAGAAAGACATGAACAAAAGCAAAGCTAATATAAAGGATTTTAAAAGTTCCAATATACTAAACGAAGTTGTTTTTTAACTGGTTAACAGCTGGATACTAAAATTTAATGGTTTTATAATGTAATGAATAAATAGCAACAGTCACAGATTAGTACCACAGTGCATTCACACAGACAGTTGCATCCTAGCCAAATACAGTGGAGCCAATCAACTTCTTTATCATGACGTTTAATTTCATACTGGTTAAACTCATTTGTATCTGTTCCCCTCAGATACAAAAGCCATTTTGTTTTTGAAGGTCAAATCCACCGGTCGACGCAGTTTCAGCCCAGTCTACCTTTCAAAAGACCGTGAAAGTAACATCTGGTGCCCAACTACATCAGCAACACTTTTAAGTATGAATGAACCGTGGTCTCCGGAGGCACCAACAAAATAAGATCCTAGCAGGCTGGACAAAATATCTACTGGATTGCAACAAAGATTTATATACATGAATAAATAAATAGTAAGTTATTCTCCTGGATTTTATAACATCATCCTAAGCAATGGGAGAGAAGAAAACAAATAAATAGCATCCAAAGGTCAAACGCCTGGCAAACAAAGCTACTACATTTCTACAAGAAAAGACAACCATATTTTTGTCACTTTTTCGTCATTGTAATGCTTTGGGTTTTTTTTAATATTGACCAGAACAAAATGATTAAAAAGAAAATGTATGATAAAAGTTAAAAAGCATGTATCTGACAGTTCACTGTAACCTCCAAAAGCCAAACTGGTGGAAAATTTGCTTTTTCATGCCGGTGATAAACTCAAGCAAGCTACAGCTTTCCACCACCACTGTCATTTAGGATATTTTAAAAAAATCTTTACATTTGCTCTACTAAATATGTTTCCATTTCACAATTTATACAGTCTTTTTTTTTATCACCCACCTCCAGACACTAAAAATTGTGTATGCATGTCTGTGAGTGTGTGTATGTGGGTCTATATATATATGTGTGTGTGTATGTGGGTCTATATATATGTGTGTGTGAGGGGGGGGGGTGGGGGGGTACTATATGACCAACATTTCAGGAGGTTGATTACTTTGATAGGGTGATTACTTTGATAGGGGAAATCACTTGACGTACATGTCAGACCTAAACTGTGCAATCTATTTACAGTCATGATTGTTTCTCTGCCATATTGTAAATACTGTGCCCTCCATGGCCATTACATGCATTCAACACAACTGTGCCCTCCATGGCCATTACATGCATTCAACACAACTGTGCCCTCCATGGCCATTACATGCATGCAACACAACTGTGCCCTCCATGGCCATTACATGCATGCAACACAACTGTGCCCTCCATGGCCATTACATGCATGCAAGACAACTGTGCCCTCCATGGCCATTACATGCATGCAAGACAACTGTGCCCTCCATGGCCATTACATGCATGCAAGACAACTGTGCCCTCCATGGCCATTACATGCATGCAAGACAACTGCTCCCAAACAAAAGGTTTTGAAAGATTAGTTATCAGCTGAACATGTGATGGCTTCTATCCCAGCCAGAGAGAGTAGAAATTAAGCCGAAAGAAAATCTATTATAACAGCAGCCAATGGCAGTGACATGTTGTTGTGGGCCTATCTTACTGTTGTGTACATTTCTTAGTGATGTGTACCTGTCTTATTGATGTGGACCTGTCTTATTGATGTGAGCCTGTTATTGATGTGTACCTGTCTTATTGATGTGTACCTGTCTTATTGTTGTGGACCTGTCTTATTGATGTGTACCTGTCTTATTGTTGTGGACCTGTCTTATTGTTGTATACCTGTCTTATTGTTGTGTAAATATATTATTGATGTGGACCTGTCTTATTGATGTGGACCTGTCTTATGGATGTGTACATATCTTATTGTTGTGTACATATCTTATTGATGTGGACCTGTCTTATTGTTGTGGACATTATCTTATTCATGTGGACCTGTCTTATTTTTTGTACATATAGTTGTGGACCTGTCTTATTGTTGTGGACCTGTTTTATTGTTATGTACATATCTTATTGGTGTGGACCTGTCTTAATGATGTGGACCTGTCGTATTGTTGTGGACCTGTCTTATTGCTGTGTACATATCTTATTGCTGTGGACCTGTCTTCTTGTTGTGTACATATCTTCTTATTGTGGATCTGTCTTCTTGTTGTCTACATATCTTATTGTTGTGTACATATCTTATTGTTGTGGACCTGTCTTATTGTTGTGTACATATCTTATTGTTGTGGACCTGTCATATTGTTGTGTACATATCTTATTGTTACGGACATATCTTATTTTACTCATCTAATCTTTTAACGACTTCAACATATTTATTAGATTATATATTATATGTACACAAAATACCATTCAATACATTATTTCAAACCAAATTTAATATTAATTGAAATGTACAAGTCTTACCTGGAAAATGAAATTAAATGTTTATTTTTAAAATGTGTGGATTTGTTAATGCCGTATTATTTAAAGGATGTAAGTCAAATAACATGTTATACTCATGTGCAATGCATTTGCTCCAATAAATTATTTCAGGTCATCCACCTTGACTCTCTTATCAAATGAAAGTTTTACAAGCAACTGGCAGGCAGTAGAGACTAATTACAATAGGGTCATAATAATTTCATCATCGTTTTTTTTTTAATAATGGTGACTTTTAATTTTAATGGTCAAACCTGGCATCTACTTGAGTAGAAAACAAATCTTGGGGCTCTAGAGCCGGGGTCTAAAATAACCCCAAGAGTTGGATGAGGATAATTGGATAGCCCAAGGGCTGCAATGCACTTCAATAAATCATTATTTAGCCTCGATAATCTCTTATTAAAAAAAATCATTTCGCAGGCCAGTGGAAAAAGTCTTGGAATTTGAGACCTAAAATTAGATTGATTTTCCCCACACCCTGTAATGGTGATTAGAATAAAACCTAGCCTTGATTAAACTAATTTTCATCTTGTAAATATTGCTGACTCAGAGGCTACAAAGTGAATGCACAAAGAATACATTTCCTGTAACAAAATTTGCAGACATCAGATGCTATAAAGAAAGAAAAGCCCACTCAGAAAGCAGGGGGCTGCTCCAGTGACATCACTGGGCTTGTTGTTGCTTCTGATCCAATCTGCTCAAGAGTGTCAGGCTGGATGGCAGCACTGGGGAAATAACAACACTGGGACGCTGGGACTTTGGTCCTAACTGCTCCGCCATGACAACTGCTCCGCCGTGACAACTGCTCCGCCATGACAATTTCTGTAGCAGTGGTTCTCAAATATTAAATACCAAAATGGCCAAGGGCTGCAGGACGCTGATACTTATCATTATTATTATTGAGGGTCAATTCCAAGGACAACACCTAACACAAATCACTTTGCCGGCGGCAAGAACGTTTGGAGGGCCACATGATGCCCGTAAATATGAGACCACTGCTCCAGCAGGGATGTTTATCACTTCTAGATGGATAAGATGAGCTAATGATAAGCTGTCAGTCATACAAGTCTCAACTACAACTCCATACAATGGATAAGATGAGCTAATGATAAGCTGTCAGTCATACAAGTCTCAACTGCAACTCCATACAAACAACCACTAACTTCAACTTCCGCATTAACGCTGTGCCCATACCACTGTCAATCTCCTGTCAAATGGCATGAACCATGGCACCCCATGCAGAGCATCATGGCACCCCCTTGCAGAGCATCACAGCACCCTCGCAGAGCATCAGGACAGAAAGTTACAATTTTGGAGCATTTTACTGTATAATTTGATGTCCCCCCCAAGTAAGACGGTGTGGGGAATCCTCCAAAACAGTTATGTTGTTCTGAACAGATTGTCATCATATGGTCCAAAGCTTAGCTGAAGCACCGGCCTTCATGGTCTCATACACACACAAAATTTTTTTACAAAATCATTTTTTTACAAGGGCAACTAAAAATAAATAAATGTTATTATGATTAAAGGGAATTTTACCAAAGCTCAATTTTCATCACTTAATCCAGGTAGAAAAGTCAAACTTTTATATTTCTACAATTAATGGTTATCTAAAATCTAATTTTTTTTATTTTGAAAAACAAAAATTGTTTTCCCTATTTAATACCGATAATTTAGTAAGTATCCACTAAAAGACCCCTGAAAACATCTAAATATATCACCCTGATTTCCCATTTCTAACATAATTGACTGAGACTTGGGAAAGTAAAGTACTCCTGACATTTGGGAAAGTACTCCTGATTAATGTTAAGTTTAACCTGAAACATGACAAGGGCAGTGTCCAAAAGTTGCACATATCACAAATGTTTCATCAGACAACACAGTAAAAAGCCACTGTCTCTCTGCCTTCATCTCAATATCTACATGCAATTTTACACACAAAATATTTCATCAAAATCTTCAAAACCCTTCTTCCACGCTAGGATTGTTTGTGTACATCCTGCAGGCGTTTTCACTTTGCTGTGTCACGGGTCAAACTGACCCAAGTACCGGTACGTTCTGTTGTTGTTGATGATGGCGTCATATTTTACCTCCTTAAAAAGTTCTTTGGGTTCAAAGTGCTCAGCTTGTCCCTGACGGTGTCAGACAGTTCCACATGGACTCGCATGTACACAGTGTCCCGGACTAAATATTTGTCCTGTGTGTCTTGGAACTCAGAGAGCAGAATGAGGTTGGGCACGCCCGAAGCTATGTTGGCTTCAGTCTGCGGTTTTTGAAACGCTTGCTGGTCAGGTAAGGCACTGAAGCTGACCACCTTGTGTTCTCTGAAGTTTCTCTGGTCCACAATCATCAGAAAGATCTGTTGGACAAAAAGATGAAAGTTACTTGCTTCGTTTCCATTATTGACAACCCCAACTCGATAGAGTACAAGTACTAGCTATGATAGAAAACATGTATTAGCTATGATAGAGTACATGTACTTTTTATTTTGATGGAATACATGTACTAGTTATTTTGATGGAGTACATGTACTAGCTATTTTACTTTGTCCAAAGTCACACCCTTTGAACCCCTGGACAAATTTAAAGAACTCAATTTTTGCTTTTCCAAGTATTATATTTTACTTCTTAACTTAAGGAGTTCTTTTATATGTTGAGTCATTTTGTCATTGGCCTATGGTGCACATGTAGGGCAATCTTGTGATTTGGAAGTCATTGGCCTATGGTGCACATGTAGGGCATCTTGTGATTTGGATGTCATTGGCCTATGGTGCACATGTAGGGCATCTTGTGATTTGGATGTCACTGGCCTATGGTGCACATGAAGGACATCTTGTGATTTGGATGTCATTGGCCTATGGTGCACATGAAGGACATCTTGTGATTTGGATGTCATTGGCCTATGGTGCACATGAAGGGCATCTTGTGATTTGGATGTCATTGGCCTATGGTGCACATGAAGGACATCTTGTGATTTGGATGTCATTGGCCTATGGTGCACATGAAGGACATCTTGTGATTTGGATGTCATTGGCCTATGGTGCACATGTAGTTTAAACTATAAGCAACACTTGAATAGCTTTAGCTGGGACAGTGGACAACATAATTATACAGATGTCAAAAGGAGGAGGTTGGGGACAAAAATGACATAATGCTTATGCATACATAGTTTATAGATAATCCCTTCAATGGATTCCATTTCACGTTCAATTAAGTCTACGATAAACAATTAAAATGTATCACCTTCCCCATGAAAGGCCACGGCAGAAGGTCGTCGTAGGGACCCTGCTGCAGCTGAATAAAAGCCGATATTGACTTCCCCTTGGCTTCTCCGTCCCCGTTGGTGAACAGGCGTATCCTCATCTTGTAGCCCACCGGTCCGGTGAAAAAGGATGGTGAACACACACACAGTTTTTGTTCATTGACGGCGGCACGTCGGATCTGACTGAAGGAGTCCAGTTTCCAAGTAAGTAGGCCGTCCTTGTTATCAAAGAGGGTCCCGCCCTCCAGGGGGTCAGGGGTGGGTGGGGCAAGTGCTTGAAGTCTTTCTTCAAATGTACTCATTTGTCTTTCAATGGCCTGCAGTTGGAATAGACCCAAAAAAAAAAACATGTTTAAGTTAAAGACACAGGACAAGAAAATAGATTAACCTATAAGTAATGGAAAACATAGGATAAATATCTGAGCATGCTAGTTCAATTATTCAAGCTCAAACTGGACACACAGATATTCACCATTCCATGTGGATCTAGAACTAGATATTTACAACACATTACGACAACATAAAACTATACACATATAAAATATTACAGCTGCATTAATTTATATACATATTACACATTACAATTGCAGTAAACTATATATGTTTAACACGGTCCAGATACAGTAAACTATATACGTATGACACAGTACAGCTGCATAGAAAAAAATTTATAATATTTTTAATTTGTGGGTACTCCCATTTATTCAAAGTTTTTTCAATTAGAGGCAACTGTAAAGCTATCGCCTCTTGAAAACACTTGTTGTTTTACTGACTCCTAACCTTGTAACTGTCAATATGCCTTCACAGAGTTGGCTCACACCCTTGTAACCGTCAATATGCCTTCATAGAGTTGGCTCACACCCTTGTAACCGTCAATATGCCTTCATAGAGTTGGCTCACACCCTTGTAACTGTCAATATGCCTTCATAGAGTTGGCTCACACCCTTGTAACTGTCAATATGCCTTCACAGAGTTGGCTCACACCCTTGTAACCGTCAATATGCCTTCATAGAGTTGGCTCACACCCTTGTAACTGTCAATATGCCTTCATAGAGTTGGCTCACACCCTTGTAACCGTCAATATGCCTTCATAGAGTTGGCTCACACCCTTGTAACCGTCAATATGCCTTCATACAGTTGGCTCACACCCTTGTAACCGTCAATATGCCTTCATACAGTTGGCTCACACCCTTGTAACCGTCAATATGCCTTCATAGAGTTGGCTCACACCCTTGTCCTTGTTATCATCAATATGCCTTAATATAGTTGGCTCACACCCTTGTAACCGTCAATATGCCTTCATAGAGTTGGCTCACACCCTTCTGACAGTGAACTGGCCTTATATCAGTTGGCTCTCAGCTATGTCAGAACCATGATTACAGAGAGTGGAAATGGAATTTTCTGTGTGCTCTTACGATGCTTTACAGTAGATAACAATGCTTTACAGTAGATAACAATGCTTTACAGTAGATAACAATGCTTTACAGTAGATAACAATGCTTTTTATTAGATAACAATGCTTTACAGTAGATAAAAATGCTTTACAGTAGATAACAATGCTTTACAGTAGATTAATGTGTAAAGCAACTAGTCCACTGGGGCAGTAAAGAAGCCGGCAACCTCCCTGTATTTTATTTATGGGTTGTCTGCTCCTGTCTTTCAATTTCAATTTTGATTATTTTGTACTTTTCGTGAACATTTCAGAACTGAATGTCTGGACTTCCCATTAGGAACTCTCAAACGGTAAGAACTTTCTACCCCTTGTGGATTGGTCACATAAAAAAAAACCACCCACCTGAATTGAATTCTTTAACTTTTCGGTTGTCTTTGTTTCCACCTCCAGCTTATGTCCCATGGCCTCCATTTGTTTGATGCATCGCAGAATCTCTCCATGGAGCACCGCCATCAAATCTTCATGAAGTTTTAGCTTCTGTTTTTCTTCAGTGCCCAAAACATTTCCCGTGTACGGTGCCATGTGCACCCCTGAAGAAGAAGACAATTAAAATATAGAAGCCCAAAACGGGACACATCACATTCATGAAGATAATGCAGGTGGCATCATATATCTAAGAAGGGCACATCACATTCATGAAGATAATGCAGGTGGCATCATATATCTAAGAAGGGCACATCACACTCACAGAGCATAAGTGTGAGGTAACATTTTGAAACAAAACGTCACGTTTAAGGTGTGATATGACATCTGTTTAGACCAGGTGTTGAAAACTATGCCATCTAGGCTAAATGGTTTAAGGATTGATATGACATCTGTTTAGACCAGGTGTTGAAAACTATGCCATCTAGGCTAAATGGTTTAAGGATTGATATGACATCTGTTTAGACCAGGCGTTGAAAACTATGTCATCTAGGCTAAATCTGACCCACAGTATTGTTTTGCATGGCAAGCAAGGGAAGGGGGGGGGGGGATTTTACTCTTGACAATTCTGTCAAACCTAAAAGTACATCCTATATTGGAAACATGGATTGGCCGTCATGGAGTTGACAGACAGCCTTTGATTTGACTCAGGGCACATACCAACTAGTGACTTAAGATGTGCACATGTCAACTAGTGACTTTTGGTGTGCACATGCCAACTAGTGACTTTAGGTGTGCACATGCCAACTAGTGACTTTAGGTGTGCACATACCAACTAGTGACTTTATGTGTGCACATATCAACTAGTGACTTTATGTGTGCACATGTCAACTAGTGACTTTATGTGTGCACATGTCAACTAGTGGCTTTATGTGTGCACATATCAACTAGTGACTTTATGTGTGCACATGTCAAATAGTGACTTTATGTGTGCACATACCAACTAGTGACTTTATGTGTGCACATATCAACTAGTGACTTTATGTGTGCACATGTCAACTAGTGACTTTAGGTGTGCACATGCTAACTAGTGACTTTATGTGTGCACATGTCAAATAGTGACTTTATGTGTGCACATACCAACTAGTGACTTTAGGTGTGCACATGCCAAATAGTGACTTTAGGTGTGCACATGCCAACTAGTGACTTTAGGTGTGCACATGCCAACTAGTGACTTTAGGTGTGCACATACCAACTAGTGAATTTAGGTGTGCACATGCCAAATAGTGACTTTAGGTGTGTACATGTCAACTAGTGACTTTAGGTGTGCACATGCCAACTAGTGACTTTAGGTGTGCACATGCCAACTAGTGACTTAAGATGTGCACATGTCAACTAGTGACTTTTGGTGTGCACATGCCAACTTGTGACTTTAGGTGTGTACATGACTAAAGGCCTTGCCACTGCCTCCCCTCTTTTCTACTAACAACATTTTCTGCCTTACAGAATGAACCCTCTTCTCCAGACTAGAATATTTAATTAGAAGGCATCACATCTCAGCTTAGATCTATGGTTCTCAAAAAATGTTGTCAATCCAATTTGTCCACAGCCTTTTATTGTATAAGGACAAAGAAATTGACTGACATGGTGTGTCATGTACAAAGTCATGGTGTTAAATCTAACAGGTGACTTTGTCACGCCTTTGGTTTGCCATCACTGAAAAACCTTAAAAGCAAATGAAGTAACACCTATTATTAAAAACCGCCATACCTGCTCCCCCTTCAGCTCCGGCAACACCGCTCCCGGCACCTCCGGTGGCTTGATCTAGTCCCGCCTGGGCTCCGCCATCTGTACCGATCCCAACAGCACTTGCCGAGGCAGTCTCAACCTGCTCAATCTGCTTTTCCAATTTTTGAATTCTACTAAACAGGTAGGTCATGTGCTTCTGTGTGGCCTGTGGTGTCTTACCAATGTGACTGTAGAACTGATCTAGTGGTAGCTGGAATATTTTACATGTTGTGAAATAACAATATGAAGAGTTAACACATATATTAGATGGCCAGACACAATTGATTGACATAATGGATAGACATAATTGGTGGATATAATGGACAGGTATAACTGATTATATAATGGGTAAACATGATTGATGATATAAATGGATACTTGATTGATCATATATAATGGAGAGATATAATTGATGATATAATGGAGAGATATAATTGATGATATAATGGACAGGTATAACTGATTATATAATGGAACGGTATAATTGATGATATAATGGAGAGATATAATTGATGATATAATGGACAGGTATAATTGATGATATAATGGACAGGTATAATTGATGATATAATGGACAGGTATAATTGATGATATAATGGACAGGTATAATTGATGATATAATGGACAGGTATAATTGATGATATAATGGACAGGTATAATTGATGATATAATGGACAGGTATAATTGATGATATAATGGACAGGTATAATTGATGATATAATGGACAGGTATAATTGATGATATAATGGACAGGTATAATTGATGATATAATGGACAGGTATAATTGATGATATAATGGACAGGTATAATTGATGATATAATGGACAGGTATAATTGATGATATAATGGACAGGTATAATTGATGATATAATGGACAGGTATAATTGATGATATAATGGACAGGCACCATAAAACATGTTGAGCAACGACCAAAACCCTTGGAAAATATTGTTTCCTATTTTTGAATTTTTTTAATCAGTCATAGTCTCATAAATATAAAAAAAATAAAATAAAAAACTTATCCCAAGCAGAGTTTTATAGTATATCATGAACATGAGTTACCTTCATATTACAATCAGGGACGGGGCACTCCACCGTACGATTAGGACACTCTTCCTCTTTGTGAGTTTTCATCTGTAGATATCAAACAAAAATATATATTTTAAAATAGCACTGTCTCAATAATTTGAGTTTATCTTATCCTCACTCTTTAAATTTAGACCTTGACATACAGGTACCTGAAACAACAGTGAAACTATCTCGCAGCACCAATGTTTAAATCATTTCACAGCACCAATGTTAAACTCATTTCATAGCACCAATGTTTAAATCATTTCATAGCACCTATGTTAAACTCATTTCATAGCACCAATGTTTAAATCATTTCATAGCACCAATGTTAAACTCATTTCATAGCACCAATGTTAAACTCCTTTCATAGCACCAATGTTAAACTCATTTCATAGCACCAGTGTTTAAATTATTTGTAATGTTGATCTCACCTCACTTTTAGGCACCTGTTTTGAGCATTTCTCACACCTGACTGGTGAATTGGGGCAGTTACCTTGATGTTTCTAACAAAAATGATTAAATATGGTTAAACCAAATATCTGAACGCAAGCTGGCACAACAAATATATATTACAACAAGGATTTGTTATAAGATTTTTCATGTTCATGTGTTCATATGCTCATGTGTTCATATGCTCATGTGTTCATATGTCAATGTGTTTGTGTTGGGAGACTCGACTTTAACTAAATCATTTAATGTATTATTTTTGTTGAAAAACTTTCTAAAACTTACTTCCTGCTGTTCAAAAATCATTTCTTGCTTGCACCATTGACATGAGATTGTCCGTTTGACACAATGCTTTGTTTCATGGTTGGTCAGTTTGGCCTGCGACACTTGTAAACCACACTTGGAGCAGGTCACCATTTTCTTATCACAGGTGTTTTCATGGTTCTGAGGAGGAATTTTGATTGAACCTTTTAAAGAATGGAATTAGATGTGTGATGGAGTAGTTAGTCATTTGACACTAACCACTAACAAGAGTAAGATCCACATCCTAAATGACAAAAATAATTTTTTAAAAACATCAGAGATGCAGACACGCATTCACAAATATGACACAGATGACACCGACAAACAACATCCAAGACACAAATAAACATTCTAAAACATCCAAGACACAAATACACATTCCAAAACATCCATGACATAGAAACGCATCAACAATCCCCCTGTATGAGAAAAAATCCATGAAGCATCCACAATGAGTTTTTATCAGTGGATTCGATGTTTGGATTAGGTGCATGACTCTGATCGCAAAAAACTATCTCCATTAAGGGGAGCGTTGCTAGACAACCAATTCATCAGTGCCAACAAGCCACTAGTGCTGGATGCAATCATCTCCACCCGGTTTTGAAGAAGGGAGAGTGGGGGCTTTTAGGTTAAGGTCATAAACACATATCTATTGTGACCTCTAAGGTTAGGTTAAGGTCATAAACATATCTATTGTGACCTCTAAGGTTAGGTTAAGGTCATAAACATATCTATTGTGACCTCTAAGGAGTTCAGGAGTTTCCTATGGTGGGTTTCAGTGAAGCAGCAGGTTCTCAAGTGGGGAAGGGAGGGGGGTGCTGATGTTGCAACTGACTTTCAGCTATCAACCAGCTAGAATTCAATGTGACTCTATGAGCTAAACTATAAGTGAGCTAGAACTCAGTGTGTTATATGAGCTAAACTATAAGTGAGCTAGAACCCAGTGTGCTATATGAGCTAGACTATAAGTGAGCTAGAACTCAGTGTGCTATATGAGCTAAACTATAAGTGAGCTAGAACTCAGAGTGGTATAAGAGCTAAACTATAAGTGAGCTAGAACTCATTGTGACTATATGAGCTAAACTATAAGTGAGCTAGAACTCGGTGTGCTACATGAGCTCATTCCTGCCCAAGACAATCAGGGACTGGAACAATCTTTCAAAAGGAACGGTTGAGGTGACAACACTAGACACATTTGTGTCTATTGCCTCAAGCCTTCAAACTCCTAGTGCATGATTCCCTCACAAAGTGGCACTGGAAATCTGTGAAATTTCCTCATCAACACCAGGAACAGAAACATTGCAAATCCCATCTACATGCATAGGAGCCAAAATGATCAATAAATTGATCGTGGGCCCTTAAGATATAGAAGAAGAAGAAGAAGAGCTAAACTCATTGTGACTATATGAGCTAAACTATAAGTGAGCTAGACTCAATGTGGCTATAAGAGCTCACTACAAGAAATCTAAATTCATTGTGACTGCATGAACTCACTACAAGAAATCTAAATTCAATGCGACTGCATGAAATCACTACAAGAAATCTAAATTCAAAGTGACTGCATGAAATCACTACAAGAAATCTAAATTCAAAGTGACTGCATGAAATCACTACAAGAAATCTAAATTCAAAGTGACTGCATGAAATCACTACAAGAAATCTAAATTCAAAGTGACTGTATGAAATCACTACAAGAAATCTAAATTCAAAGTGACTGTATGAAATCACTACAAGAAATCTAAATTCAAAGTGACTGCATGAAATCACTACAAGAAATCTAAATTCAAAGTGACTGTATGAAATCACTACAAGAAATCTAAATTCAAAGTGACTGCATGAAATCACTACAAGAAATCTAAATTCAAAGTGACTGCATGAAATCACTACAAGAAATCTAAATTCAAAGTGACTGCATGAAATCACTACAAGAAATCTAAATTCAAAGTGACTGCATGAAATCACTACAAGAAATCTAAATTCAAAGTGACTGCATGAAATCACTACAAGAAATCTAAATTCAAAGTGACTGCATGAAATCACTACAAGAAATCTAAATTCAAAGTGACTGCATGAAATCACTACAAGAAATCTAAATTCAAAGTGACTGCATGAAATCACTACAAGAAATCTAAATTCAAAGTGACTGCATGAAATCACTACAAGAAATCTAAATTCAAAGTGACTGCATGAAATCACTACAAGAAATCTAAATTCAAAGTGACTGCATGAAATCACTACAAGAAATCTAAATTCAAAGTGACTGCATGAAATCACTACAAGAAATCTAAATTCAAAGTGACTGCATGAAATCACTACAAGAAATCTAAATTCAAAGTGACTGCATGAAATCACTACAAGAAATCTAAATTCAAAGTGACTGCATGAAATCACTACAAGAAATCTAAATTCAAAGTGACTGCATGAAATCACTACAAGAAATCTAAATTCAAAGTGACTGCATGAAATCACTACAAGAAATCTAAATTCAAAGTGACTGCATGAAATCACTACAAGAAATCTAAATTCAAAGTGACTGCATGAAATCACTACAAGAAATCTAAATTCAAAGTGACTGCATGAAATCACTACAAGAAATCTAAATTCAAAGTGACTGCATGAAATCACTACAAGAAATCTAAATTCAAAGTGACTGCATGAAATCACTACAAGAAATCTAAATTCAAAGTGACTGTATGAAATCACTACAAGAAATCTAAATTCAAAGTGACTGCATGAAATCACTACAAGAAATCTAAATTCAAAGTGACTGCATGAAATCACTACAAGAAATCTAAATTCAAAGTGACTGTATGAGTAGACTATAACAATACTAAATGGTATGCAACTTACCAGGTAATCCTGAAAAACTCCTTTCCAAGTGCAGCCTTGGTTAGTACATTTTGTTGCTAATTTTTTCATCTCTCTAATGGCGGCCTTGTCTTCAAACATCTGAAGTTCAATTAATAACACAAGAACCATTATAAAACTCAACATGACGGAGCAGCATTTGTTGTTAATGTTGGAATAGAGTTTGTTGGAATAGAAGCTTTGAGACAACATGTGATCCAGAGAATCCAGGTGCACAATAGATATGGATTTGTAAAGACATTAGAAGCTTTGTGACAACATGTGATCCAGAGAATCCAGGTGCACAATAGATATGGATTTGTAAAGACATTAGAAGCTTTGTGACAACATGTGATCCAGAGAATCCAGGTGCACAATAGATATGGATTTGTAAAGACATTAGAAGCTTTGTGACAACATGTGATCCAGAGAATCCAGGTGCACAATAGATATGGATTTGTAAAGACATTAGAAGCTTTGTGACAACATGTGATCCAGAGAATCCAGGTGCACAATAGATATGGATTTGTAAAGACATTAGAAGCTTTGTGACAACATGTGATCCAGAGAATCCAGGTGCACAATAGATATGGATTTGTAAAGACATTAAAAGCTTTGTGACAACATGTGATCCAGAGAATCCAGGTGCACAATAGATATGGATTTGTAAAGACATTAGAAGCTTTGTGACAATATGTGATCCAGAGAATCCAGGTGCACAATAGATATGGATTTGTAAAGACATTAAAAGCTTTGTGACAACATGTGATCTGGAGAATCCAGGTGCACAATAGATATGGATTTGTAAAGACATTAGAAGCTTTGTGACAATATGTGATCCAGAGAATCCAGGTGCACAATAGATATGGATTTGTAAAGACATTAGAAGCTGTGTGACAACATATTATGATCCAGAGAATCCAGGTGCACAACAATAGATATGGATTAGTAAAGACATAAGAAGCTTTGTGACAACATATGATCCAGAGAATCCAGGTGCACAGTGGTCATTCACAACTATCATAATCATTGGTCAATAATCTTTTAGCTTTTTTTTTTTTTAAAGCATTTGTAAAAGTTCCAGCATTTTACGATTGGTTGTTAAACATTGTCTTTGTTAAATGTTGAAATGTAAACCTGAACCTGCTGGCAGGCATAGAGATGAAGAAGTTGAAATGTAAACCTGCTGGCAGGCATAGAGATGAAGAAGTTGAAATGTAAACCTGCTGGCAGACATAGAGATGAAGAAGTTGAAATGTAAACCTGCTGGCAGGCATAGAGATGAAGAAGTTGAAATGTAAACCTGCTGGCAGACATAGAGATGAAGAAGTTGAAATGTAAACCTGCTGGCAGGCATAGAGATGAAGAAGTTGAAATGTAAACCTGCTGGCAGACATAGAGATGAAGAAGTTGAAATGTAAACCTGCTGGCAGACATAGAGATGAAGAAGTTGAAATGTAAACCTGCTGGCAGACATAGAGATGAAGAAGTTGAAATGTAAACCTGCTGGCAGGCATAGAGATGAAGAAGTTGAAATGTAAACCTGCTGGCAGGCATAGAGATGAAGAAGTTGAAATGTAAACCTGCTGGCAGACATAGAGATGAAGAAGTTGAAATGTAAACCTGCTGGCAGGCATAGAGATGAAGAAGTTGAAATGTAAACCTGCTGGCAGGCATAGAGATGAAGAAGTTGAAATGTAAACCTGCTGGCAGACATAGAGATGAAGAAGTTGAAATGTAAACCTGCTGGCAGACATAGAGATGAAGAAGTTGAAACGTAAACCTGCTGGCAGGCATAGAGATGAAGAAGTTGAAATGTAAACCTTCCGGCAGACATAGAGATGAAGAAGTTGAAATGTAAACCTGCTGGCAGGCATAGAGATGAAGAAGTTGAAATGTAAACCTGCTGGCAGGCATAGAGATGAAGAAGTTGAAATGTAAACCTGCTGGCAGGCATATAAATGAAGACAAACTTCTTTTGAGTAACACATGCAATACAAATTGTGCAAACTGCTGTAGAATTTATTTCGTAAAATCAAAATAGAACTTGGGATGGCTGTTAGAATATATATGTTTAAAATGAATAATTGAGAACAATAGTTCAAATGGCACACCATACGGATTGTTCAATACTTACAGATGTAACATTTAAAATGCTCTCTTCTTCCGATAGTCCCTCTGTTATACATGCCTTACATATTACTGGATCTGTCTGGTTTCTGTAATACAAATAAAACTGATAAAAAAATATAAATTAAAATAGCTACAAAAATATTTTTGAATTAGATTTATAAAAACATTTTATTTCATACCACATGAGACTTGGCTGTGAATGATTTTTGATTCTTTGAGACTTAAGTTATCTGACTCTGCTTATCCTACACAGCTTAGTCTTGTCACATAGCTTAGTCTTGATACACAGCTTAGTCTTGCTACATAGCTTAGTCTTGCTATATAGCGTAGTCTTGATACATAGCTTAGTTTTGTTACATAGCTTAGTATTGATGCATAGCTTAGTCTCATTACATAGCTTAGTTTTTATACATAGCTTAGTCTTGATACATGGCTTAGTCTTGATACATGGCTTAGTCTTGATACATATCCTAGTCTTGTTACATAGCTTAGTCTTGCGACATACCTTAGTTTTTATACATAGCTTAGTCTTTATACATGGCTTTGTTTTTATACATAGCTTAGTCTTGATACATGGCTTTGTTTTTATACATAGCTTAGTCTTGATACATGGCTTAGTCTTGATACATATCCTAGTCTTGTTACATAGCTTAGTCTTCACACATAGCTTAGTCTTGATACATGGCTTAGTCTTGTCACATGGCTTAGTCTTGTACATGGCTTAATCTTGTCACATGGCTTAGTCTTGAACATATCCTAGTCTTGAACATATCCTAGTCTTGTTACATAGCTTAGTCTTGATACATGGCTTAGTCTTCATACATAGCTTAGTCTTGATACATGACTTAGTCTTCTTCTTCTATTTAATGAGGGCCCACGATCAATTTATTGATCATTTTTGCTCCTATGCAGGGGATTTGCAATGTTTCTGTGCCTGGTGTCTATGAAGATATTTCACTGATTGCATGTGCTACTTTGTGAGGGAATCATGCGCTGGGGGTTGAAAGGCTTGAGGCAATAGACGAAAATGTTTCTAGTGTTGTCACCTCAACTGTTCCTTTTGAAAGCTTGTTCCAGTCCCTGATTGTCTTGGGCAGGAATGAGCAGCTCCTATACTGGCTTTTTGCTGGTAAGAGCTGGAATTGCCTGTCATGTCCTCTTCGCTGTCTATGGGGGAGAGGGACGAGTTTCTGTTTAATACTGGGACAGTGGACCAGCCCATTATATATCGTGTACATTATGGAGAGCCTGGATAGTCGTCATCGTTCCTCCAAAGGTGACAAGCCTAGTGTTTCTAGAATGCTGCCAACACTAGAGGTATTCCTGTAGCAGTTCAGGACAAAGTGGGCTGCTCGTTGCTGGACCGCCTCCAACCTGTCAATGCTCTTCTGGGAAAATGGGTCCCAAAATGAAGATGCATAATCTAATCTTGTTACATAGCTTAGTCTTGATACATTGCTCAGTCTTGATGCATGGCTTAGTCTTGTCACATGGCTTGGTCTTGTCACATGGCTTAGTCTTGTTACATAGCTTAGTCTTGATACATTGCTTAGTCTTGATACATGGCTTAGTCTTGTCACATGGCTTAGTCATGTTACATAGCTTAATTTTGATACATAGCTTAGTCTTGTTACATAGCTTAGTCTTGATACATTGCTTAGTCTTGATACATGGCTTAGTCTTGTCACATGGCTTAGTCTTGTTACATAGCTTAGTCTTGATACATTGCTTAGTCTTGATACATGGCTTAGTTTTGTCACATGGCTTAGTCTTGATACATAGCTTAGTCTTGATACATCGCTTAGTCTTGTTACATAGCTTAGTCTTGTTACATGGCTTAGTCTTGATACATTGCTTAATCTTGATACATGGCTTAGTTTTGATACATGGCTTAGTCTTGATACATAGCTTAGTCTTGATACATAGCTTAGTCTTGTTACATAACTTAGTCTTTTTACATAGCTCCTGTGAAACAATGCACCTGTGAAACAGTGCTCCTGTGAAGCTATGCTCCCGTGAAACAGTGCTCCTGTGAAACAACACTCCTGTGAAGCAACACTCCTGTGAAGCAATGCTCCTGTGATAACACACAGCACTTGTTATGGCAAGCCTCCTGTGATAACACACAGCACTTGTTATGGCAAGTCTCCTGTGATAACACACAGCACTTGTTATGGCAAGCCTCCTGTGATAACACACAGCACTTGTTATGGCAAGCCTCCTGTGATAACACAATCACTTGTTATGGCAAGTCTCCTGTGATAACACACAACACTTGTTATGGCAAGCCTCCTGTGATAACACACAACACTTGTTATGGCAAGCCTCCTGTGATAACACACAACACTTTTTATGGCAAGCCTCTTGTGATAACACACAACACTTGTTATGGCAAGCCTCCTGTGATAACACACAGCACTTGTTATGTAACACTAAGTAGCATTAAAAACTCACTGAAACAGATCCACAATTACAACATTTACTATTTTAAAATTTCAATGAGGCATTCTCAAGTACTGTCCCCATTTTTTCCAATTCTAGATTATCAATAATATTATGTTCTTATATTCAGACATTGAAATAATTAGTAGCTCATTTTATAATTAAAATGGTATATCATACACAACTTGTATTAAATAAATGTACATATCATTTCACATACATATAATTTTGTAATAAACACAGTCATACAAAGGCAATAGTAATTTGAGATCTTCTGCTGTAATAAACACAGTCATACAAAGGCAATAGTAATTTGAGATCTTCTGCTGTAATAAGCACAGTCATACAAAGGCAATAGTAATTTGAGATCTTCTGCTGTAATAAACACAGTCATACAAAGGCAATAGTAATTTGAGATCTTCTGCTGTAATAAACACAGTCATACAAAGGCAATAGTAATTTGAGATCTTCTGCTGTAATAAACACAGTCATACAAAGGCAAATAGTAATTTGAGATCTTCTGCTGTAATAAACACAGTCATACAAAGGCAATAGTAATTTGAGATCTTCTGCTGTAATAAGCACAGTCATACAAAGGCAATAGTAATTTGAGATCTTCTGCTGTAATAAACACAGTCATACAAAGGCAATAGTAATTTGAGATCTTCTGCTGTAATAAACACAGTCATACAAAGGCAATAGTAATTTGAGATCTTCTGCTGTAATAAACACAGTCATACAAAGGCAATAGTAATTTGAGATCTTCTGCTGTAATAAACACAGTCATACAAAGGCAAATAGTAATTTGAGATCTTCTGCTGTATTTGATGGGTTTTTTTAATAAATCTTAAGACAAAATATATATTTTCAGCACAAAAATAAATACATATTTTACACACATATAACCATTTAAACACAAGACATCAAAAGTACTTCAATAGCGTAGAAATCAACCATAAATGAACTCCCTTAGTGACAATAAGGATTTAATTGGTGATCATCTAGAATGGATCTGTCATTGGGTGACACACATTTCTTGTGTTTGTGTGACATTCAACTGAAGACAACTTCCATGACACCAACTGATAAAGCAAACTGATCAAGCTTGTAACCAGTAAGTGGCAGTCTAGGCTTTCTTTCCCCTTCAGCTCTTAAAGCCAATGATGTCTAACATGCATATGCTCAAGTATTTTGAAATATGATTTTACATTTAATTGGTATTTTAATTATTATGGCTCCATACAGACCCATTGTTACTTTGAGATCTTTCAAAGTAAGTATGCAGACCCTATCAAATAATATGGTAAAGCCTTGAATCATGGAGATGGCAGATAATATTGAAAAAAAAAAACTTTGGTAAGATTGGACTATATGAGTGTGATTGAGTAGCATCGGAGCCTGTGCAATGGTAGACACTAGAACTGATCTTTTTCTAAGGACCAAGACTGTAGCATGTCCAAACTGTATTAAGAGTATCTTGCAGCACTGGCAGTCCAAAATTGCCTTTGACTGTAACTATGAAAATTGTTATAATTTTAAAAAAGTATAACATCTCCTTCAATGAATTCAAGTAAATTCAAGCATTTTGCAGGGGGGGGGGGAATCTTTTACCCTGTCGTGTGCAATAGCAATCACAAAAATTATAAAAAGGATGTTTTAATGTGTTAAAACTAACAACAATTTATTTTTGGCAGTTGTCTTGGATATAAATTTAAAAAAATAAAACAACTCCTTCAATGAATTCAAGTAAATTCAAGCATTTTGCAGGGGGGGGGGGGAATCTTTTACCCTGTCGTGTGCAATAGCAATCACAAAAATTATAAAAAGGATGTTTTAATGTGTTAAAACTAACAACAATTTATTTTTGGCAGTTGTCTTGGCAGAGTTTTAACACAAAAGAGATAAAAATTTCAAATTGGCTTTGTCTTGGTGAAACATACGTTTTAATAATTATAATATAGAAACCAATCAAAGGTCAAACAATATCTAAGTAACTTATCTTTTTTTTTAAAACAAACCTGATAATAATTTTAGTTAAGAAAAAAACCCAACCTTTTTTTAAAATAAATTATTTACCAATGCTTCTTTCTTATAAGATAAAGAAAAGTATATGCACATTTAAAAAATAATGTTTTTTTTTTCTTTCTATATTATATATGTGCCAGTATAAGTGATGAAAATGTAGTGGGTCACCACAGAAAAAGAAAATTTTGTGTTAAATCAATAAATTTGCTATTTGAAAAAAAATTAAGAAAATACAGACTTTCTAACACGTAGGGATTTGTCAAACCATTTGGTTGGTTACTTGAATAAATATGAGTACAAAAAGACATATTAACTGTTAATTGTAAATTTCTTTTTTTTAAATCTATACAATAATTTAAAATATTTTGAAGTTCTTAATTATACTTAGACTTCCACTTAGATATACAAGGTTCAAATGTAAGAGTAACGAAATATAAGTTAATCCTTAGATTTGAATTGTTTAATCACTGTTTATTCTGTATTCCTTACTGTTTACTCTTAGAGTTGAATTGTTTAATCACTGTTTATTCTGTATTCCTCATTATTTACTCCTTGAGTTGAATTGTTTAATCACTGTTGATTGTGTATTCCTTATTGTTTACTCTTAGAGTTGAATTGTTTAATCACTATTGATTGTGTATTCCTTATTGTTTACTCTTAGAGTTGAATTGTTTAATCACTGTTGATTCTGTATTCCTTATTGTTTACTCTTAGAGTTGAATTGTTTAGGCACTGTTTATTCTGTATTCCTTACTGTTTACTCTTAGAGTTTAATTGTTTAGTCACCTTTTATTCTGTATTCCTTTTCGTTTACTCTAAGACTTAAATTTTATAATCACCGTTTATTCTGTCTATTATCCATTGGTTCTTTCAGGAGGGGTTCCAACAGCAGTGCCTTACACATTAAAAAGTATAAAAATATTTGTTCCTTGGAAGTTTATAAATCTTGTATTTACATGAATGAATGTGATGATTGACACCACAAAAATATGACATATCTTAAAAGTTAAAAAGCTGGTTGTTTCGGCTTCAAGTGAAAATATAATTCGATTCTTTAGTAAAAAAAGGTTTTATTATCAATAAAATACACACACAAAAATGACTTTGAAATTTCAATTCAAGGAAAACATTTGAAATTATAACAAAACGCCCAATGAAAATTCACGACTGTATAGTTACATAGTGCTCAAAACAAAGTTAATTTTAATAAAATTAAGATACAGGAAAGACAACATTAAATATTTTAAGCAATCTGAAATACATGGTGGATTCGGAAATTCAATCTTCTGCATCTGGTGTTTAACAATAGTGAAATTGTAACACGTGTGTATCCAACTGCCTAGACCAGTGAACTAGTTTAGAGATGTAGCTACTCAGATGATACAGAATAACACCCTTGGAAGACTACAATTCTGTTCCAATATTTATATTATATTAATGACAAAATATCTACTTAGAAAATATGCATGAGATACTTGAATTCCTTTTGTGATTGTTTCTATCATTTACAGAGTACAGGGAAAGTTATATTTTTTTAAAATGGTGTTATGGCCTAAGTCACAAGCAACTTGCTTTCAACTATCAAGTTTAATTCATTTTAATATCAAGAAAATAGAAATTATTCATAGTAACGCAATCTTAGTGATGATATTGAACACTTTCACTTTTTATACACGAAATCAAACTAAATTTTTTAATAATTCAATGGATTATTATTTTTTTGTGTATTTATTTTATATTCTTATATCTAACATTTATAAGATTTTCAGCACCCAACATGAATGTGCACACAATAAACTAGCTGATAACAAATAGACGTAATCATAGTTGTGAAATTTAAGTAATTAAAAACTAACTTGTACATGTACTTATTTGCAATGAATATTTAAAGGACAAAGTACCAAAAAGAATAAAATAATTAATTGAGTTCTTTGAATAGTTTTGAAGCTATATCCCTAAACATGTTTTTCCATATAAGCTGATCACAAAAGTCACTAAAATGATAGTTTTCTGTTACTTTGATTTGGACTGGCTAGCTCTCACATATGATCAGATGAATTAAAGTGTTAATAAATATCACTTTCATACCTCTGAAAGGTCTCGCATTTGAGCCCCGCCCGCCCCCCCACCCCTCCCCCCACAACTTTTACAATGAAATGAGAGAATTGTTTACTTTAAAGAGATGAAGTCTCTCCTGAATGAAGATTGATGGAAATAAATCAGCAGGCATCATCTTCTTTTGTCTCTCTCACCTTTATTTGTCTTAGTCCAGCAACTAAGGGGGTCGTCCATTAATTATGTCAACAAAATTGGGGGGAGGGGGTTTAGAAATATTTGACAATTGTTGACAAGGGGGAGGGGTTTAGATTAGTTGACGTCAACAATCATGTTTTCTCTATTAAAATTTTTATCTTAAAAATTGAATGTTATTACATTATTTTAACAAATTTAAATGAGTGTAACTTAAAATAGTTCTATAATTTTTAGTTCTATAAAGTTTTAACTTGTTGATTGACAAGCGGGAGATGCAATAAAAAGATGTTCCTACAATTTTGTGTGATTAAAATAGATCAGCACAAAGTCAAATATTGATATATTTATTTAAATTATAATTCATTTGGGGAAAAAAAAGGGGGGAGGGGGTGTTAATAAAAATGTTGACATAATTACGGAGGGTTGGTCATTGAAAGTTTGACCATTGTTGACGGGGTGGGGGTGTGTGTCAAAAATTGCTTAAAATTAATGGACGCCCCTTAATGAACAAACACATTTCTTGTCTTAACTATTTTACCCAAATAATGTATCTGAATTGAAAATAAAATAAAAAGTATGTGAAAATGTAGGCTACTTTGTGAAAAATGTTTACACACAATTTTTTTCTATATATGGTGAATTTCCAGATTTATTGCAATTCATTTGATTTCCAGTTTAGAATATCCAGAAGTATCCTTCACATTTATTCCAGCTTTGAGTTTCAAATGTATAACACTTACACTTTATTTAAAGCTTAGAAATTCCAAAGGTATCACAATCCATTTATATTCCAGCTTAGAATTGACAGAAGTATTCTAGTCACATCTGTCGCAGCTTAGACTTGACAAAAGCGTTCTGTTCACATCATTTTCAGCTTAGAATTCCAAATGAACAAAATTCAATTTCACTTCTTTTAAAACTTAGAATATCCAGAAGTATCACATTCATTTTAATTCCAGCTTTGAGTGTCAGAATATTTCAAAATTCACTTTAATTCCAGCTCTGAATATCTCACAATTCCCTTTATTTCAAGCCCAGAATGTATCACAATTCACTTTATTCCTAGTTTAGGAAATCTTAAAGTAGTACAATTAATTTCCTTCGAGCTTCCAGACGTATTACAGAAGACACACTTCATTTGCAGCTTAGAATATTCACATGTATCACAAGTCACTTCATTTGCAGCTTTGAATTTTCACATGTATCACAAGTCACTTCATTTGCAGCTTCGAATTTTCGCATGTATCACAAGTCACTTCACTTGCAGCTTAGAATTTTCACATGTATCACAAGTCACTTCATTTGCAGCTTCGAATTTTCGTATGTATCACAAGTCACTTCACTTGCAGCTTAGAATTTTCACATGTATCACAACTCACTTCATTCGCAGCTTAGACTTTTCGCATGTATCACAAGTCACTTCATTCGCAGCTTAGAATTTTCGCATGTATCACAAGTCACTTCATTTCCAGTTTAGAATTTCCAGTTTCACCATTATTTTGTGTAAATTAAAATCTCAGGGATTTTCAAGAAAAAAGTAAAATTTAATCGGTAAAAATTGCTTTTTTTCTACATTGAAAACATTTCCCAAGATAAGAAAATAATATTTTAACCGAATAAATGTTTTCGACTTTTAAACATTAACAAAAATTAAAACGCCGTGAACTTCCAAGTCGAGTGTCATTTGGTTAGACCTTTAAATGTTCGTGCAATGAAACATTAACAATGAAACATAACTAATTTTAAATACAAATGAATGATGGTGTATAATTTTATACGTTATATTTCTTTTGAATTTTCCAGTTACAGTAAGTTTACCTTCCTAGTTCCAGTTTACAAAAGTTACAAAATCTGTGTCCGCATGTGCTCTGCATGGGCTCGCGGAGTACAAGTTCACAGTGCCCACATAGAAACTTTTCCTCCACTTGTGAAAAAATTTCTTTAGGAAAACCTTTCAATGTCATATTAGCAGGTGGAACCGAAGCAGGAGCTTGTGCCATTATTTCAGGTACTGAATCTACTCCAAGGTCCATATACAACGGAAGCTTATCACAGGTGTGTATATCTTCTACACTGTAAACTCATCAACCTGTAAACACAACAAAACAAATTAATTCACTTGATAATTTGTGTGAATTATAACAATAATGCATTGTATTTTGCTACACATTGGTGAGTGCAAGTACTTTTTAGAAGTTTATCAACAGAGTTCAAACTGAGCAAGAGTCATACAAATTTGCTTTGACTCCAGAGAAAACCAAAATAATGTCCAGCAAACCTTTGAAAAATCGGTCTTTCAAAAATAAACTGTCAATAAACAACAACAAAAAATCTGCTTGAGGTCATATGTCATGGTGCATTTGAAAGCTTGGGTTTAAATACCAGGCAGTTGCAATTTTTAAGACCAGATATACCAGGCAATTACAATGTTTAAGACTAGATGTACCAGGCAATAAGAATGTTGTAGACTAGAAGTACCAAACTATTCAAAATAGGGAAAATCGGTCCATAAAATTCAAAAGAAATTTACTAACACAAGTTTGACCTATAGTATTTAAACGCAGGTGTGAAATGGAGAAAGCCATTAAGAAAAGAGGCGTTTGTGTCTTTCTCATCCTGCATTTATTGTACACCACTGACAGCAAGAAAACTTGTGGTATTGAATTATAATCTTGGCATTACAATTAGAATTAACAACTGATAAAAGCCTATTTGCTCAAAGTTATATTGTAAGAAAACAAAGTTCAACCGCTATCAATGGTTTCAACATTTAATTTGCTTTTATAAAATCTTTTCACAAACGATTTTATTACATAAATCTACTATTTTATTAAATTTTAAGTTATGTCAAGAATTCATGTGTCTTTATAATAAATAAAATTATTCTAACTGAAATGACCATGTTGTAGATGTTCAAAAATAACTGTGTTAAGCTTTATGAACATGTTGTAGGTCTTCAAAAATACCTATGTTAATCTTTATGAATATGTTGTAGGTCTTCAAAAATACCTATGTTAATCTTTATGAACATGTTGTAGGTCTTCAAAAATACCTATGTTAATCTTTATGAATATGTTGTAGGTCTTCAAAAATACCTTTGTTAATCTTTATGAATATGTTGTAGGTCTTCAAAAATACCTATGTTAATCTTTATGAACATGTTGTAGGTCTTCAAAAATACCTGTGTTAAGCTTTGAATTTGAGTTCAAGAGAATGTTCACTGAAATTTTGGATATTTTTGTTTCTTTGTTTGTTTGAATAAGTGCATAAATAATTTATTTGAATAAAATAAATGCATAAATACTTTATTTGAAGAATTTACTTTTTCAAGGTTTAATGTGCTGAGTGTTTTATATTGTAATTAATAAATTAGAAACTGCCCAACTGAACTCAGCTCTTAAAGTTGCATGAGAATCGTATGTCTTATGTCTTATGACAAATAAATTTATTTTATGTAAATCATATTTATTACTGTGTTTCTTTTTTTTTTAAATAGTAGATATTGAAAGATCCCTGATACAAAAGATCACTGATCTGATTCAATTTTAACTGATCACTGAAATTAGTTAGTTAATCGTTCACTGATTTTTATTAAACATTTTTAAAAAAAGCTAGCCTTATAACAGAAGTTAGGTATTAGGTTTAATTATTATAAATTTTGTTGCACAAAGTCACCTACACAAAACTAATTATAAATCAATCCTTGCTTGGCGCTGCAGTTGTTATGATATAGTATTTATACATTAATAATAGTAATAGTAATATTCGTACAAAACAAATTGATATCTTATTTGACTAGGATTGAATCATCTGGACGTTCTGGACTAGTTAACTAGTCAAAATTAAGTTCTTTTATTTAGCCTAGTTCATTAAGACCCCACTGTCAATTCAAAGGCCGAAGTCTTTCAATTTATATCTAAATTATATAAGAGAGAAAACGGTCTAATATGCTAACAAATGGAAATCACAATGTCAAACAATAAACCAATGACTAGCTGGGTTCAAACTGAACTAGGCCCAGCCCTAGGACATGTACGTTTGTTGGTTTTTTTTTTTAGGGGGGGGGGGGGGGTGTTTTTTTTTTTGGGGGGGGGGGGGGGGCTTTTTTAAATTGCTACAACTCTGCTTGCCTACATTACCTTACATACAATTACAGTAATCTTACATTTTACTTGTTCAGTTGAACAAAGTTGGTAGATTTTAAATGTTAAAATTTGCCATACTCTAAAACAAAGGATTGCTGAGATAGACAGGGACTGGTAAACTGATAACTCTTAAATATAGATTGAAAAGTACACTCCGAATTAATTATTTTAAAATTTAAATGAACAGAAACTATTTTTTAAAACTATTTTTTTTATAACTTGAATAGACACACAGATCAGATTCAGTTCAGACTAGTTCTGTTACTTGTAAACTATCATTGCATCTTGATCAATATAGTATAAACTGCTGACAGGAAAAAAGTTATAACAAAGAATATGTCATAAGTGCATAAAAACTTTGATGTTAGTATTGTTGGACCCAGACAGACGGCCACCAGACGGTAAAATATTTCAACAACTTTCAACTGACTTTTTCCATTTTAAAACCGAGACAAAGACGACAATTGTGCAAGCAAGTTGGTTCGGAAGTTATTTTAAAGAAACATTTTCATTTCCAATAATGATACTTATCAGACGCATTAAAAATATCCATCACTGTTTAAATCTGAACGTAACCAGCAAAACAAACAAGTCGGGTAGTTTGCGTAGGTTTCGCCAGACGCCACCAGACGTTCAGACGCGAAATCTATCGAGAATAGCTCCTCCCCCGACATTTTTAGATTCGAGCTTATTTTAAGTAAAATAAACACGTTAGAAGCAATTAAAGTTGCACTAACTTACTTGTGAAGTTCTAATCCTTTCAAAGCGCTTACAAACACTTAAATTGTGAATAAAGTCTTAGATAAGAGGAGAACAATTTTTTAGATACAATATAATGGTCCAAGTAATGGATGGCGTCCCCCAAGCAAGTTCAATGGCTAAAAATAGAGTAGATTGCATGGCTGGAATTTCCCTCACTAAAAATAGAACAAGTCGAGCGCTTTATTCGAAGGCGACACTAACGGTTTTTTTTTTCAATTTTTTTATTATTTTTTTTTTCAATATTTTTGTTTTTAATAATAGAGATCATAGTCTTGTGTTTGCAACTTTCAAAGTTATATTTAATGTAAACAATTTTATATAAATTTTAAAAAAAAAATAGTGCACCTATTTATTTAAAAGAAATTATGATGGTTAGGCTTAATATAATAAGTTAATAAGTTAATAAATGCAATTAATGACTTTTTATAGAAAAATAAGAGTAAAAGTAACATGGTGGACGACATAAGTATAAGCCATAAACATAAGGTGATATTCCTTTAATATATCTAACAATAGTAATATTTCAAAGAAAAGACTAAAGGGAGGAATATTTCTTTTTTAATTTAAATGTTATTTTTCAATTATTGCAAATATTATACTTAATTATAAAATCTTAAACGAAAATCAGTTTTTAAGACGATAATTTTTCGAATGCAATTTAGTAATACCGCGCCTCCCCCACACCACCTCCAAATTCCAAATACAGTTCGATCGTCGATTGCCAATAGAATTACAATAGTAAAATTATTTAGATGCATGCAAGGTCAAGTTTTCCAAGTTTGCATAGTTTGAACTCTGCTATTAAACATAAAAAACTATATTTATAGTTAATAATTCTTTTTTTAAAAATGCGTTACAGTTTAAGTATGACTAATGACTAATGAATTTGGGTACGCCTTGACTTTGACGATTAAATATCCTGAACGTAAAAAAACAAAAAAAAAAACAGAAACAGGCATGTTAATGATCTAATATTTTAAAATAAAAGTTACAGTGTAAGACCTGTTACTTCAAAATTCAAAATAAATGAGTTGCACTTTTGCTTTTTACAATTTTAATGAAAATCGTGTTAATTTTTTATTTTTAATTCTCAGGTAATTTATTTCGTATGTTGTTACCAAAAACACATCATTTTCGGTGAGATGGCAACTGCACGTTGTGGTAATAATATAATTACATGAAAAAAATCATATTAGGGATCCTTTATACTTCCTTTTTATTCTAAAAAAATTTAAATTAAAGATGAAAACATATAATTTATAATAAAATTGAGATATTTCTGTTATTTCATTATTTTTTAATCACAAATACTTACCATGTAAGTCCAAGTCCAAATCATATAATCATAATATAATGGTCTCCGATGCTGAGTTTCGATTGAGCGTTAAAATTTACTAACTTATACTAAAATTCCAATGGTTGTCATGTACTTTTGACTTAAGATTTAAAACACAAATTAATTTTTATGCAATATGAATATACGGGCACACAACGCATGCGCTTTTGAATCTAAGTTTAACAAGCTAACACAAGCTTTATAGGGAAAGATTTAACACATAAATATAATTGTACAACCGAGTCCGAATAATATTGAATACACACATTTTTATGAAATAATTTTCACCACTTTCTTTATTTTCAATCACCGACAAGGAGCAAAAGATATTCACTTTAATTCACACTATTTATAAAATGTATTGTGTCTATAGGCCATTTAGGCAAAAAAAGACTTAGCCGTAGCTAACTTAGTTGTCAGCTGAAATCCCGCCTAGAAATAGCGCCTTTTGGACACACCCTCGTTTCAAATAAATAGGCTATGACTTGCAGAAGTTTAGGCTTTGGGGGCTAGGCTGCATACTCATCATTCAATTCGACATACATATTCATAGACTTACATGATAACGAAACCATAAATCTCTGAAAGAAGTGCATAGCCTTAAATTTACTTTAGAAATATAAAATCAGTTCGTTGAAAAATATTTGAAATCAAAATTAAACAGTCAAAATCAAGTAAAGTAAAGCAATCATTCGGGAAAAAAAAACTATTTTTGTTAAATACGTGAAATGTTAAAAATACCATCTAAGAAATTAGGCACATGTAATATGGGAAAATTCTCTAAAAGCACTAAATTTATTTTTCCGATTCTATTTATGGCGGTCAGAGGGGTAACAGGGGGTGGCGATTCCCCGTGCAACAGCTATTAGAACAGCTGAGTGATAGGTCAAAATTTTCTATGTATGTCAGATCTATTTTTAACCTATGGCGTATTTTTTAACAATCACCGTATACCGAAATAAGATATACCCAACAATATTTCTGTGAGTCAATTTAATTTTCCCGAATAAGTTTGGTTTTAGACGTAGCAAGTCGCAAATCGTTATAATTTATGGTGCATCAAAATGTGCCCCGCCATAACTCTTCTATAGTGACTCTAGCCTAAGTCAGGCTAAGTATCGGTAATTTAAAAATTAAATTTAGCTTTACTAAATAAAATATATGCTACTACCAGGGCCGGCCCTAACAATGGCGGGGCCCTATGCCAAACGGATTGCGCGGGCCCAGTCTGGGTAGGGATAAGGATAATAAGTGAAAATTAAGATTTTGTATTAGAAAAAAAAGTGCAGGGCCCACTGCGGCCGTATAGGTTGCAGTGGCCTAAGGCCGGCCCTGGCTACGACCTGTCCTAAAACTGTTTAATAAATGTGTGTGTGGTTGAAACTGTAATAATTAACAGTTTAAAACATCATTTATGTAAGACTTGATAATATACGATATTGAAACTATTTTTAAAATATTTTATTATAATGTATAATTGTATAATTTACATAACTACAATAAAAACCTTCATTCAAGGTAGTGTCAGTCCGTTTTCCTCACCCCCCCCCCCTTCCCAATTCAAAGAGGGTGGGGAGACCTCTTGTCACTGTAATCCTTTCTTTACTTAATCAACAAAGTTAGTTCCAGAAGCCCCTCAACAAAGTATCATGACTAGAATCTTTCAGCCTGGCACTGAACCATTAAATTAATTCTGAGTGTCAACGCAGATTTATTTCATTAAAATTAACATAATAAAAAGTTGTCTTTTACTGTCTTTTCCTATTCATGTCACAAATAGAAGTATTTTATTATTAAGTATTATTATAGGCTACATGATGACGATGTAATGAATCGTGACGGATGATTTAATTTGATTTTAAGTTTTGTTTTTTTTAAGGCAAGGCCTTATTACTATTGACTATTACTATCAGAATCGGTCTTCTCATAAATGTAAATTATAAGTTTAATAAAGTATAACTTAAACTTAAAGTTAGCCTAATAAATTTAAGGTAGTTGTTAATAGTAAAAGGGGCAAAGGCTGAAACGATTTGACAATTCAACAGAAGTAAAAAAATATTTTCTTACCTTCAAAATTTAAATTATTATTAGTAAATGTGTATACTGGGCACATCATTTATTATTTTGATTAGTTAGTTCATAAGTTTTAATTTGATTGGATATTTTCGGAAATCCCCTGTAGTGTGCTATTTTTCTCCCCCAGCTTCCCCCACCCTCTCTTTCCCCCCCCCCACTTCTTCCAAGGGACATTATGCTAATATATAAAATATTTATTTCTCTCAATTGTAAACTCAGTTGCCTACCCCTAGGACAGTTTTTGTCTCCTATGCATATTTTATGTTGGATAAACCCTAAACAACTGGAGACTTAACTCCCTAGTAGCCCGTACTAGTTCAAATCTATCTAAGTTTGGCAACCACTGCCTTATCCTATGAGTTAAATTAAATTTGCTATTTAAAAAAATCCAAGAATCAAAACTAATTATTTAAATTAATGAGAGATTTAATTTCGTTAGTTGCCCACTACATTATAACTGTCAACTAAATATCATAGCTGATTCTAAATTGATTATCATCCAACCAAATGAGATAACACTTTTACACACATGTCAGAAAATCATTTTATTTGATTTTAAAGGCGTCTTATTTGATCATAAAACAAGTATTCGTTTCTGGGGTAAAGCAAGTGTTTTATGTAACAGAAATTATACAATTTTTTGTGAGTTCTTCAAATGTTACTATCACTTTTACTTACTAGGACGAATTTTCACGCGTAAAAATTGCTGTTATTAATTCATTTTAATATATATACATATATATAATATATATATATATTTATATATATATATATATATATATATATATCGGATTTGAAATCAGTGGATTGAGTGGTGGTCAAAATAATATTAATGAAACATACATATAAATTTAACTATATCTCATAACATATATTCCATATAATATAGGCCTAATACATCTTAACATGGTAGGCCTAATATGTTTCATATATCGGATTATATCGCCTTCCGATTCTTTCAACAACTCTCGTTTGTACGTGAAGCTCCAGGTCAAAGCTACTGACAAACTAATACAATTGTCTCTAGAATTAATTTTCATAATTGTTTAAATTCAATCATTGTGTGTGCCAATTTGTAGGGCACCATCAACTACACCCATTAAGCCCATTTGGACACCCACTATTGCCAACAATGCATAACTACGGCAGAGAACAAAAAATTGACCGTCGATAAGAAGAGTAAAGACAAGACAGGAAAACAAAAAGCTTGCTTAGATCTTTCTTGCTGTGAGCGTCATCGCTATATTTAAAAGCAGGACAACTCACGACCCGGTGAAGGGTCAAAGTTTAGTAACCTTTTTATAAAAAATATATTTTAAAAAAAAGAACAGAAACACTCCTATTGGTCTGACTCAGGGCTCGGCAATGTTTTTTTGAGGGAGGAGCCATTTTTATCAATTATTTTTGCTATTTGCTATGGAAATATTTTAGTGGACTGCATGTCATTATAATAATTTAATATTATATTATATATATATATATATATATATATATATATATATATATATATATATATATTTAAAATCCGTTTCCATTCCCTGATTGCCAACCAGTGGTCTGAATCACTCATGTGCGCTTGTCACTAGTATTATTTGTAACTACTATATATGGCTATGTATTACATTTTAAATATTAAAACACAGTCGATAAGCAACAATTTTAATTTAAATTATATTGCACTCATCCGGGCCTGTCTAATATCATCTATTAGTTATTATGATAACTAATCAGGCATATATATATATATATATATATATATATATATGGCGACAACGTATAAATAGTCTCACGCGCCCATTAATCACAGTATTTTCCCCCCCCCCCCCCCGGGCGATACCACCCACTTTGAGAACCTTTGACTTAAATTATTAAAAACTCAACTGTATATTTTTCGTACAATAATTAACCCATTTTTGTATTTAAAAATATTTCTGGCGTTTTGCTTGTAATTTGTTTGTTAACTTTAAAAAAAAATGATTTTGATTTTAATTGTGGGGGGGGGGGCGGCAGGGCCGGATTCAGTGGCGTAGCGTAATGGGGGCGGTAGGGGAGGTCCGCCCCGGGCGGCACTTTTCCTCTGTATACTGAGGGGCGGCATTTTCGTCGAACTACAAGGTTTTTTCGTGGTCACTGCGGCAAAAATCTTTGCCTGCCTTGGGCGGCATTAAACTTAGCTACGCCACTGGCTGGATTTAAAGGCAGGCCGACTAGGCCATGGCCTAGGGGCCCCGCGAAATAAGGGGCCCCAAAATTGGGAGAAGTATACACAAATAAAAATAAAAAATTGAATATCAATCGAATTGCAGTGAAATTATTTCATAGTGATTTTAATGTTTGTATTGATGAAAATTTCATCTTCAAATAAAAAAATATTAAGTTAATGATTATTAACTTTCATTTCTCGGCAAATGCTTGCATAATGTACGCTAGAAATGTTATATATTATTAATAGGGAGGTTGGCAATGTTATATAACCGTATAGGGAAGGGTCAGGGGAGGGTCAAAAAGGTCATATTTTCGTATTAAATAATATTTCATGGCCACTTTATTTAGATGTTTTGGAATTTAAAGTAATAGTAATAGGCAATTATTTTTATAAGTAAATAGAGTTTCTTTTGTCTTTAATAATAAATTTAATTTGTCTTAATTTCAAGTTAAATTAGCCACATATTTTAAGCAGGCCTTGCATTTAACTTTAAGATTAATTTAAGATTCTGCCTCTTATGTAATCTAAAATTTTAAGTATATGTTCATTAAAAACAAAAAATTAACTAATTGAACTATCTATTGTCTGATATAAACTGTATCATGCTGCAGATCGAGACGGGAACTATGACGAGATCATAGGCAATATTTAATTTCAAAAGAAGACAGTTCAAAGGTCAATGCCAAAATGGAAAAACCCGATAATTATGTTTGCTAAAAATATATTTTGCCTAACTAAAGTGGTTCTTAAAGATATACGTTAATTTATTTATATCCTAACCATTGGTGAGAGATGTGTCTTCAAAAAATATAATTAAATAGGCATTAATTAACAAACATAACGATTGAGTTGATTGTTATGTGCAGACATAATTTCGTGATATAGCCTACGCAAAACTACTAATGTCGTGTTACCAGTCTTATGTCTTACTTATATTGAATTATATTGATTTTGACTTTGACACCATAGTCTACAGTAACTATAGACTAAGTAATGTTGGACATAAAGTAGTTATTTTTATATTATATATAAATAACTTGCCTTATAAGCTTTACTTTAAAAGTTATACTTACACTTATACCTGGGGTACTGTTATAGTAGGCCAATAGCGGCTCTAGGCCTTCACTTAACTTACAAATGTAACTAGGATTTTAGCGAGGTCTTAAAGATATATGGATTAGATAGTTCTATTACTAATTACTAACTTGTGTTTTCCATCTCACGATAGCCTACCTTTAGGCCTATTTCATGAATCAGGAGCGACGCACACCGCACAAGTTTAATTTATAACTGCTGACTTATATGACTTATGCCATGTTTCAAGTACAAGTAGGGGCCTACAATCCTACAAGTACAAGTCATTATTAGTAATATTAGTCAATTAGTGACATTATTATATTTATATTGGTAGTTCTGTGCCATCTCTTTGGTTATCTGTAGTTTATCGTGGGGTGCATTTAACAGTAATTAACTTTTTGTTCTTATTTTAACTAAAGTTATAATTTAAAATAATTAATCACGAGTTCTCATTCATCTCGACTTCTGACGTCACTTAAGGCAAGGAAAAAAAATGAAAGTCTCAATGAAATTGGATAGCTAATGACCGAAGTTGTAATTTACAGCCAACACATTGTCGCTGGGATTAACACCCAGTGTGAATCAACTAAGGCTAACACTAACACGATCAACGTTTTGGGCTTCCTGGTCTCTCCCGTTTTAGTTCCCTTTTTTTCATTTCTTTAACTAACCGGTAGCCCTACTTCAAGTGTAATTACGCATACACTTACACTGACACGGATTTGAAAGGCCTACTACTACTAGGCTTTTCCCTCGACCCCGAGTCCACAAATCATGTCATAAAAATCACATGACGTGGTCCATTAATTAACTCAATTTAAACAGAAGAAGGAAACTAATGTGATTAATTTTTTGAAAACTATAATTTAACCTGGCTTCATTCCACTTCTAGTTTTAGTTTTATCGGATGTTCGACAGAGACAGAGAGGAAACGTAAAAAAAAAAAAGGGACTTCGACTACACTGACACTAGGCCTAATACCGTAATAGAAATAGTGATCAGTGATATAGTAATTAAAGTTATAGTATAGCCATTTCGTATTAGATACGTTTGTTCAAAAACTGTCTCCTTTGTGAATTCGTGTCTAAAGTGTCCAGTAAGAATGCATTTTAAAAGTTTCTTCCACTTCCTTCATTCTCAGTGCATATTTAAATTTAAAGTGGAATATAATAATTAATAATGAAAATGAAAAGTCAATACTTTAGTATAGTATAGGCCTATATGAATGTTATGTTAAAGTAAAAGTATTTAAATAGTATTTGGTTATATTTATATAGGCCTACTTATAAAAAATAAATATTTATTATAAAATGTGTTTCTAATCAATATTATAAATACTCTTTAATAACAATGACATTATTATGAAATGCGATACCACTTTTGGCATTTAGTTTTCTAAAATTCTATGAAGATAAAATTTTACTGGTGTGCCGTATAACTTTATTTTCTCTTTCTGTTTTAAATCAATGAAAATGTTAATACTTTTACTTTTATCTACTAATAATTGTGACATTTTTTAAAATTATGTCTAATACATACAATGACATAAGAAATTATAGAAATAGTCAACTTTTTAAATAATACTAATACTAATACTAATACTAATACATTTACATATGATTATGTATGATACACATTTTACACTTACACGAGTCAAAGCTAGTCACCTCTCACAGTTAAGACTAAGACACTTTTGAGTCACTTTGACTCTAACCTAGAGTAGGCCTCTAAGTCTAAGACTAACACTATGACTAGGTTGTTTTTTTAATTGGAACCCTTTTACCTAGTTATAACTAAAACAACTTCATTTGGGATTTAAACATTGAAGGTCAGATATGGGATATGAGATTAAAATCTTGACAGGCCCTATACAATATAGGCCTATAAGTATAAGTAAATCAAAGCAATGCTATGTAACAAATATTAAACTTTAATGCCTTTATGCCTTATATCTTAACTGTCAACATGTGTAATACATGTTTGTTTTTTTGTGGATTATGTTTATGGTGGTTGAATTAGCATATTTAATATATAAAATCTTTTTCTGGCCAGATTTTCTGTTTTTAAATTTACCCCCCCCCCTTTTCAATGTATATAACTTAAAAACCTTTCCACACCACTGAGAATGATATCTTGAGAACCTTCACTGAGTAAATAATGAGGATATAAAGTAAAAATTGTTTGCCCAAAACATTTTGTTGAATTGTTCAATATTTTTTATTATTAACTCTCTATTAATTGATGGTACCAAAATATAATTTACAATAAATTGTGAGTAAAGTTCATAATCAAAGAGGATTTTAAAAATGAAATTTACTTTCAGTGTCAATCGTATGATTTTGAAATTAAATAATTACACTATTAGAACAAAATATATATTCAAAATGTCATACTGATACTTTACATTTAAAGTCACTGTTAAAAACACAACTTTCCTTAAACAAAATAAATTATTCAATGATTAAATATGTTGTTTTTAAAAATTTTGCTTTAAAATGTATCTATTCTAATTCCAAATTTATACATTTAGGCAATGACAAGACTATGGATATTCTGTGCTGCTCTGTGGTGTGTTGGTCATTGTCTTGAGTGTTTGGATCCCAATGGCAAAACAGTTGACTGGTACGTAGAATCATGTAAATCAATGCATTTTTTTTCCTTTAAAACAAAAATTAAAAAATGTAATGAAAGTTTTTGTTCTTGGAACAAAAATGCTTCAGTTTTTTTAAAGATTAGATAATAGATGCATTATTGATAATCTTGTCTATCTAAACTGAGAGAGGGATAAAAGGATAAGAGGGGGGGGGGTCCACCGGGGGGGGGGGGGGGGTGTTGTCCATATTGTTTTGTTCTGGTTTTTAATTTTCCCTATGGTTCAAATTGGTTTTAATGTATGAGGCAACGTTCTTGTCACTTATGATAGACACAAATTACGGATCCAAGAAATTATGTACTTTGGTTTAAAACATATTAAATATGCACATTGATTGGTTTAAAACATATTAAATATGCACATTGATTGGTTTAAAACATATTAAATATGCACATTGATTGGTTTAAAACATATTAAATATGCACATTGATTGGTTTAAAACATATTAAATATGCACATTGATGACCATTTTAGAAATCTTCTTTGGTTTTTATTCACATCTAATATTTTTATTTGGGTTAAAGATGACTTTCTAATATCAAAAATATTTTTGATAATGTGTAAAAGCAGGCTTCTCAAACTCATTGCCTATGGAACTCATGTGGCTCTCCAAGCTTTCTTCTTCAAAGTGATTTATGTTACCTGTTGTAATAAAAAAAATATACCCAATAACGATGTATACAAGTGTTTAGCTCCCCTGAGGCAATGAAATTACCCTGATGCTTTCCTTTTCCATAGTTTGAGCTTGAGACCCCTGCTTTTGTAATTAATGAAGTGGAATTTTCCTTTCAAAAAGTATTTTAAAAGATGTTTTAACTTTGATCTATTAATTGATAAAGATAGGAACAGTGAACATATTATATAACATGAAAAGGGGGGGGGGGTGGTTATGATTTTGTCATAACTTATATTGTGTTATATGGGGTGGAGGTGGTAGAGGGCAATGTTATATAACAATTCATTTTGTAATTTGTGAATTCGTATTTTTATACCTTAAATCTTGAACAGTTAATTTTTTAAAAAGTAATTTTGCGAAATTTTAATAGTATGTTGTTAATTCTAGTCTTGATACAGTTTTCCTGAAGTTTTGAAGGACTATGTATAATAACAGTAGCAGTTACAGTTCTTAAATAAAATGCTGAAAATAAAATTTTGGTAGTACCAGTGTGTGGGTGGGGTGTGTGTTTGTATTAGAAATATTATATAATATCAAGGGGGGTGGGGTGGAAATGTTATATAGTATTATTATTATTATTATTATTAAGGGTTGGGTAAAAAAATAAAGTCCTATTTTTGTGTTATATAATATGTGCACTGGCACTTAACTATCGGGCAAATTTTGCAGGTACATAATCTATAAGGCTCCAAGTTTTCCTAAGTCAGACAACTGGATTTTTAAACATGGCCTGGCATATTATTACCTAGATGTTAACAACCAGAATTTGATGTTATCAGCGACTGCCATCAATGACTCCAGCTCCCCCATCACCAACACACTTATGCAGATTTACAACTCAAAGGTAGCTGTAAGTTAATAACAATAATGAAAATAATACTGTAATATTCGAAAAAATCAATTTTTCAAGGTGGTCAAAGATCTTGGGATTGAACCGTCATTGTGCTCAAAACTTTTGACAGATGTTTTATTTTGGTTTATTCTTGGCTTTTTGCACCACCTGTATGACGGTTCCTGGGTGTTGTCACATATTTAACTTTTATAAAAAGTGAATTATTTGTCATTTTGACTTTAATGCGTGTATTTGCACCTCTTCTGCTTTAAAAAAAAGACATTTAATCATGACTAAAATAGACCTCACATTATATATTCTTCTTCTCTTCTTAGCCGTTCTCACTCTAACCAACACCCTACATACTAACACAGGCCATCCACAATACGTTTCCCCCTGTCCCTGTGTTCGGCGATCTGTGCCCAACTTTTTCTTCAATCTCTTGACCTTTGCCTCTAATCCCCTCTTCCGTGTGGCCTTCTTGGTCTTCCTCTTTTCCCTGCCACCTTGAGGCTTTCAGTTCAGGGCCTGTCTGGTGATGTCAGTGTTTGGTTTCCTTAATGTGTGCCCTGTGAATCTCCATTTTTCTCTTTTGTGTCTCCGTTTCCACTTGAACACTTGGAGTTCTTTCCCAAAGGACAGTGTTACAAATTGTGTCAATCCATCTTATTTTGAGGATATATCACCAATGGGTCCCCCTTTGCAGACATCAAAGCGAGACATTGACACAGCACCTCTTTCACTGCTGATTACTTCGTGACTTATTCCTTAACTATCTATAAAAAATACCAGACCTAACCAACACCCTACATACTAACAAACAACATCTGCGGAGAGTGTGCCGATTCTTCACCCTTACCATGGCCAAAAGGGAATATTGTTACATGCTTTTCTTATATCATATTATGGGTCCTATACTGTATTTGTTATTCTAATTTCAGGATACTAGTCCTAAACTGTACTTATTATTCTAATTTCAGGATACTTGTCTTATACTGTACATATTATTCTAATTTCAGGATACTAGTCCTAAACTGTACTTATTATTCTAATTTCAGGATACTAGTCCTATCCTGTACTTATTATTCTAATTTCAGGATACTAGTCCTAAACTGTACTTATTATTCTAATTTCAGGATACTAGTCCTATCCTGTACTTATTATTCTAATTTCAGGATACTAGTCATATCCTGTACTTATTATTCTAATTTCAGGATACTAGTCCTAAACTGTACTTATTATTCTAATTTCAGGATACTAGTCCTAAACTGTACTTATTATTCTAATTTCAGGATACTAGTCCTAAACTGTACTTATTATTCTAATTTCAGGATACTTGTCTTATACTGTACATATTATTCTAATTTCAGGATACTAGTCCTAAACTGTACTTATTATTCTAATTTCAGGATACTAGTCCTATCCTGTACATGCTTTACAATGATCAGCCGCCTAAAACTCCAGCCAATAGTGTTACTGGTGGGCACACAAAAGGTATTATTGAGTCAAGTAAAGTCACAGTCATTGAAGAGTTGATTGGTTTGGAGTGTAAGGCAGAGTGAGGGAACATTTACATTGGAGTGTAAGGCAGAGTGAGGGAACATTTACATTGGAGTGTAAGGCAGAGTGAGGGAACATTTACATTGGAGTGTAAGGCAGAGTGAGGGAACATTTACAAAGAACAAAAGAGACAGAACATTTGCACATAATAAGGGGAAAAAACACACAAAAAAACAATAAAAACATAAGGTGGCATCTTTCAAAGCAAATTTTTTTACTTTCATCAATTATAGATTATATATAGAAACAGTTTGAACACAGCTTTCATGCTCTCAATTCCATTGAACACACCTTTGATGCTCTCAGTTCCATTGAACACACCTTTGATGCTCTCAGTTCCATTGAACACACCTTTGATGCTCTCAGTTCCATTGAACACACCTTTGATGCTCTCAGTTCCATTGAACACACATTTTATGCTCTCATTCCATCGTTTATAAAGGTGTTATAGGATTCGACAAAAGCAAGAGCTCAGGTTTCTGGCTGGTCCATAGTACGCCCAAGTTCCCACCACAGAAAGCCTCGGGCTACCATTGGAATATCGGAGCATCAATCAATGGCCAGGCTTTTCTGTGTGTCACCTTCCCATACAAAGAACTGGGTAACATAGGTAAGAAAATATAATTTTTACCGGCATCCCGTTCCAAGATTGTTGCTGGTTTGAAGAGGTTTTTACTTTAGGGTTAGTTAACTCCTAGAATAGCTACCATACTGGTGTGTTCAGTGGCGTAGCGAGGGTATTTGGCGCCCGGGGACAAGATTCGCGCTCGGGGACAAGATCCATTGTAAAGCGCCCCTTTTTCTTTTTTTCAACTCTCAAACCCATCATTTTCATCAATAAAATATTATCAAAGCACATCTTGGCGCCCCTAACTAGCTGTTGCCCGGGGACATCTGTCCCCCACTGCCACCCCCTCACTACGCCTCTGGATTCTATTCCTAGGGTTAGTTAACTCCTAGAATAGCTACCATACTGGGGCGTGGATTCCATTCCTAGGGTTAGTTAACTCCTAGAATAGCTACCATACTGGTGTGTAGATTCCATTCCTAGGGTTAGTTAACTCCTAGAATAGCTACCATACTGGTGTGTAGATTCCATTCCTAGGGTTAGTTAACTCCTAGAATAGCTACCATACTGGTGTGTAGATTCCATTCCTAGGGTTAGTTAACTCCTAGAATAGCTACCATACTGGTGTGTAGATTCCATTCCTAGGGTTAGTTAACTCCTAGAATAGCTACCATACTGGTGTGTAGATTCCATTCCTAGGGTTAGTTAACTCCTAGAATAGCTACCATACTGGTGTGTAGATTCCATTCTTAGGGTTAGTTAACTCCTAGAATAGCTACCATACTGGGGTGTAGATTCCATTCCTAGGGTTAGTTAACTCCTAGAATAGCTACCATACTGGGGTGTAGATTCCATTCCAAGTAAATTTTTATTAGGAATGAACTAGGACGAGTTCAAAGCCTTCAATTGCTGGATGTGGCTGCTGGGTGGCCAAGCTATCTCAAAGGAGTTAGTCCAAAGCCTTCAATTGCTGGATGTGGCTGCTGGGTGGCCAAGCTATCTCAAAGGAGTTCGTCCAAAGCCTTCAATTGCTGGATGTGGCTGCTGGGTGGCCAAGCTATCTCAAAGGAGTTCGTCCAAAGCCTTCAATTGCTGGATGTGGCTGCTGGGTGGCCAAGCTATCTCAAAGGAGTTCGTCCAAGGCCAAGCTGTCTCCAAGGACTTCGGCCCAAGCCTTCAATGGCTGGATGTGGCTGCTGGGTGGCCACGCTATCTCCAAGGAGTTCGTCCAAAGCCTTCAACTGCTGGATGTGGCTGCTGGGTGGCCAAGCTATCTCAAAGGAGTTCGTCCAAAGCCTTCAATTGCTGGATGTGGCTGCTGGGTGTGGCTGCTGGGTGTGGCTGCTGGGTGTGGCTGCTGGATGTGGCTGCTGGGTGGCCAAGCTATCTCAAAGGAGTTCGTCCAAAAAGCTTGTGACATGGAGTTCAGTCCCCATGAAAGCCCAGGCAGGCAAAAAACATACCCAGTGCCTCGGGTGGATGGGACTCATTAACCTTGGATGGGACGGCAACTCATCTAAGAGAAGGCAAATTCTGAATTTAAACCCGGAGATGGAGTCCCCTTGGCAGATAACATTGACACAATGAATATTCCGGCAACTCCTGGGACGCTCATGGGGCCAAGCTGTATCATCCTGGGACACTCATGGGGCCAAGCTGTATCATCCTGGGACACTCATGGGGCCAAGCTGTATCATCCTGGGACACTCATGGGGCCAAGTTGTATCATCCTGGGACACTCACGGGGCCAAGCTGTATCATCCTGACATCCTGGGACACTCATGGGGCCAAGCTGTATCATCCTGGGACACTCATGGGACCAAGCTGTATCATCCTGGGACACTCATGGGGCCAAGTTGTATCATCCTGGGACACTCATGGGGCCAAGCTGTATCATCCTGGGACACTCATGGGGCCAAGCTGTATCATCCTGGGACACTCATGGGGCCAACCTGTATCATCCACATATTATGTTCACTAGGGTTATCTACGTGTGAGGAGGGAGACGATTTGCTGACTAGGGAACCAGATTATCCTCCTAAAGAAAAATCCCAGGCCTTGTGATTTCGTCCTGCAAAGTCTGCACCATCGCCACATTGTGACGGACAAGTCTACACCACCGTCACATAGTGTCAGACAAGTCTACACCATCGTCACATTGTGACGGACAAGTCTACACCATCGTCACCATTGTGCAAAAAAAACAACAAAGAACTGGATGTGAGGCAGACAATGCTGTTATTTAATCACAGGGACACCAAATATATACTTAAAAATGTCATTTTAAAAATTCAGTTACTCAATATCCCCAATTGTCTAAAAGGACAGATTAATGACTTAAGAACTTGTTAATGAATTCACTCTAGTTGACCTAATTTAAATTGAATGTCTTCATGTTTGCATAGAATATTTTTCCCTCATTATTAATTTTAACTTATGTCTTAACAATCGCTCAGCTGGCCAGCTGTGGTACAACCAAGTGCACATTTATGACAAGAAAGTAACGGCAGACTATCTGGAAGACTTCCCCATTTTGAACCGGTTAATAAACAAAACATCTCCGCCTGGTAAACCTTGGTTCAACGTTACGAATCTTGCATCCCAGAAGGGTCAAGTCTTCAGGAGTTTTGCTAAATCTGGCAAGTTTGGAGCAGGTATTACAATTCTGTGGTGAAGACTTCTTTCTATTATTTTTTTTATTTTTCACATTCCTGTTATTTTAATAATAAACTCTGGTTTACATTGCTTCAACTAAGCCACTTCGCATCAACATCATCCTCATTTGGAAAAAAAAAAAAATCAAATATTGATTATATAATAAAGGATTAATTAAAAATCTATGAAATTAAAAAAAATGTATTTCTTGTTTTGCCAAATTGCCTCTGTTACTGATATTATAGTTTTGTACAGTCTGGGTGCATTTGATCAATGGGGGGCAGTTTTAAAGCTAGTCTATAATGAAGAATTTGACAGTCTTCTGTGGCTTAGGACACTATTCCCTCATTCACTATTGTACAGATCTCTCTGATGATTTGATGAGTCTTATGTGGTTCATCTTTCATTATTCTAATTCTACAGATCTGTATGATAGTCTTGTGGCTCCAGATCTTAAACAAGACCTGTTTGTTGAGACTTGGCTGCGGGCCAAAGGGGATGAGCTGAATTCCAGCTGTACGGCCCCGTACAAGGTATTATTTTTAATTGAATTGGGCCTTTTGCACAAGGCTAGAGAGTGTTTGCATCATAACGAGGTGGTAGCCCCGGTACAAGGTAGTATGTTGAATTACATTGGGCCTTTGGCACAAGGCTAGAGAGTGTTTGCATCATAACGAGGTGGTAGCCTGGTGTGTAGTGGTTCCCAAAGTGGGCAATACTGTCACCCTGAGTGCGGTGGAATCTCCCAAAGTCATCAGACACAACTAAGCTGTTGCCATAAATATTTGGAGATTTCTACTCATTATATGACATTAGCTGGGACATTATTCCAATCTTTCTAAAACCAAAGAATAAACTCTCCTTTCAGTTTCTGAGCCTGTCGACCATAGATGAGATTAAGGGTGGGGCTTAAAGTGGAGGTACAAGGAGATATAGTTGGTGGCGTCACTAAGGTTGGTGGCGTCACTAAGGTTGGTGCTGTCACTAAGGTTGGTGGCGTCACTAAGGTTGGTGCTACCCAGTTCGGTAAACGCATGGCGCCACCTCCTCTTTAGACTGCCCAAATGATTTCACTAAGTCTTCCTGCTCTGGTGACACCCTGCTCTGGTGACACCCTGCTTTGGTGACACCCTGCTCTGGTGACACCCTGCTCTAATGGCACCCTGCTCTCATAACACCCTGCTCTCATAACACCCTGCTCTCATAACACCCTGCTCTCATAACACCCTGCTCTCATGACACCCTGCTCTCATAACACCCTGCTCTCATAACACACTGCTCTGGTGACACCCTGCTCTGGTGGTACCCTGCTCTGGTGGCACCCTGCTCTCATGACACCCGGCTCTGGTGACACCCTGCTCTCATAACACCCTGCTCTCATAACACCCTGCTCTCATAACACCCTGCTCTCATAACACACTGCTCTGGTGACACACTGCTCTGGTGGTACCCTGCTTTGGTGACACCCTGCTCAGGTGACACCCTGATCTGGTGGCACCCTGCTCTCATGACACCTGGCTCTGGTGACACCCTGCTCTGGTGGTACGCTGCTCTCATGACACCCTGCTCTGGTGACACCTGCTCTGGTGGTACCCTGCTCTCATGACACCCTGCTCTGGTGTACCCTACTCTCATTGCTCTGGTAACACCCTGCTCTGGTGTACCCTGCTCTCATGACACCCTGCTCTGGTGGTACCCTGCTCTCATGACACCCTGCTCTGGTGACACCCTGCTCTGGTGGTACCCTGCTCTCATGACACCCTGCTCTCATGACACCCTGCTCTGGTGGAACCCTGCTCTCATGACATCCTGCTCTGGTGAAACCCTGCTCTGGTGACACCCTGCTCTGGTGGTACCCTGCTTTGGTGACACCCTGCTCTGGTGGCACCCTGCTCTCGTAACACCCTGCTCTGGTGACACCCTGCTCTGGTGGCACCCTGCATTGGTGACGCCCTGCTCTGGTGACATCCTGCTTTGGTGACACCCTTTTCTGTTTGCAACTTGATTTAATGAAAACCTGATTTAATGCAAATTTCTTTAACCTGTTGTGGTGACACATTTTTCTGGAGAATACCTGATACAGTTGCAACCTGTTGTGGTGACACCTTGTTGTGGTGACACCTTGTTCTGGTGAATACCTGCTACAGTTACAACCTGTTGTGGTGACACCTTGCTCTGGTGAATACCTGCTACAGTTGCAACCTGTTGTGGTGGCACCTTGCTCTGGTGAATACCTGTTGTGACACCTTGCTCTGGGGAATACCTGCTACAGTTGCAAATTGTTGAGGTATCTTGCTCTGGTAGCACTCTTATCATATAGTTAACTGAGGTAACTGTTTTGAAACAGACTTGAGCGAATATTGTCAAATTTTCAATTTTCAACTTGGTGTGTCGTCCTGTGCAGGCAGCAGCCCTTGGTGACGGTACTACTTCAAATATCTTGTGACCAAATGAATCTGGTACACAAAGTTGGGCCTAATCATTTTTAGGATAATTTTTCATTGATATTTTAGAGTGGTTGATAAATCCATTTTTAGGTGCAGATGCATTCGGTTATTTTGATGAATAGCTAAATTCAAAGTTGAAGCCAAAGCTTAGGTAATCACACATCAGATTCTTGGCAATGGACAAAAATTTCATGTCATTAATATGCACTGTAGAAAGTAGTCAAGAAGCACTGTCTCGCAAAGAAATATATTCCATATGTCTGCAATGTTTGATTTAAGAGTGTTATTAAACCAGACATTGAAGAAATGGCATCACTTTACTTGGCCCACCCAAAGAATACAGTAAGAATAAAGCTAAGCTATGTAGAAGTAAGTTACTATTACTAAGTGCTTAATTATAATCCTACTTTATAATAGCTGCGCAACTAATGGATTAAGGTAATCTATTACATGAATTAATTTAATTAAAAATCTTTTTTATATTTTGATTTAAAGTTCATTTACATAAAGTTCCATGACATTTATCATGTTTTAATCTTGAATTGTACGAACTACTGTCCTGAATAATATTTTTGGGGGGTAACAGGGCCGCTAGGGATGGTTTTAATGTTGCCAAAGGGGGGCTACCCAAAAATAGTTTGAGAAATATTGGTGTAGTGGGTGGAATGGACCTTTCCCAGTAAGACGCCCACGGAATCTGCATCTGCACACTCCCAAAGCCAAAAAATGCCATTCAATAACAGTGTTTGGTAACCTATTACTTAAAACTAAAGCCAATGTGAAGGGAAGCAACTGGAAGTAAAAGGTAGGTATGAGTTGTTGGACCTGACTCTTGAGAGGTTCATTTCTGTTGTGGATAAAAACAATAATAAATTGCATTTATTAATTAGTTCAGACTTTTTCTTTCCGTAATGCTATTTTAGCCTATAATAATATAATTTATATAGCTAAACAAAACTTGTTTCATTCCTAACAGGTGTACCGAGTGAAAAACATCACTCTACCGGGGGGAGTAGAGTTCAGTGAGGACAAAGACCATTCCAAATGGGCAGTCACCTCTGGCAATGCTTTCCGATTAACGTACAGATCTGAGAAGGTACTTTTGTTCTTAATAAGCTCAGTGTTTTTAAGTTAGTTTTAAGTTGAATTTTCTCCAAACAAAGAAGTCATTATTTACCCCAGAGCTTCCTCACCTGTGGTGTTCACACCAACAGAAGGTGTGGTCGTGCAACAGGAGGTGTGGTCGTGCAACAGAAGGTGTGGTGGTGCATTGCCGGTAAATAAAAGTGATTGATATAAATGTGTTTAACATTAACATTTTACTTTATGTAACAAGCCGCACATTAACATTTTACTCTATGTAATGAGCCGCACATTAGCATTTTACTCTATGTAACAAACTGCACTTTTATTTTCTAAGTTCTCCTTGTATTTCAGTTTTAAAAAGTTAGATGTCGAGTAATAATTTATTTTTTTTCAAATTGTAAATTACTTTGTTAACTTTCTTGGTGTGTGAGACTTTTTATTAGTCAAAGAATTTGTCAGGGTGCGAGACTTAGTCAAACAATTTTTAGAGGGTGCAAGACTTAGTCGTAGGGGGTTTGGAGTGTAGAAAAGATTGGGGAAACAGTGAGCCGAGTTTCACATACCATGCAGGGTACAGTTAACATTCAGGATATAATTACCACTCACGATATTAGCACCACATCAGGTATATAGCATATAATTTTGTAAGTCCCTCTCGATGTGTAATCCCCACTTAGGGCATATTAAGTGGCATCACACCAGGTCCTAGGGCTGAGGTGCAGGCAATAGCTCTTTGCCACACTTTTGGCTATCAGACTACTGTAAGAGACACATTCGTAACATGATTTAAATCTCTAAGACAGACTTATAAAGGGCGTGATCATATTTATTGTTGTCATTGTATGACCACAATTAAAAGCATGTATAAAGGAAAATACAAATTTTTCCAAATTTCATTTAATGAGAAAACTTGTTATATTTCTGATTTACCATCTGTTCAAACTGTGGTTCAAAACTCAAAATCACATCGTAATTCAGCCCCAAGATTCACATACACCCTGAATGATCTATGCTCTTGAGGCACGTCATTGAAGATAAGCTAGCTGCCGCATAAACCCATACATCAAGACCAAAGTATAGGTCCCAGATTTTGGCTTGGAAGATAAGCAACCAAAAGATACCACTGTCACTACCACAGTTATACAAGAGGTGCATTTTTTTGAGAGAATGTTGGAGTCACTATTTAACAAATCTGCATTATCAGCTTTAAAATCATCCTTATTGATACCAAGTTTATGGACGGATGATTCTTCCATATTTAAATAGTAGTAGGGATATTTTAAAAGCTTATATTGATATGCCATGTTAAACATGTCAAACATTGGAATTTCTGTCTAAAATTTCTGTGATAAAAATAAAAGTTTTCTTTTCCAATTGAAAGGTAACTTCTTCATAACTTTCCAGATAACATCAGTATTTTGCAAAGTTGTGAAAATTACTTTTATTGCATTTGATAAAGCTAATGTTTCGCTTCATGAATAGTATGAACCTGATCACAGTCGGCTTTACTTTTGATTGAATATTTTGGGGGAGATAATTCAAGTGATCTATGATGTCAGAAAGCAAAGGTCGCACAGCAATTTTTAGCAGTTCACAAATTTTGGGAAATCAAGCAGTTGTAACAATGTTGAAATTTTCCTCGATGGTTCTGTAGAAAATTGCATGTTGTAAACAGCATTTTCAAAATAATAATCTTCAGCTTACTTCAATGACTGCTTAAACTAGTCTTGAATGATGGCAAAACTGCATCAGTTTGAATAGTTCTGAGTGACTTCGAGAAATGCAGGCAGAACTTTTTTGTTCATTTCATTTTTGTGAAGTGCAATAAAATCTGCATTTTTCCCCATCATACGCCTTTGTTAGTGAATTTCTATAAATCAAGTGTTGGGATAAAAACTGAAATTGGGGTCATAAAAAGTTACATGTCTGTAATCACTGTAGTGAAACTTCAAAATCGACAAAATAAATTAGTGAATATAAAGCTTTGGATGGGCACATATTCATTGGCTATCGTATTTGCAGTGTAAAGACCACACTAGTTGCAACAGCCTAACTGGACATTAAGTCATTAAGACAAGTCCTGACATCCCACAGTCAGTGCATTACTTCCATTTATTTTTGTATCTAAAAGTGGCATAGCTTTTGTCCTGGCAAGCTTTTTACAAAATGTTTATTTCAGTATTACACAAATGTAACAACTGTACCAAAAAATGGAGTTAAATGTTATCAGGTATCAATAGACCTCAATAAATAATCAATCATTTGAAATATAAAATATTAAGGAGCCTCTCTATCATGAAATAGTTGTAATGCTCCTTGAAAAACATAGAATTTAAATTTAATGAGGAGCAAAAATATTGTTTTAAGACAATGTGAGATTCTAAAGTGATTTTTTTTTTTCATGCTAAATGATATTATTCAAGATAGCCACCATATTGCTCCCTTCCATTTATATGTATTTAAGATTATTAATAAATGAACAGTACGGGTCAGGGTGACCTGGAGCTCATTTATTAAATTACATTTTCTAAATGACCTAATTCATCAACAGGTGTTGACAGAGCAGACTTCAAATGATTGGACTTGCATTGGTGACATCAACCGAATGGCAAGTCAATTTAAAAGAGGTGGCGGAACAATGTGTTTACAAAATCCTAATGTGTGGTCAGCTTTTAGAAAGTCTGTTGCAGTCTACGAAAAATGTCAAAGTTAAATGCTTGGTTTCACTTTCCTTCATAAACGTTCAGGTGTTTTATTTAAACCTAACTTGAAGGCAAATATTTTGAAATGGTCTTTAAATTTAAATGACAAAACCTTTCTAATCTAATTCTAAAATGATGTTATGTGAGCTGTACATTTTCCATAATCCACTTTCCTTCATACTCATAGATGTTTTATCTAAATTAATGCACATTTTGAAATGGCCTTTGAGTGATAAAGCCTTTCCATCTAATTCTATGATGCTGTATTTTTATCTTTCTCAGTATTAAACATTTTTTTTAGAAGGCATACTGTTTCATTCATCTCTTGCAGTTTCTCTTGCAGTTTTAATTTTACTAGATTCCTACTATTGAATTCTTTTAAAATAGCCAAAAAAATGACTAGGAAGCCACTTCAACTGGCATTTTCAGCTAACCAGGAAGCTACTTCAACTAGCTAAATTGTGTAGTACTGAGATAAAACTTTAATACAGCTCTAATTATATTATAATTTTCATAAGTCTGAAGTAGTGTATATTATTAAGAATGTATAATTAATTTGTCCTGAATTTAGAGTATTTAGGGATCTAAAAATTGTAAATTCATAATTAAATTTGTAGAAACTTGATCCTTCAATTTACCTGTACACAATTCCCCCAAACAAAACAAAAATTCTTTAAAAATCCTTTTGATAATCAACTGCCAGACATAGTTTGACAATTTTGCCATAATGCATTAGATTTAGATTTTGTATAGAGGGTTGGATGAATACTAAGTATAACTCAGTAGGTTGAAGTTATAGCCAAGTAATTTAACTACAATGTCAAAGTTATATTTTACTTTTTTTTTAAAAGTTCATCAATTTAATCCTGTAACTAAGTAAAATTGCATACTTCATGTACCCTGTCAAGTTTAACTGTTCCATAAACCATTTTCAAAAAGTGTGATGTCATGAATTTAGGAATGATCAAGTTTATTTCATCATTGCATTCAAATTTATTTTTCAAATGAGGGCATTCAGTGCTGGAGCCTTTTCAAATGGTTTACAATTTTCAATAATTATATTTCAAGTATTTTGTGTGTATATATATTTTCAGAGACTTTACACTTTTTATATTATGAAATAAAAGTTTAATTTCTATTTGGCATTTCATTTTTGTATAATTAGTTCCTGTTCTGTTTTACAAACATTCTTGATTCCTTTCTCACCCTTTCTCCCCCAATCTCAAATTGAAAAAAATATGTTAAAAGATGTCAAAATGCTAATATGTATCATGAACATATTATCAATATGTATTTGGTTCATTCATATAAAATGTGTAAAAAAAATTTGTATCAAATAAATTTTTTACACTGACAGACCATTCCAATCAGGCTGGTAGGCAACATACAAGTTGACTGAAGCAGTTAGGGCGAGAGAGAAAAAGTGAAGAATATTTTTTTTTATTGCAAATGCCAATACAGTAGTTCATAAGCTATTGATCCATTTTAACAGTTCTTGTGGAAGACAGCTAATCAATGAAACTGATGTTACATTATGGTGATGTTTCGTTGATTCAGATGATAGAGATGTGTACGTTGGCACGTTTCTTGATAGCGTTTATTTTTATCATATGGTGATGTGATGTTAGAGTGATAATGTGAAAGCACTCATAGGTTGGACATTACTAGACAGCCATTGTACTACTGGGATGTCTAAGAACTGCACTACCCTTTTTTTTTTCGCTCATTACCAATGGTCTTTGGGATAAAATTTTGAGGTGTCATCTCTGGTTTGATCACACTCAAATATTTTCAGGAATTAATAGGCTCCATGATGAACTTTTTAAATCCAACATGGTAGAATTCCAGAAGTTATATTAATATAGCTTTGTATTTCCACAGCTGTGATAGTGACGAATGCCATGGAAGTTAAGTGTATGGTGGGAGCAAAGGAGAACCATTTCTAATGGACTGTAAAATTGAAGAAATTCGGCCCTTGGATTTTCCAGGATAATATCCTTGTAGAATGAGGCCTGTTGTAAAACTATAAAAGTTTGTTCTTCTAAATGATGTCACCCAGGGATTCTTCATTTAAAGGGCGTGCAGCCTGGCACCTCTCCTCCTGTTGTTACTGCTGAAGCATTTCTTCTCTGGGAAGAAGATAAGGCCTGAATGATGCTCAATCTGGCACAGTGGGGTCAGGAAGTCCTCGAGTTTGACCTCTTCACCTTCTTCTGGGGTGGCGTTTGGCATCATGTATGACTCTAGCTCGAGTTGACCATCGTGAGTTTCAATAACAATGACCTGTTAAGAAAATGGAAGTGAAAAATGTTAAATACAATTAAGAATGTATTGCAGAATGGATTTTCATTTAAATAGGAGAAATCACATGTCCAGAAAGAATCTTCAATAGTGTTAAACTAATTATAACAAAACCTTTTTATAACAGTCATGTAAGATTAGAAATTTAAAAAAAGGTAGATGTACAGCGTTAAGAATTTTATAACTAATATGGTTACCTTAAAGAAGTGAGTAGGTACAGAAACTTCACCATCACCAAGAACGTCGAACTGCTTGACAGTCTTGTCGTCATCCACGCTGTAAATATAAAGTATATTTTAAAAGAAGGTTTCATTTTGTTTCATGACTCACAAAACTGAGATCAGACATATGAAAGAGAGTAAGAAATTTCAAATAACAGATCAGTAATGTGGCATATTATTTTAGGCCCAGAACATCTTTAGAACACTGGTGGTCTCCTGCTTTTGACTGATCCCACAAGGTATAATGAAAGTTGAAGCCATTTGATTACCATTTTATGATGGAAACGTTTTAATTATAATTTAAATAATGAAAAAGAAAAGATTGCACACTTACATTGGCAGGAATAATGGACCTGAGCAAACATACACCCCTTTGTTTTCCCTCACCAATTTCTCACGAACGTAGCACTCCAGATCAAACCATGGTCCGCAGTTGAACCCTGGTACCTAGACAGATGAGAAAGTTTCATTAATAAATCTTACCTAGACCATATTAGAAAACTTAAATTCATGAATTGGTCATTAATAATTAGGAGACATCTTGATTTTTTAAAAATAAATCTAAAACATTTCAGGTTATTTCCTGAATAAGGATGCTAAAACTTTACCTGTGGGACAATGTTTGTCATTGTGAAACATTCGCAGAAAGATTCAGGATCATATGGGTAGTTCTCAGGCTGTGCCATTAAGCCCATCTCATACTCAGTATCGCAATAATCTTTGGCATCTGCCCGATGGTAACCATGAATGCGACAATCAGGGGTGAACTTTGGCCTCTCTTTATCTTCATTGCTGAAAGAGTTTGAAAAGCACATTGTAACCTTCTAAAACTAGATTAAGTATTGTTTAATAATAAAAGATCTTGCTTGGCTTATTGCTTAACAGCTTTCTACTAGATGGAGGAGAAAGGTTAAAACCCAATGACTGTAAGATATGTGATACTATGAGATGATAATTATTTGACAGGTAGGTAATGAAAAACTTGCTTTCTGCAGTTATTGGCAACACAGAGATTTAGTAGCCTAACAAAGTCAGATGCACCAAGTCCTTTGTTTTATCAAGCCATGGTTAAAGCTATGTTCCTTATTTGTAAACAGAAGGCATTTTCTCTGACTGAATCGTTAGTAGTAGTAGTAGTAGTAGTAGTAGTATTGTATAATTGTTCATGCCAGTTTTAAATATGGCCATTTAGTTATAGTTTCCTTGGTAACAGACGTCAACTTTACAACATCTTATTCAATTTAAAGAAAAGTATCTGAGAAAAACTGTACATTGTCAACGAATGTCGTATTTAATGAGTTTTATGACACTAAAAATGTGACAGTCAAGTTCTGTGAGTAGTTTATCAAGTAGTAGTCTAGTAGAACTAGTAGTAGCTTGTCACATCATGAAAAAGCTTGACTTAGTATTTATAAGTATTTATAAACAGCCGAGTTGCAATCAGTGTAAAATTTGACTTATAGACCATCAAATGTTCATTTTGCCATATTTTTTTTAAAAGATGATTCAGTTGATTACTGATAATGAACAAAATAACATTTTGATAATTGTTTTGTCCAGAACTAGAGAATTCAAAACCAATAGCAACTTCAAGTATGTTGCTACATCCGGTGCTGTTGCATCCGGTAAAATGACGTCATTCACAAGTCTGATTTGAAGTTCCAGATTTGTTAATAAATCCAAGTCACATTGAATAAAGAAAGGAAAATAGCCATACGAATATTAGCTTTAGATTCTACTATTGCGTTTAACATTAGAAAAGCATGCGCATGATGACATAGTAGCTAACCATTACTCGCGGGCTTCCTTAGCAACGGTTACTATAGAGCTGGGTTGGCTAATTTTGTCCTTGCAGCAAAATAAGTCATATTTTTTAAAGTTATAAAGGTTTGAAAAATGAGCTATAGCAAATTTTAAAAGAAAACACAGGACGTAACAAATATAAAGAATATTTTAAAGCCAGTCAAATGTTTAGGAAACGGTACTTTGATTTATGAGTGACCTTTAGAATTTTAGGAAATGGGTGATTTAGTGATATTGGGGAAACAAAATAGTTAAATGCTTCGTACATTAAGAATTATTCCAACTAGATTAGTACATGCAAGTTTTCGTTCAGTGAGCACCTTGACTACAATTAATCTTAGGCCGTTGAATGAAGGTTGATATTAGGTCATAGGATTGAAAGAAATTACATTACAAGTTAACAAAAATCATCAGTTCTTACCTGGCACATTGTGTTCTCTCGACTTTGACTCTCCTGTCACAAGGATCATCCTTGAAGAGTTTGTCATACTGAAGGTGTTCGTAGACCCAGTTGGGGATTCTGTTCTTCGAGTCATATGAAACGATAAAGTCCTTGAACCTCAGAGGTTTGCAGCAGGCAGTTGGCTGAGGAAAGCCGACTCTCTTCTTGATAACATCGCCAACGTAACAAGGCTCTTTGTTGTCAGCAGCATGCAAAGTCAGGGGACTCAGCAGATCGTGTTTCTTCAAAACCGTGCTTAGACCGCATGCAACGGACGTGGCGGCAAGACTGGTGAAGCTAAACATATTGGAAAGTTCCGAGATGTAACACTAACAACGAGAAAATACTGACCTAACTGTCCAACAGATGAGCAACTGTGAGATTAAAAGCTGCCTGTTCAGCAACCCAAAAAAAAATGGTGGTCGCCCAACACCGCTGCTTACCGTTGCGAGATAGTTTGGAGATGCTGGTCTACTTGTGTGATGTCATATTTGAATAACCCTGACAACAGAGAATGCGTCGTGCAGTGATTATGACGTTTTCCCCCCTAATGATTTATCTCTCGTACACTACGGTGCGGTTGGACAGAAAGGCGCAAATGCGTGGTGCGCTACTCTGTGATTGGCCAACATTAGTATTGTGTTTTTATTGCCCATCTCGAATACGCCTAGTTAAAAGACGGAATGCCACCGTTTCAAATAATGAAACATCCGCATACCTTTATCACTCAGACATTTGGCTCTCAGCTGGTCTTTCTTTTTTACTTTTTTTATCCTTTTTTCCCCCTCTCCTTATTTCTTGTTTAAAAACTTTTTTTTTTTTCCTTCCGGTTTGATAAAACTACACAAAGCTTTGACGATAAATCCGATGCTTCTCTTTTTAGGGCAGTGCAGAGGAATTTGAAATAAAAGAGTTGATACAGCTGCGCTACTTGAAATTATTTTATTTTCTTGTATTAAAAAAAAACAAAAACAGTTCTGAGTTTTATTTCTTTCCTCTAGCTGCAGCCATATCCTAAGCCACATTGCGTTGGCGCTAGCTATAAAGGGACATCAAGTGCCAAATGCTGAAAATAAACGCTAAACAAAGATAGAAAAACATATATCTGTGACCTCCAAAGTGTATACCATTTAGCGCAAGTACGATCAGGGGCGTAGGAAGGGTGGAGGGGGTTGGGGTCCGGCCGGGTGGCACTTATTCTGTATATAGAGTGGTGGCATCTTCGGTCAAATGCAGAGTTGTTGTTTTGTTTTTTTTGGGGGGGGGGAATGGGGCGGCAAAAATCTTTGGCCCGCCTACAGCGGCACTAACCCTAGGTACCCCTCTGAGAAACGCCGACTAATGTTTACAGTGCAATGAAGACCTCGATTTCTTAGTTTTGTTTTTTTTGGGGGGGGAGGGGAATGGGGTGGCAAAAATCTTTGGCCCGCCTACAGCGGCACTAACCCTAGGTACCCCTCTGAGAAACGACGACTAATGTTTACAGTGCAATGAAGACCTCGATTTCTTTGTTCGCATTGGTGTGTATCTAGTTCCCTACATGATCATCTGCCTTTCACTGGCAGTGTTTCAATTGCATTTTTCAACTATGACTTCTTTCCTGGTTGTTCCCCGGGTCACCATTAGGGCCTAATCCGGTATTGGAAACAGGGGCGGAATTACATCAACGTCATAAAGATGGGCTTTCAGCTCATGTAAATAACTGATTTGCGTGATGTTCGTTTTATGACATTTACTCAAACGTACACAAGATTATTACATACACACATTTTTTTTCCTAAGACCCAAATATTATTTTTATAAGGCGTTCGTAGATATCTCCGACTTCAGACTGCCTCGAATATTTAAGGGGCCTAAAGTTGTGACCTGGTAAAAAAAAAACTATCAACTTTGAATCCAGGGGCTCTAACCCGAGAAGTGGCAGGGGGCCTCCAAAGTTCACATGACGTCTCTGGCCCCCTTGATCTGCCTCTGCCCACCCCCAATAAAAAATAATAACTGTATGTTTTGTAGCTTTAGAGCAAGCAAAGTGGCGGAATAATAGTTTATAGAATTAATAATCTTCCGAGAACTGATATTATAAGTCATGCTTATTCATAGCGCACTCTTTGAAGTCACGATTTGAAGTCATTCACTCCTTGATAAGGCCGACCCTAGCATCGATCAATTTCTGTCACTTAGACGCAAAAACTTACGCACCGACATGATCGTTCGCACTTGAAAGCATCGCTTCTTTCGCACAACGCCGTCCACGTCACACAAACCCTTGGAGATATTTGACGTCATTTGCCAACGCTAGTGCCAAAGACCCAGAAGATTCATTGTGTGATATCCTCCATCAACCTGAGGCCCAAGACAGGAACACAACCTTGGGCTTGCCTTTAAAGCCGTGCTTTCCTTCTGTCTGTAGCCGCCGCCATTGCAACATGTTCCGCAAGATCTCCTACGCCGCTTCTTGTGCTTTAGCAGTCGGTATCAAGAATAAATTCGACACCCCGCAGTCAGTTCTCCTACAAGAAAACTCACTCAGCAAACTCAATCTCCAACGATGCCTGCCCAAAGTCAGTGCCGGGGGTACCGAATGCCAGCTGTACGTCGGAGACAGGATCAAGAGAGCGGTTGGATTCCCTCAGTTGACAGCCTGCTGCAAGCCGCTGAGATACAAGGACTTCATCATTTCCTACGACACCAAGAACCGCATTCCCAACTGGGTCTACGAACACCTTCAGTACTACAAATTCTACAAGGACGACCCATGCGACAGGAGAATCAACGTCTGCCCATACAAGTAAGTCAAAGTGTTCAGAATCGCGGTAGCTCATTATATTTTCATGTTCATTTAATGAAAGAATAAAAAAAAGCTGTTTCATTGGTTAACTTCTTTTCATGTGACTCGGCTGTTGGAAGGCAAGTTGGTCGGCCGACCTTTCGGTTGTCGCCCTTGGCCGCTCTTTTGAAAAGCTCACTGTGTACCCCTTGAGATTTCGTCCAAGTTTGACTTCGCATTTTAAGATATATGAATTTGTGATTTAGTCTATGTAGTTCTATGAACAGGACGTCCAAGGTTACATGACACGCCTGTCTTCTATGACAACAATGGCGTAGCCAAGGGTGTTTGTGTACTCTCCACTCCTTTATAAAATAACCTTGCTCAAAGTATGGCACAAGTCGGACCACGTGACTTCTAATAACGTGGACAAAATCCTGGCGATGCCTAGTAAGATATCGAAATATTATCCCGTTGATGACCTTTGAACAGACATATTATGAAATGCATTTAAAGAATCTAAATCCGATACACCATCAATAAAAAGGAGATGCTAATTGAGAACCGGGTGCCTTTAATTCCACTTAAGAGAAAGATAATCAACCAATTCAAAACATAACCCCCCCCCCCCCCCCCCCCCCCCGTGTCTTAGACGGGTTCTCATGTATCACATGTTTTTAAAACTATTTTCATATTGACAACTGGCCAGTGTTTTTTTTTAGGTACGCTGACTCTGTGTCACCCCGGTAAAAAAAATCCCAGAGTTGGCTTTATGCGTTTAATAAGAAATAGAAAATGAGAATGTGTCTTTCTCTCGTTCTCTCCTAACGTCTACCCTCTTCGCCCTCTTTAACTTTAACCTTGGGTTGTTGTTTTTTTGTCAACTGTAATCCTACTTTGACTTTGAGACTCGCGACAGGATAATCGAGATTTGCAATTTTATTCACATTTTTTTTCCCCCACTTCACCTCAGTGAGGATTCTGCCGCCCTTGGCAACGAGAAGCCCAAATTCCACCCCGACTGCCGAATCCATGGATACCATCGCGCTGACGTCCGTGACTACTGTGACACGGAGTATGAGCTTGGACTGATGGCAGATCCCGCCAACTACCCGTTCGACGCCGAGGCTTGCGCCGAGACTCAAGTGATGACCAATGTCGTTCCTATTGTAAGTACTCGCCCCCCCCCCCTGATCACGTGGTTAGTCGGTGAAAATGTGCCAGGAATTTCCTAGACTTTAAAAAGGCCCTATAGAATATACGATTCTAAGAAACGATTTTAAAGTTCTTGCTGGGAATTAACTCACGAACACAACAGACGCTGGTGGGATTCAAGATGGCGATGTATGAAATTAAAATGTAGGCCTATAGGTCAGCTGAATGTCATAAGGTGAACAACAAAAACGTACACGTTGAAAACGACCAAATCTTAAGGCCTTTGGCACCATTACCAGTGGCGTAGCTAGAGTTGGTGCCGCCCATGGCGGACCAAGATTTCTGTCGCTAAAATAAACTTTGCTGTTGGCCAACAGTGCTGCCACTCCATGTAAACAAAAGTAGTGCCAGGGGCGGACCGCCCCCTCTGCCCCACCCTTCTTACGCCACGGATCATTGTTATCTTGAATGTGTTTGTGTTTAATGTGAGCTCAAGCCATATGTTAAACTTGTACAGGTGCCAGGCTTCAGCTGTGGCCCATGGTTTGATCTGCAGTGCTACATTCGTGAGAAGTTAGTGAGAGAGAACAAAAGTGTTTACGTCTGCTCTGGTCCACTCTTTTTGCCCAGGTTTGTCATTGGGATAAATATTTATATATTTTTTTTCTTTTTTAAGAAAGTTTTTTCCACCTTGATTTTTAAAAATTAAATATCAAATCCATGCGGCACACCTAAGATTGCGTGTCATGCAATTTCTCAAGACGAGCCATTGATTGTGCTATTGAAACTAAAGACCTAAAAAACTCTCACTCAAAGTTTTCACATTCAATAATAATCGTCTTACATCAATCTAAATATTAAATCCTATACTTTTTTCTTCTTCAAAAACTCCCTTGTAAGAACTTAATATATAATTTTCAATATACTATGTAATACGTTTCATATATATATATATATCGGTGTATACAAGATTTTAATGTTTGTTTTAAACATCGTTATTTCAGTGATAACGACGGCAAGGTACAGATGAAGTTTGATGTCTTGGGCGAGGGTGAAGTGTCGGTGCCCTCACATTTCTTTAAGGTTGGTACATGCTCGTGTTCAAAGTTCGATTAGCTGTTATGGTTCTTAGCTATTCGCACATTATTTGCTCAAAGCTGTGTAGTTATTTTCATTGACAAAACTACTTCTTGTCAGACCTGCACGTATTGGGGACTGGGCATAGCTTAAATGTAGTTATTTTAAGTCTTGTATAATCCCAAGTATATATTTTTTTCTAGATCATTTTGACCTAACCTGACCTATTTTCCCCTTAGGTAATCATCATTGAAACCCATGACGGTAACCTGGAGCTGGAGTCCTACATGATGCCAAATGCCAAACCCGAAGAGGGTGAAGAGGTCAAGCTCGACGACTACCTAACCCCACTTTGCCAGATTGAGCACGCATCCGGCCTGATCTTCTTCCCCGAGAAGAAAGTCTGCTTCACTAGCAACAACAAGAGGAGAGGTGCCCGACTCCATGCGCTATAAATATCAACCAATCAAAAGTCCGGATGAGCACACAACACACAGAGCAAGTTTTGCAAGAGAACATCTCAAAGGATGTTGGAAGCTTACTTTCATATACATCATTTATGACCACGTGGTGCTATTGCTTTGAACTTTAACAAGGAACTCAGAATTTCACCATTACACATCGAGGAATTCTAAAAGATATTGCCTCTATTTCCACTGACTTAGTCAAAACTAATGTACCAATATATCAACTAAGAAGGAAAATTGGCAGCCAACATACACACCAACTTTGACTATATATGTATGCATATATATTTCTGTATGTGTGAATTTAAAACAAAAATGGTGCTGCGTTGTGCATAATGAAACATCAATTTGGTCAATGTATTTCTAGTATATCCAAATAAACAACCATCCTACCCAAAAAGCATTGCAATTGTAACATCTCAATTTCTTTTTGAACCATTTGAGTTGCCACTGTCATTTAATTAAAGCATTCTGTGAAAGCAATTTGTCAAATCTGCATATTATAAAAATCTACAGACATTTCAAGCTAAATAAATAAAAATAAATAACATGAAAAAAAAAAATTAAGTTTCATTATTTTTTCAATACCAATTTTTAAATATTTTAATGTAGAAAATGTATTCCAATCACCAAGGCTTTTGATTTTTGTAGTTGGTGTTTTTGGCCTCTATTTAAATATTTAGAAAGCCATTTTGGCAAGTTGGATAAGTTGAAGACTCCAACCTTTGAAGTAGCAAGACTTACTGGTATTACCAAATAAAGCAAAATCATGTTTTAGTACCAGAACTAATAGCATCAAAGACAACTATGGCAATTAATGTAAAAAGTCACATGGTGTCAAAATCCAAGGTTACTGCACTAAACTGTATTGTATTTATTTTGTTACTTTTTAAAACAAGTTTATCTCCAAAATAAGTACCTGGCAAAATGTGCACATTTTTTTTTATGGCTCTGTCTTTGTAGGCCATGTCTGGAAAGTCATTGAGATTGTTGAATTTCCTTGCACAAACAACACATACATTGTTTCCTGTAGCTTGTGGAGACAACTGTGGATGATGCATTTAACTTGCAGACCATAAAGCAGGTTCAAAAGTGCCCAAGTCATTAAACTTCAACAAAACAAAATATGAAAATGATCTCATTTTAGAGTCAAAAGAAGATGTGAACCTTGATGATCTCAAAATGTGTATTTTGTGACTACTTAACTTAAGTACTGTTCCCACCCAAGGCCTTCATTTGCACAGCAGATCAAGTGAAACAAAACTCCAAGCAACCAACTTGCAAAGTTAATCAAGAGACATGTTTATTCAGCACTGCATGATCATGTCAAAAATATAAATACAATTTTAAAAAATTCATTACAAAAATATAAACCTACATTAATTCAACTTAAAAAAAACCATGGGAACAAAAACACCCCCACAAAAGTGTCTCTTTGGAGAATGCAGACATCCATCAATTCTTTGGTCCTGTAGCTTGGCTCTATCAGCTTAAGTTCATTTGGGGACCACTGCAGCTGGTTAAAAAAATGTTATCTATATTTGAAAAGTTAATGAAATGTTCTCAACTTATTTGCATTTGTGTGCTTTTTAACTGCACCTCATGGCTGATTTTTTGTTAAAAACCTGAGTATCAGGCTTTGTGAGCAATTTTAGATCTGGGAATTTTTCTGGTTTCTGCTATTTCTATTTCCAAAGCCCTTCACTCATTAGTTGATAGGCAGACACTCGATAGGCGTTGTGAATTTAAAATCTTTTGGAAAGAGTTCATCTGCTTTGGGAATCATGGACTTGTAGGACTGGCGGATTGTGACTTCAGCGACACCAGCGATGTCACCGATTTCTGAAAGAGAAACAAATCATAATTTACAGCACGATTAAGAAAATCATTCATTTTGCATGGACATCTTAACACGGACAGACAAGCTTTAGATTTTTTACATTCTATTTAGAAATGTCATCACAATGAAATTGTCCATGGCTGAGAACATTAAACAATGTTAAACAATGAAATGAGGGGGCGTCGCCAATATGTGGTGTGCCATTCCCCATTCTATTGCTAGCCAGACAACTCTAGATGATAATGAATTAGTTCTTGACTATAACTTATGAAACCACACACATCAAGCTAGTTGGTTGCTATTTGGAGTGTTTGTGTAAGGAGCAGTAGCAAGTTTCATTTGTTAGAGATCCTTGATTTGTGTAAGGAGCAGTAGCAAGTTTCATTTGTTAGAGATCCTTGATTTGTGTAAGGAGCAGTAGCAAGTTTCATTTGTTAGAGATCCTTGATTTGTTAACACTATGATATGAAGAAAGATTGGTGGTGATAAGATTTGTTAGGTGTGATACATGTACAGCCAGTGAACTTGTAGAAAATCGTGGTATGTAAACCTATCAATGGGATAACAAAAGCGAAGGGGAAGAAGCAAATCAAATTATTTCCAGACACTGGGCTTACTTTAAAATCTTGAGATTCTGATTTACCCGTAGATGTAAAACACTATAAGAATAATAGGTCACTGGTAACTTCTCAAAGATGTTATAAGAGTGAGAAGTCATTTTGGCCACTGCACTACATTCAACTACTGTAGTGAATGCTATAAGAGTGATAGGTCATTTTGGCCACTGCACTACATTCAACTACTGTAGTGAATGCTATAAGAGTGATAGGTCATTTTGGCTACTGCACTACATTCAACTACTGTAGTGAATGGTATAAGAATGATAGGTCATTTTGGCCACTGCACTAAATTCAACTACTGTAGTGAATGGTATAAGAATGATAGGTCATTTTGGCCACTGCACTACATTCAACTACTGTAGTAATAAAAGCCGCCACACTAACATCCATGAAATTAATTTAGCCGCTTACCCTTGGCTGTTTTTTTGTCATCAGACGCCTGTGAGGCCATGTAAATAGCTGCAGCGGCAACTGAGATGGGACTTCGGCTGTAATATTACATAAACACAAAAGGATTTGAAAAATCACACAAATTAACTTTCCTTAGATAAGTTGAAAGAGAGAACTTTTCTTTTTAAATCATAAAAACTAAAAAATTTGTATACTGCAGGTAGTGATTTGATCTACTTATGGTATGTACATAGTGATTTGATCTACTTATGGTATGTACACAGTGATTTGATCTACTTATGGTATGTACATAGTGATTTGATTCAATGAGGCAGCTTCGTTATAAGTAGTAATTTAAAAGATTAAATAGATGTAGTTTATTAAGTTATGTATGTCGCTTGGTAGTGTTTTGATTTACTAGCACATATGTATGTCATTGGGTAATGATCTGATTTACTTAGATAAAGCTCAGTTGTAGAATGGGTAAATGCATCTTAGATTCCGTTGTTAGTTTATCATGCATAGTTTTTTTCTCACTATCAATGGTTTATTAAGGAATTGAAGAAGAGACGTACCCTGGTACAAGATCCATTTCTACAGCTTTACGGGCAATATGTGTGGCCGCTTTCTGAACTGAGGACGGCAGACTTAAATTGGAACAGAAGCGAGACTGGAGAAATAAAACAAGAGAAACGTGTCAAGCTATAAAATATTTAAATATTTCCTGTCTGTCCAATCATTTATTTTAATAAATTGACATTTAATCAACTTCATTATAATTTACATTTTGCTAGTTCGGATTCAAGTAAAAAAAAAAAAAGAGCAAGAATGCATATTATTATACGTTTCAGAAAACCAATTTAACTTATCTGTACAATTAATCTTATTTTTTCTAAACTAAATATTCATTTTTTTTGTAAAGAAATTTTAATTTTTTCTTAACAAAATATTAATTTTTTCTTCTCATTTATGACTTGTCACATTAAAGAAAAAACAAAGAAAATCTTTTTCCGTTTTATGTATTAAAATACTTTTTCCAGGTTTGTATTATAGTATTATACCTCATTTTTTTTGTCTTTCACAAACTTTACCAAATATTATGATTCCTTTTTCCTCTTCCATCCTTGCAGAAGTTTCACCATTTGACTCACAACTCACCATAAAATCCCCTGTAGTGATCAGATCACCATTTGACTCACAACTCACCATAAAATCCCCTGTAGTGATCAGATCACCATTTGACTCACAACTCACCATAAAATCCCCTGTAGTGATCAGATCAACATTTGACTCACCACTCACCATAAAATCCCCTGTAGTGATCAGATCAACATTTGACTCACAACTCACCATAAAATCCCCTGTAGTGATCAGATCACCATTTGTCTCACAACTCACCATAAAATCCCCTGTCGTGATCAGATCACCATTTGACTCACAACTCACCATAAAATCCCCTGTAGTGATCAGATCACCATTTGACTCACAACTCACCTTAAAATCCCCTGTAGTGATCAGATCACCATTTGACTCACCATAAAATCCCCTGTAGTGATCAGATCAACATTTGACTCACAACTCACCATAAAATCCCCTGTAGTGATCAGATCAACATTTGACTCACAACTCACCATAAAATCCCCTGTAGTGATCAGATCAACATTTGACTCACAACTCACCATAAAATCCCCTGTAGTGATCAGATCACCATTTGACTCACAACTCACCATAAAATCCCCTGTAGTGATCAGATCACCATTTGACTCACAACTCACCATAAAATCCCCTGTAGTGATCAGATCAACATTTGACTCACCATAAAATCCCCTGTAGTGATCAGATCAACATTTGTCTCCAAGTTTTTAAGGATTAGTTTAAACACCCGTCCTATTTCTTTCTTGCTTATTTTAGACACTGCACAGATCTCTGGGGGGAAGGTTAAAGATTTGAATGAGATTTCAAGACAACCATTAGAATTAAACAGACAGTGACTTACATGTCCTGCTGGTGACAGTAAGCAATGTGAACTGGATTCAGGTTGGATTCAATCAAATAGCAACATTATTAATTTACACTAATAAACATATTAAATCAAGCGGTCAGAATATAAAAATATAAAAATTCTTTTATCAGCGGCCATCCATTACTGATGTGAACCCTCAGTGGCTGGCGGGTTTCATGAATTTTCGATTGTATATAAATTTTGTGACTACTGGGGAAAAGGGGACAAAATGGGGGTGGGGGGTTGAGGACAACATAGAAAATATTGTGAAGTCATTTACGGATGCAATGATTAAAATAAGTGAAGAATAAGTTCACATAATTTATTTTTTATCGCACACTCGAAGTCAAGTTTATAAACTTAAAGGAATGTAACAACATGTAGTACCCTTAAGCTATTCCTATAACTACATGTAGTAATTAAGCTATTCCTGTAACTACATGTAGTACTCTTAAGCTATTCCTGTAACTACATGTAGTACTTTAGCTATTCCTGTAACTACATGTAGTACTTAAGCTATTCCTGTAACTACATGTAGTAATTAAGCTATTCCTATAACTACATGTATTACTTAAGTTATTCCTATAACTACATGTAGTACTCTTAAGCTATTCCTATAACTACATGTAGTACTTAAGCTATTCCTATAACTACATGTAGTACTTTAGCTATTCCTGTAACTACATGTAGTACTCTTAAGCTATTCATGTAACCACATGTAGTACTCTTAAGCTATTCCTAACAGGGACTCATTTTTAAGCAGAGATGAAAAGTTGTTTCCCCAGGAAAGCGTGGCGACCTACTTTGTCAAATCAACTACTTGGCAGGAGATGATATGCACCACCAACCAAAACCCTAGAGGCAAACAGCTCAGAGGCAGATCTAGGCTTAGATGGATGGATGATGTGGAGAGGGAGCTACAGCAGCTCAGAGGCAGATCTAGGCTTAGATGGATGGATGATGTGGAGAGGGAGCTACAGCAGCTCAGAGGCAGATCTAGGCTTAGATGGATGGATGATGTGGAGAGGGATGCTACAGCAGCTCAGAGGCAGATCTAGGCTTAGATGGATGGATGATGTGGAGAGGGAGCTACAGCAGCTCAGAGGCAGACGTAGGCTTAGATGGATGGATGATGTGGAGAGGGATGCTACAGCAGCTCAGAGGCAGACCTAGGCTTAGATGGATGGATGATGTGGAGAGGGAGCTACAGCAGCTCAGAGGCAGATCTAGGCTTAGATGGATGGATGATGTGGAGAGGGAGCTACAGCAGCTCAGAGGCAGATCTAGGCTTAGATGGATGGATGATGTGGAGAGGGATGCTACAGCAGCTCAGAGGCAGATCTAGGCTTAGATGGATGGATGATGTGGAGAGGGAGCTACAGCAGCTCAGAGGCAGACGTAGGCTTAGATGGATGGATGATGTGGAGAGGGATGCTACAGCAGCTCAGAGGCAGACCTAGGCTTAGATGGATGGATGATGTGGAGAGGGAGCTACAGCAGCTCAGAGGCAGATCTAGGCTTAGATGGATGGATGATGTGGAGAGGGAGCTACAGCAGCTCAGAGGCAGATCTAGGCTTAGATGGATGGATGATGTGGAGAGGGAGCTACAGCAGCTGGGAATCCAAGCATGGAAAAGTAAAGCATCAGTTAGTTCTGAGTGGAAGGATGTAACCAGGCGGCCAAACCCCTACATGGGCTGTGGCGCCACAGGGATGGATGGCTATGCGTAATAATTTTTAATACTTTTTAAATTCTTTATATTAGCTTCACTTTTCTGTGTTTAGGGCAAAATCTTTGGACGGTTAATTGTCTCATTTCCCATCAACCTTTGAAATTTAACTTGGCACGTAGACTTGTTGCAGATGACAACACATTCTATCACATGACAACACATTCTATCACAGATGACAACACATTCTATCACATGACAACACATTCTATCACAGATGACAACACAGTCTATCACATGACAACACATTCTATCACAGATGACAACACATTCTATCACATGACAACACATTCTATCACAGATGACAACACATTCTATCACAGATGACAACACATTCTATCACATGACAACACATTCTATCACAGAGGACAACACATTCTATCCAACTTTTGGCCCCACCCCACAAGCCCACCAATCAGTTTTCCTCCCAAAGAGAAGATGAAGGAAATATGATGCCACTCATTTCATCAAATAAATTAACAAAAAATGCATACAAAGGATTTATATGAAAAACATTTTTTTTAGGGGTTAATTTTCTATAAATAAACGCAGATAATTATGCTACCTACTTTTGCAGTTGCCGTTATGTGAAACAGAAACAATTCATTTGCGGATACTAAGTTAAAAAATAAGTTGACAGATTAACATCTCAGGACAATTAAAATCAGATTTGTTAACAATTTTAATCACTCTTATGACCATAACCATCATGTCCTTTTTAAACTTTGACAAAGAAATCAATATCTTAGTCAAACATAAATGACAATTTATTTTGATAGCATTGCTGAAATTGTGATTCCCAAAACTCATCACACTTGGAAAATATTGTATACATTACTAGTTAAATGGATGCATTTACTTCTCTTTAAAATACTACATCATTCTAAAGCAGTGGTCGGCAAACTCGTGAGTCAAAAGAGCCAAAAATCAGCAGCAGGACCATTAAAAAAATTTTGAGAGCCAAATTTCTTTTCAAGAAACTGCCAAGAACCATGTTTTTCGGAGTCAAAACCGATTTTTGGCTGACAGGCCGCCCCGCACTCAGGTCGCTTAAGAGCTGCATGCGGCTTGCGAGCCGGGATTTGTCTACCACTGTTCTAGAGGCTCACCTTTTAACGTTCGGGGAACACCTTCCTGCCTACAAGCGATGTACATACATGCTGACACTATGGCATCGTTGCTGCGACCTTTCAAGGCTTTCCCCTCATGAACCTGCTTGAATAATGTGTTGGCTCTATCCTGAAAGATAACAGGAGACTTGTATTGAACTCAAGTATGGAGCATGACATGATATTCAGACCAATTTCACTTGCTAACATCCCCCACCCCCTTTCTTATTTTATTCCCTAAAGCGAATTTCCTTATTTTATTCCCAACCATATGCCTACTCAGATTTCCTTATTGTATTCGCTACCATACACCTACTCAGATTTCTGTATTTTATTCCCCACCATCATCATCATGTCCCTTAATCCTTGGACCGTTGGGGCGCCACAGATGACATAAAAACTATCCTTCTCCATTCCCTTGTTTTCTGCACTTGGCACAGCATCGTCTAGTTTTAGTTCTGTCCACTCTTTGATGTTACCTTCCCATCTTTTTCTCTGTCTTCCTCTTCTTCTCCCTCCTCTCGTGCCCTGCATGATTACTTGGGCGAGCGCTTGTTTTCTTCTTACCATTTCAGTTTGCGCTTTTTTTAAATATTTTTTTTTTTTACAGATTTCTTTATTTTATTCCCTACCATACACCTCCTCAGATTTCCCTATTTTATTCCCTAACCCTGTTTATTCCCTGTTTTGTTTGCTGGCGAGGGCTTCTTGCTGACACATGAATTCTTTGTTTACTTTTTGATCAGGATTTCCTCAACCCTGTGTTTTATATTTCCTATTAAATATTTCATGAGAGATTCCAATCTAGAATTGGTGACCTGTAACAAATGCACAGCTCAAATAAATTGTTAAAATTGGTCTAGAGGGAGTCATATCCATCTTTTGGTTCACAAGCATAAAATTAGCATATTATCAATGACTTTGGCTATTCATGGGGGAATGAATCAACCAGAAGCCAGTAACCAACCTTTCAACTCCTTGGGTTGGCAATTAATTTAATCCCATTTTCCCAAGATAAACAAAATCCGAGAAATGAGTACCTATGAAGCGTCTTAGATGATCTCTAGTACTTACCACTAACATCTTAGGAAGATTGAGTCTGTCTGCCATTTGACCGATTTCCCTAAATGCAGTTAGCAAAGCTCTGTCTGAACTATTCATCTGTAAGTATAAGCAAGACATATTAAGTATGGCTGTAGCAAATTTATATTAAAATTAACTTTTAAAAAAATTATTCAGTGTGACAAAATAAATCAATATAATAGGTGATTTAATAAAAATATTATCTGTATATTGTTATGAAAGGAAAAACAAGTCAAGACAATAATCCGTTGTGTGGCTTTGCTGATATAGCAAGAGCCAATCAACTTAATGTTTTTATTATGATATAGGCCGAGTAGATTAATATAAAGTTGCTATTCTGATATAGTAAGTGCCACTGGGTGATCAACATTTATTTAAAAAATAAAGCAGGTAGGGGGGTTAACCAGCAAAGATAAAATAAAGCAGTCTCCTAGGTAGGGGGTTTAACCAATATACCAGCAAAGATAAAATAAAGCATACAAAATTTAATAAAAAATAAAGCAGTCTCCTAGGTAGGGGGTTTAACCAATATACCAGCAAAGATAAAATAAAGCATACAAAATTTCATTAAAAATATATTCAGGGTTTAAACATTCAGTCATAGGGGACTCGTTAGGGAAAATCTCTGCATAAAACTTGCAATGGGTGCTCCCAGGTAGATTGATGTTGACCACCCACCAAGATATACCTGGCTCATGCTACGGCCATTTGGCCACAGAAGAATGGGTCTCTACTCTAAAACAATACATTGAAAGGAGATTCTGTGGCAAGGCAGCCTAGACTCTTTCCAGGTTTTTTGGGTGTTCCATTATCAAATATTTTAAATTTGTAATCACGCAGGAATAGGCAACTTCAAATGCTACCACATAATGGTTGACAAGCCCACATATGGATCATAAACTCATTCATTTGGTTAAAGAGATACTTTATTTTGTTGGTCAGATACAATATATGATCTCCATATTATCTTCATGTGAGAAATTTTTAAAAATTTATTTTGCTTTGGGTAATCAAAGAATCTATAGAATAGTAGTTACTATCCTAGTGTCTCATTTGTATTTACTTAGTTTACATGTTTTAATAATTGTAAAGCGCTTAGAGCTTTATGATAAGCGCTATATAAAAATGCCTAAATAAATAAATAAATAAATCATCTTCAGCTGTTTATTTATCTTGGTAGGGGTAAACATGTTCAGCTGTTTATTTATCTTGGTAGGGGTAAACATGTTCAGCTGTTTATTTATCTTGGTAGGGGTAAACATGTTGAGCTGTTTATTTATCTTGGTAGGGGTAAACATGTTCAACTGTTTATTTATCTTGGTAGGGGTAATCATCTTCAGCTGTTTATTTATCTTGGTAGGGGTAATCATCTTCAGCTGTTTATTTATCTTGGTAGGGGTAAACATGTTCAGCTGTTTATTTATCTTGGTAGGGGTAAACATGTTCAGCTGTTTATTTATCTTGGTAGGGGTAAACATGTTGAGCTGTTTATTTATCTTGGTAGGGGTAAACATGTTCAGCTGTTTATTTATATAAGTGTTAACTCTAAACAAAAAAGCAACACTCACCGTCCTCCTGTTTCTGTACATAGGCTTTCCGAATTCATCTCTTAAATTGTCACTTGCTGTCCCAGTGGCAATCATTGTTGACATGTCACTACCATCAAATAAGGGATTCTGGGGAGGAAAAAAATTATATGTAGAATTTGCTTAGAAATTCAAAAAGTCTCACAGAGACAGATCTACATATTTCCACAGAGATGACAATGAGACAGATCTACATATTTCCACAGAGATAACAATGAGAAAGATCTACATATTTCCACAGAGATAACAATGAGAAAGATCTACATATTTCCACAGAGATGACAATGAGAAAGATCTACATATTTCCACAGAGATAACAATGCGAAAGATCTACATATTTCCACAGAGATAACAATGAGAAAGATCTACATATTTCCACAGAGATGACAATGAGAAAGATCTACATATTTCCACAGAGATGACAATGAGAAAGATCTACATAATTCCACAGAGATGACAGTGAGAAAGATCTACATATTTCCACAGAGATGACAATGAGAAAGATCTACATATTTCCACAGAGGTAACAATGAGAAAGATCTACATATTTCCACAGAGATGACAATGAGAAAGATCTACATATTTCCACAGAGATGAAAGTGAGAAAGATCTACATATTTCCACAGAGATGACAATGAGAAAGATCTACATATTTCCACAGAGATGACAATGAGAAAGATCTACATATTTCCACAGAGATAACAATGAGAAAGATCTACATATTTCCACAGAGATGACAGTGAGAAAGATCTACATATTTCCACAGAGATAACAATGAGAAAGATCTACATATTTCCACAGAGATGACAATGAGAAAGATCTACATATTTCCACAGAGATGACAATGAGAAAGATCTACATATTTCCACAGAGATGACAGTGAGAAAGATCTACATACTTCCACAGAGATGACAGTGAGAAAGATCTACATATTTCCACAGAGATGACAATGAGAAAGATCTACATATTTCCACAGAGATAACAATGAGAAAGATCTACATATTTCCACAGAGATAACAATGAGAAAGATCTACATATTTCCACAGAGATGACAGTGAGAAAGATCTACATATTTCCACAGAGATGACAGTGAGAAAGATCTACATATTTCCACAGAGATGACAATGAGAAAGATCTACATATTTCCAATCTGTGTAGACAAATGGTCTAACTAACTTCTCAGCACTTACCTCAGCTGCACCAACACGAGAGTTATCTTTTGTACTTTTTTCATTGCTAAATGTTCGCCATTCTGAGCCTACGTCAATTACTCTGAAAAAAATTAATAGAGTCATACATCCTTCTTTCAGTAAAATTTTTTTTTAAGATTGAGATGTAAATTTCATTTGAAATCGAAAACTGCACTTGTTGATATAAGTGTTATGGGTACAAAAAAAAACTAGGGACATTAAATGATAATAGGATCTCAACAAATCCTTACCTGTCTCCAACTACCAAACCACAAACTGAACAAATCATGTCTCCCGCATGGTAATCTTCTACCAAAGGTATATCCGGATGATCTCTGCAAAATACTTGTGCTGAGAGCCTTTTGACAGAATTATAGCAATTTCGTTTAGCCAACGAATCCAATCACTTTTATTATAGATAATAATAATAATAACAAGGATAAAACATTTCTTTGCTTGATGAATATTACAATCAATTAAAAATTTAAGTGTTTAGCCAGGGATACTTTTATACATTTTTGGTATTGGTACACCTATTGGTTGATTAAGAGGATAAGTTCATCATCACTGATTTTATCTATGAATAAATGAGAGATCATTTGGCACATAAAAAATTTATTAAGGTCATAAGCCAGCTCTTTTAATTTTTCCATTATATTTATATTTCATATACTAGGCCCTACAATATAAGTCTATGTATTAATAGAATTAATGACAAATATAAACCATTAGTATTCAGTAGGCTTTTTAGTGCCTTAAGTCTTAAGTAGCAAAAGTAGGTCTCTTAAGTGGCCTATTTTGAGTACACATTATTGGAATTGTCTATAAGTATTGTAAAGCATCAGATAATCCAAAGAAGGTGCACCAAGATATATTCCCAACCTTTCACTGATTTAAAATTATGTTTGCAGCTTTTTTCATTTTCATCACAATCACAATTCATGTAAATATTGACGAAAAAAACAAACATTTATGGGCACTGTAATGACAGTAATCTTAAACAGTCATGGAGTAGGCTGTGACCACCCTGTTGTCAACACATTTTCATGTCGATTTATGGTTAAATTTGTGCAGAGGTGTTGCATGAACTTTGGAGGCCCCTTGCCACCTTTCGGTTTTGTGCCAGCTGCAGGGGCCAGCTCTGGGTTTGTGTAAAGTGACCACTGAATGCACTGTTTGACACAGAAGACAGTGGAGTCAGTTAAGCACTGGATGACTATAAACAAGCTTAAATTGAACGATGAAAAGACAGAGCTGATCCCCATTTGCTACCGCTCAAAAGCTAAAATATATAACTAACACACAAACCCTTACTCTCTCAGGTATACAGATAGAGTTTGCTCAAACAGTGCGAAACCTGGGTGTCTACTTAAACAGAACACTAACTATGGAAAATCACATCGTCCAGCTACGCTCCTGGATAAAATTCAAAAAGCACAGAATAATGCGGCTCGCATTGTTCTTCGAAAGCGCAAATTCAACCATGCTAAAACACTTCTGAGAGAGTTGGATTGGCTGCCAGTCCGCGCTCGCATAGAGTACAAAATTGCAACTCTGTGCTACCGCTGCTTACATGACCTGGCACCATCCTATCTCAAAGCGCTTCTTACGCCTTATGTACCCACTGGACAACTCCGCTCATCTGATAGTGGCAAACTCTCGATACCACCTGTTCGCCTTGAGACTTACAAGGGGCGCACTTTCGCATTTGCTGACCCAACAATTTGGAATACTCTTCCTAACGCTATCAGAAACAGCCAGACACTGGAGTCTTTCAAAACTGATTTGAAGACTTCTCTTTTACGCAAACACCTGCTGGGGTGATGTTGTCTATCTATATATTATCTTTTAGATGTATATTGGCAAGGCCTACTCAAATTCAAGCCTACCACCCCTGCCCCTCCTAGCCTTACTCTACTCAACATACTACTACAATACTGACTAGCCTACTACTCATCAAACAAAGGTATTGAACAGCTGTAAAGCTTTTAACGAAGTGATTATTCACAGAGCTGTGCGGATAACGCTCGCCGTTATTCGCAGATTTCGGTCTGCCGATAACGCTCGACATTATTCGCAGAATGTGATAAATTAAATTATGAATATAAAATATAAAGTTCACATATAAACATCTTCTTGGTAGTGTTGTGGTCAGTATCTCCGCCTGTCACCCGCATGACCAGGGTTCGCTTCTCCGTCGGGGAAGCTACTTTTATAATTAAATTTATTATAAATAAATTTTTTAAATAATATATATTTAATGGTTGGTTATTTCGTATTGTTATATTATAATTATATTCTTCATATAGCTTTCTTATTCTGTTCACATAGTTTTACTATTATTATTTTCATAAGTTTTGGTTACTAATGTTACACTTTTTATTTATACAATTTTATTATACTTTTCATTCTGTCCAACAACGTAAGTATTCAAAATTCTAGTTTCAATCTATTTTGTTAGTATGTTTATTCAAGTTTCGTCAAAAAAACTGTAACAACATGGACATGCAGATGAGCCGCATAAACCATGTTTAAGTCAGATACAGCTGTTTTAACTGTACAGATATTTTTCTCTAATAAACAAATAAATATTATTATAACCACTTTGAAATATTAATAACTTACTTATTCAAATATTTTATATCTCAGAGTTGTGTATAAATTTTTAGCTGAAAAAATATGTCACGTTTTATTTGTTTCATTTTATTTTCTAATAAGTATCATAATAAGTAGGGACACAATATGCCGCTCCAGAAATAGTTGAAATAACATTTAGTGATGACAATGAAATGAACATACCGGTACCGTACTTAAAACATATCAATATCATTGACATCAACAATTTTAGCTCTTGTAAAAAAAATGTTGATAATTGAAACAAAAAGCCATACTGCCACTGTTGTAACTATGGGTCTAAATACAAAAAAAAGCATACAAAAATTAATTGGAACCCTGCTGGTCGTAGGATGCATTGCGAGTCTTTGGGAAGTAAAGTTCCCTTGGGGCAATTGAAGCAGCGTTTACAAGTTTGAGTGTATGGCCAGCACAATAACCAGCCACCTTTAGTTTTCCCAGCTAAGGCCAGAGCTGGGTAGACTTAGGGACACCCTCAAGGATGAGGAAAAAATACTAGCCTTAAACTTAAACAGGATTAGATTCTGTTATTATCGTTGTAGGGCCTATATGCCCCTCCCCGTCTCTCACATGGCCGCCTGATGCAGCCACCTCTCTGCATCATAACACTGTTGCACGGCATAACTATTTCTGACATAAAATTTCTGGACTACGTGATATATCATAGTGCTTTAAAAAAAACTAAACGATATCCTATCCAGCTTTGACATCATTTAAAGACATCTCTAAAATGGGTGAAAGTGAGTCTACATGAAGAATACCGGCACTATTTTTATTCCTGGTATAACATTTAATATGAAATACCAGAAAATAAGCTATGTCTAGGAGTAGGAGGTTTGACTGGATCTATTAGTAACACTCTATAGGTCGAATAGACCCTATCCTATGTTGGCCCCTAACAGAGCAGATGTAGGCACAATTAATTGTCCTATATCCAATATATAGGCTATAGTCTGTCAGGCCTATTAAATTTTTTTAAATTTAACTTGTGCATACCGGTAGCTTCGGTTTTGAAATGTGTTTTTGCCATACTCATTAAAGATCGATCGATCCTACACTATTTAAAACTACACCCGCCCCCACCCAGGCTTGGAATGTGATGAATATGTGATCGTAATTATTTCTAGAAATTTGCGTCATTATGGGAAAATTTCTGTCTAACAATAACGCTCTGCATTATTCGAAGATTTCGGTCTGCCGATAACGCTCGGCGTTATTCACAGAGCTGTGTAGATAACGCTTCCCAACTTTATTTACTTTAATTTTTAATACCGGTATCAAACAACTCACACTGACCTGACACTGCGCAAAAAAAAATTAAAAAACTCCGCAGCCTAACTTATTATAGGTCCGCTATTAATAAAAAAATAGGGACCATTATGTGTAGGTTCAGGAAGATGTAAATAACAAGAGTAGCTCTTAAATGTGTGGCAAGCATTATTTTTTGACACAGAGAAGATTACAATCTACTGAACTCACGTTCTACTGCTTGACGCCATTTTAATGATTATTATGTTGTCTAAAGTCTCAAAATAATATTCCAGATTTTTATAAAAAGAGAACTAACTTTCAAAATGTATTGGCCTAATAATATTAAATTCCTTTCTGTTTCATGAAAATGAAGGTAAAACCATTTCTGAAAATTTAAAAATATTTTTAGGCCTAAACATTTAAAATAAATTTGAATGCTTTCAAAAATTGTATAATTATTTCAAGTAATTTTGTTTAATCATGATTGATTTAAAAAAATACTATTGTTGGTGACATTTTGTGGGAATTTCTATTGCGTTAAAAATAATGTTTATGGGTATTGCTGTGGAGAATATAAAATTCTATTAGGGCATTACTTAAGGCTCAAATTACGTATAATTTAGAATTGCAGTTCCAGCATGCCCTTCATCACAAAGATGCACAAAACTGTTGCAATAGTAACCTGTTCCGCGGGTATTGGTTACTTTTTGGGTAAAAAATCGCAGTTTGCAAGCGAATCATTTATAAAAAATACTACTACAGTCTTAGTCCCACTTAGTCCGGTACCAAGTCTTGAAAGTGGTCACAGTCAGAGTGTTGCTGTTGGGAGATGCGTCCAAGATCCAGATTCAGAATGGCTCAGCTCGATCAAGCGAAAAATATTATTATTTACTCGAAACAATTCAAATATTTACGCCAAAAGTGTACCCTCCTCACAAAATGATGCTTTGGTTGTTAGAGATGAAGGAGCTTTGCAACCATCTTATGATAAAGCTAAGAGTAATAATGTATCTTCTCCTGTTGGACAAATTGTAAAGCATGGTTTTCCCAGCACTGACAACTTGAGGTCATATGAAGATTTTATTATATCTTATGACCGAAGAACAAGAACTGCAAACTGGGTTTTGGAACACCTTACACCAGAAAAAGTAACAAGAGTTGAAGGAATTGAAAGGTAGTTCAATAATTTATCATAAATGTCATAATCATTGACTTCATTGACATTACATGACATATTAGTAATTAGACTTAGTTGTCAAGGCTACACTTAGAGCACTAGGCTAAGGATAATTCATTAAAATTTAGCATAATTTATTTAACTTTATTATTGTTGACAATTTCAGTGAGGCTAGGTTGATAATAATTGATAACAATTGATTTTTTGCAATTTCTATCGGTCTGTTCTACTACTGTTACTAACAGTGTTTAGTTAACTTGACTTAGTCTTATTCTTCTTATGTCTTCTTTGACTTGGGAGGTACAGTTGGCAATCTGCCCCAAGGCGTGAGGCCCACTGAAGATTAATGAGGGTGTCTTTAAAACAATCGATCCATCACAGGAACTTTTAAGAAAATTATTCAAATTAACTTATAAAGGGGTAGGACTGCAACAGTTATGGGAGAATTGCTGCTAAATGGAAAAACAAAAAAAATCATGACCTATACCCAGTGATATTACATTTGAGCCCTTATTCAGCAGTTTTGTAAACTTCAATAAATGAATGTCCCTATTATTATTTAATAAGCAGCCTTTATGATTGATATTGATTAATTTTTTGTCCAGATCCAAAATGAAATTTGTAGAGGATCAGTCAGTTCATATGTTCCATCGAGCTACCAACAAAGACTACCAGGGAAGTGGATATGACAGAGGGCATCTAGCAGCTGCGGCTAATCACAGGCATTCTGTAACTGCAATGAGCCAAACTTTTTTGCTTTCAAATGTAGCTCCTCAGGTTTGTGGTCTGTTGATGTGTGACAGTTACTCTCTATTATGCAGCTTTTTATACTGATTTACAATGGTATGTCAAGAGCCGCCCCCAATGCAATTGTGTGCTAACAGTATCTGCTACTCATCCCTGGGTCTGCAATAAAAAAAAATATAATTTTTGTCATTTAAACTATTAATGTTGATATAAACTTGTGGTCATTTTGGAAAATTTCTAAAAAACATTTATATAAATAATATACAATTTTCCTCTGGCTGTTTGATGAGGAAATACAGATCAATGTTATGTTGAGCATAGGTCAGTTGCCAAAAGAAGAGCAATTTTGTAGCAAGGGGCTGGTGAAAGGGGTGGGGGTGGGGAAGAAATAGCCTCACAATGAAATATCAGCAGGGGACTCTCCTGTCTAATGAAAGCAGGTATAAAAATGATTTTGTGACCTGTCTACTTCATTTTTTTGGATCATTGCCTGGAAATAAGATTCTTGTTAAGACTAGGTGTGAACTTATGTTGAGTGGAGGATTGCAATTGCCTCAGGTCATAAGGATTGCGATTGCCTCAGGTCATAAGGATTGCGATTGCCTCAGGTCATAAGGATTGCGATTGCCTCAGGTCATAAGGATTAAAAAAAGTACCAGCAAAAAAAGGGAAATACTGGTAGGTTAAAACCAACACAGCAATAAGATTTACATTGAAAACAATAAAGTTGCCAAAGATAAGAATTGATAAAAAAGAAGGTACCAACAGGTAAGAATAGAAATAAATTAAGGTATAAACAGGTGGTTGAAATAAATAATGGTACAAATTTATAGTGATTGTAAGAAATGAATTGATTGATAGAAAGTTTGAGTAAAGAAATGATGGTACCCTAATTTTTCTGTTCTTTCAGGTTGGTGCAGGCTTCAATCGAGATGCTTGGAACAATCTAGAAAAATATGTTAGAGCTCTGGCGCGTCGCAGTAAGAATGTTTACGTTTGCACCGGTCCATTATATTTGCCTAGGTGAGCTTACATTTGCTATAATAATAATTGTATCTAAATCTTTTTAAAATAAATTCTTAAATTCTTTCAACATTGTACAGGTAAATATGTGGTATTGATTTTAAGATAAACATGATGCTATTTATATTGTTATTTTATTTGACTAACATTTTGATTTACACCTAAAGAAGCTAAATTTTTTATTTTTTTGCAGACTGAATGTTTATCTCCAGACTATTAAAGTATTCATGGTTTCTAAAATATGTCTAGTTGACTCAAAAAATCCCATTACAAATAATGACCTACAAAAAAAAAGTCTAAATCTTTGGTTTGTTTAAAGCAGGGGTGGACAACCTTTTTGAATAGATTGACACAATATAATTGTTCTTTTTTTGGCAGGAGAATAATTTTTTTGAATTTACTGTAGGTGGTATTATTGAGGATTGACAATTATATGCTGTGATGATTTTTTTTTTCAAATGCTTTTACAATCATTTACAATTGTAATACCAGTATTTTACAAAAATAATTAATCCAGTTCCCCCAGAGAGTCTTAAGGGATGGGGCAGCGTTAAACTTCCAGCGGGCCATAGGTTGCCCACACTTTCCCATGAGTGGCTGCTGCAACCTTCTTATGTCCTTGGCATATATTAGTTGCATCTATGTTGAGTGATATTGTACTTTTTCTGTTCCTGTACATTCTGATGATTTTTTTTCCAAGCCTAATCATTGATTCTTACATTCTAGTTGCTAATGTGGCTTGATTTGCCCACTGAGAAATTAGTAGTTTGCCTATCCTCTTTCTGGTTCTGGTAATGTTTCGTTGCTGCATCCATGTACTGGCATCTCTGCAACGGTTCTCTCCGTTTCTACTGCCTAGCTTCATATCCAGTTTGCACAGGTCTCCCTTCACTATAGCTCAGTTGTGCACGTTTTTGTAGCCATAGTTTCTACCTATTAAATATTGAAGAGTTTCTAGCCCCAAGCTAAAACCATTCCATTAGTGGCCTCAAATGATGTAGCGGTAGCACGGGTGGCAGCCGGTAAATTCTTCTCTTGGTCATCCAAGACTTTTTGTTTTTACTAGGCCTAGATTTAAAACTAGTTAAAAAATTTAAAGCTATATTTAAAACTCCCAGAGTACTTTTTTTTTTTTTTTTTTTTAATGAACTGGTGTTAAAAGATGATTGTATTGTAGCATTGAATTGTTCTAACAATTTTTGTTAAGAACTAAATACTTAATTTATTTCTTCTCTCAATAAAACTTTTTAGGAAAGAACCAGACGGCAAATTATATGTAAAATATGAAGTCATTGGAGAAAATCACGTAGCTGTCCCAACTCATTTCTTTAAGGTAAAATTGAATATTCCATAATTGTACCATACTGGTATATCATTATGGGTAAAGTTGTAATAACTTTTTTTTTAAAAATTAACTCGTAACCCAATTAAGTTTTTCCTCTGCTGTATTTTTGTTGTTACAGTCATTAATCACCGAAGTACCAGCTGGACATTTTATATATGTCACCAAAAAGGTTTTAGCCATTTTCCATTCAAAAGTCACAAGTACATCATAGAAAGTGGAAAAGCTGATTCCCATCTAGGCACTGTAAACTTTTTCAGTTTACGATCATTTAAGAAGATACTACATTTAAATTAGAGACCATCCATATATTATGAAGAAAAAAGCTTCATATTTTGTAAAAACCAGAGATGTCACTATCCGTTATATTGCACAGTGCTTTATCATTAGTGGGATTTTTATTTTTACATCGTTGTTTTTAAACCCTTGTCAAGCAGTTAGCTCCTCCTGTCTTGTCACTTATGTACCAGGCTCTTATCTAGCTCCTCCTATTTTGTCACTTATGTACCAGGCTCTTAACTAACTCCTCCTCCTTGTCACTTATGTACCAGGCTCTTATCTAGTCCCTCCTTTCTTGTCACATATGTACCAGGATCTTATCTAGTCCCTCCTTTCTTGTCACATATGTACCAGGATCTTACCTAGCTCCTCCCATCTTGTCACTTATGTGTCAGGTGATTATCAACAATCTAGATGGTTCAAAATCATGAGGTTGTGTTTTTTTTTTTTTAAATCTACTTTCCCCTTTTTTAAATAGCTGTCTAGTGAAAGTTGTGCTAAATATTTGAAAACGTCAGATTTTATTGAACCAGTGAATGATTCACAATATTTTACATTGTTGTAACGTTTTCAATTTATTAAGAACAAAAATTGAAAAGAAAATTAAGTTAAGATACGGTATATGAAGTCTTTTTAAGCAGACCCAAAAAATGAATATTTAACTTTAATTTTTATAGTAGCCTAACGTGCCATGACCTATAAATTTTTAACGATTAACAATAATATAAAGAAATTTTCGTTTTATTTTATAGATTCAATTTTGTATATGTCACAATGGATGAAATGACCTTGAAAATAGGATATTTTGTTGTAGATAATGTGCTGTAGTTTTGCAGTGTCATGATTTGTATTTTTTGTAATGTTTCCTTTAATCATGAATTGAAGTCCGCCATGTCTGACCACAAAGTGATGATTTGAAATATTCCTCTAAAAGCTGTGTACATTTTGTGAGCAGAACCTTACCTTTTTAAATAAGCAAATAAGATATTTATTGTGATAGGATGTTTAGGATTTTTTTGGATTTAAATTTTTTGTTATTCTAATTGCCAGTAATTACTTCTTAGGCATTGGTGGACCGTAGTGCTCACTTAGCCAATAAATAAAAGTCTCATGGTTATAGAACTTCTTATTACACATCAGCTTTGTATCGACTAGGAGAAAAAAATGGAGTTTAAGACATTGACTTAGTTTCTGTGGCCAATATGAAGGGGACCTACTCCTAGACAAGGCACTGTCTGCCACAGTATGGGCTGTCCAAAGAGCCATATCAGCCATAGTATCCACCACAGATATGTCATGTGGTTAGGGGAGGCCTGAACTTGTTAAACTTTACCGGGGAGAATATTTTATCTTACCTTGTTTAGCTTTATTAGAGGGAGACCACTTTATCTAACCTTGCTGAGCTTATTAGGGGAGACTACTTTTATATGTAACAGTGTGAAGCTTTCTTCTCTTTGGTTTCAGGTAGTTGTTGTGGAAAACCAAGACAATCAGCTTGAACTTCAGTCTTATGTAATGCCCAATCAGCCACTGCCTGATGTAAAACTCCACCACTATCTGATGCCTCTAGAGATGATTGAAAGAGCGGCTGGGCTCAACTTTTTCCAAAATATTCCGAAATCCGCATTCAAGAAAATAAATGCTGTATCAGGCTCTTGATAAAATAAATAAGTGATGCAGATCTTATAAGTTTTTACAACACAGTTTTCCTATAGTAAAAGATATGTTACAAAAATTCTATTGGCGAAATGAGAAATGTGTTTTTGCAATTGCCTTAGAATAGAATCGAATAGTTGCTCGGAAATATATTTTGCGTGTGTTAAAGGAACTGTTATATATACTCATTTTTAACCCAAAGATGGATAATAGCAATGAGCATTAAATTGTAGATTCAAATGGGAGGGGTTGACGGTGACTCACCAGATATTGTTTTCCAAATAAAGAATCACTTTTTTACAATAGAGAAATGTAGTTTGTTTGTGATAGTGTGCAAGATTGTTTGTCTTATTTACACTACACATACAGATTCTCATATACACATGAGTTCAAGTTGATAGATAATACAAATAAAGATTAACTTATGATTAACCTCAGAAAACCAAAGTTTATGAAAGAAATAGAACTGTTCTTGATCAATTGGATGGATTTGAACTTGATCAATTGGATGGAACTGTACTTGATCAATTGGATGGAACTGTACTTGATCAATTGGATGGGACTGTACTTGATCAATTTGATGGGACTGTACTTGATCAATTTATGGAACTGTACTTGATCAATTGGATGGGACTGTACTTGATCAATTGGATGGGACTGTACTTGATCAATTTGATGGAACTGTACTTGATCAATTGGATGGGACTGTACTTGATCAATTGGATGGGACTGTACTTGATCAATTGGATGGGACTGTACTTGATCAATTTGATGGGACTGTACTTGATCAATTGGATGGGACTGTACTTGATCAATTTGATGGGACTGTACTTGATCAATTTGATGGGACTGTACTTGATCAATTTGATGGAACTGTACTTGATCAATTTGATGGAACTGTACTTGATCAATTGGATGGGACTGTATGATGTGAGCGTAATGAATCACTTCAAATCTGTGGCATAGGAAGAGGGTGCAGAGTGGGCGTTGGTTTGACCTTTGTCCTGGGCCACCAATGTCGCCCACCCATTGATACGGCTCTTCTTGACTTCACTATTTTAACACCAATGTCGCCCCCCCATGATAAGGCTCTTCTCGACATCACTATTGTAACCCCAAAAGTTTCCTTGAACACATGGTTTACGACTCGGTGTGGGAGAGAAATGGAAATGACTTTTTGTCTGTGACTGAACAAGGCAGTGCACTCGTAAATTGTCAATGTAAATGTTTTTGGATGTTCCTTTTAAAATAATGCTGAAATATTTGAAAATATTTGGTTGCATATACACCCCCTCCCCCCAAAACGCCTGCTGCGTTCTAGGCCTTGGCCTAATGGGAAATACGGCCCTGACTGCATAGCTCCGAGCATCACCAACTCTAATTACGTCATCGTTGTTATGGAAACAGCCACAGACACTCTGGTGGCTCCTTGTTTAAATGGAACCTTTTCAAGTGACGCACTGGCACTGCTCTTTATTTAACTACGATTTGTATTTTTAAAAGTTAGAACAAGGGATTTCCGCGATGTGGAAAGTGGCCGGAAATTTTATTTTTACCTCAAAGTCGATCGGGATCTCGTTTGATAAAGGAAACTCTGGCACCCGAGGCGTATACCCCCCCCCCCCAACACACACTCCCCCTACGATTCAATTCGTTACATTGTAGTTTGCTATTTGTAACTAGATTTTAAAAGTTAGAACAAGGGATTTCCGCGATGTGGAAAGTGGCCGGAAATTTTATTTTTCCCTCAAAGTCGATCGGGATCTCGTTTGATAAAGGAAACTCTGGCACCCGAGGCGTATACCCCCCCCCCCAACACACACTCCCCCTACGATTCAATTCGTTACATTGTAGTTTGCTATTTGTAACTAGACAACGTAGAAACGAATTGATACTCTACTAGTACAAAGACTAAGAGTATAGCTATTAGCTGTGCTGTTCACTATTCAATAACGATAGTTAAGGAATATTATTCTTAAAAATGATTTTATTTGTATATGTAAAAGCATCAAAGCTGTTCGATACCGTACCCCAAAAATTATAAAAAAATTTTGTAAGATGTATTCGTAACTTATGATCACCTAATATAGTCGATACTAATACTACTAATAATCGATACCCCACATTCCCTAAACTTTGTAGACAAAAGATTATATTGCTTAATGATATTAATTTGAAACCGTTAGGGCCTACCGACCATTGAAGAGATTTCTAACAAACATTCACCTTGTTCATTCAAGATTAACTCTTAAGAGACAATAAATAAATAAGTGAATAATTATGCGATGAATCGGCTCAAGAATGTTTTGCTCTCTTAAGAAATCTTATAAAGGATTGATATAAATCTATAGGCTAAACATAAATTATATATTTTTATAAATCAAAGAAATCGACTTCAGAAAAATGTGAGTTTGATTGATGTTGAAGCTAACGTTTTTATTTTTAGATACCATTTATATTTATAACTAATCAATAACTTATTGAATAAGTTATAATTTATTAGTAGTATTACTATTACTATTTCATTGTCAATTTATGATATTTATGTTAGACTCAGTGACTCACTCGCTTAGGGGCCAGCCATAGTTATGACATATGCATATGCATGCAAAAAAAAAATTCAAACTTTTTACCCCACCCCACCCTGCAAAATTTTTAAGACACACACCTAAACATATGGTCATGGTATAGACAGTCACAATGAGCTTTTCGTCCAGCTTGCTCCAACTGGGTCAATCATTTTCATATATTTTATAGATTGAACTTGGCTAATATTTATGATTGTCTTTGTTACTTGTTGGCAATACACACTTTTTAGAAACATTCTAAAAATTATAGTATAGATAGATTTTTTTTAAATGAAGGTGCAGCTCCAGTGCTATACTTAGCTTTGAGGAATAATAATTTGTATTAAATTTAATTGTGATGCATATTTATCTTATTTAGTTAATTTGGAAAACTTATTTTCTATTTATAATTATGTACAGTTAATCTGAAATTTTACAGATTTAGCCAAACATACACTTTATGACAATATCTTATAATTATAGAGCATGGATTCAATAGAAATGCCTAATTGTAAAATATTTAAATACAGTGCACTTTTTCAGTTCCAGTTCTTAAAATTATAGGTCAAAGCACTTCCACAAGTGTCACAGAAAACAAAATTATTTTTGAAAAAAAGGGAACTTGCAATAAGATGAATATGTTAGAGTATATATTATAATGCTTATAGTATAATCTAGTCTAGAAACTTACAATATACATTTTACATCCAGTGCAAGCCAAATTGCTACCCTCAAGCCAATGCTCTGCTTAACATCCTTGCCACCCTCTGTCCTGACTAAAATATAAAAGCATTATCTGGCGACCCCTAAAGGAGGCTTCAAAGATTGTTAAACATCATCATTTATTAAGTTTAACTGTTAATTTAATACTCTGCTAAATTGGACATATTAACTTTATAATATATGTTTCTTCAGGGAGCATTCAATGAGACTGGTGGAAAAACACTGCTCTAAATATCTGGAAATGTTTGCTGAGTGTATACAGAAGTATCCTCACACATGGCAGATGGATTGTGAATTAGAAAGGAGAAAGCTGGCCAGATGTGCAGAGTCTAAGTACAAAACTAATCTAGAGATTTATGTTGTTTCACATATTTTATTTTTAACCATGGTACAGGGCAGTGGTTTTAATCTGGTGTGGCATTCTATCTATATCAGTGTTTCTCAAACTGGGTGGGGTCTGCGATCTGCTAGGGGAACCCGAAGGGGGTCACTTAGATACAAATATTGGGCTATTTGCGATTGCTGCAGCTGGTTGCTGTGTCCCGTGGAGGAATCCAATTTAGTTCCCATGAGACTCGGTATATTCACTAAATTTTGAAAACCGCTAATATTATAGTGTAGTTGTATTGGCACACTTGTTTCTATGAATCCAGCAGAGAGTGCTTTGAATGTTAAGGCCTACTGTGTTCCTAGAATTCTTTCATCTATTGTGAGCATCAATAATCTAAAGAGTCATTTCAATTCGTATCTATCTCTTGCTGATCTCCAACAGCCGGCCTGTCAATTCTTTGAAACTGAGACTAAGAGCTAAACCTTTGAGCTAACCAGAGGATGGAACATTGGTTTGGGCGGAGGATACTTCTCCAAACTTTCTTCACACTAATCTAATTTTTTTTACAGTCCTCTGCAGGAGAAAGATTGTATGTAAAAACTTTCTCCATCTTTCTTATTCTTATGCCAAACAACCTATTGTCTCGATCCCATTTTCTCCTTGGTAAAATTTGAATGTAATTCTGGTTTTCAAACTTTAGTTAAGCAAAAATTCTCAAACATTATTGGTAGGCACTGCAATATTCATCGCCAAGCTTTAATGGTGAAAACCTTGCCTGATTTGAAAAATGTTCTCTGTGAAGTGATTACAGCAGTTAACTTCATTGAAACAAATGCACTCAACTCTCTTTTTTTTTCTGAGTTACGAAAAGAAAGTGGCTCCGGAGTTGAAACACTCTTGTTGCACTACCATGTGAGGTGTCTTTCCAAAAGGAACAATTTGAAGAAAGTTTTCCTCCTATTTGAAGAAATGCACTGGCCAAAACTAGAACTTGTTAATGCAAAGCAGATGCACCAATCCTATGAAATGTACATTCGATGACTAAGTTTTGCCATCTTTGTTGGTCACAAATGTTTTGGTAACAGAAGCCTATATGTTCATTTTATTTAATTGTAAAGGGTCCAGGAGCATTCAAAAAAATTGTGAAGAAACTCACACATGAAATCCGAAAAAAGTTTGAGAACCACTCACCTATATAGTGTGGGACCTTTTTATAAACTAAAGTTAAAGGACTGTAATTTATAATTCACCTCTTAATCAGTCAATAATTAAAACATAATACCAGTGATTTGAATGGTGTGTCACACAATTTTTTTTACTGGTAGTGTGCTGTTATAAAGCTATAGCCATTTTAATATCAGTTGGTTTTTTTTTTTTTGCAGATTTGTTTTAATGGTTTAAAATGTTTGCAAATTTAATATCACATGGAATGCTGCAAGTTATAGTCCTAGTCAGCACAATGTAGGCCAAACAATTTGAGCCAGCTATTTTTAATTGTATGAATGTGGCAAAAATGTTTGTTGTGTTTGGTACTCCCTAAACTAAGAATGTTTACCTATAGCCCCTGTAGGGATTTGGCCTGCCTCACCACTTCCATGTACTCCCTAAACTAAGAATGTTTATCCATCCCTCCCTGTGGCCCTATAGCCCCTGTAGGGATTTGGCCTGCCTCACCACTTCCATGTACTCCCTAACTAAGAATGTTTATCCATCCCTCCCTGTGGCCCTATAGCCCCTGTAGGGATTTGGCCTGCCTCACCACTTCCATGTACTCCCTAACTAAGAATGTTTATCCATCCCTCCCTGTGGCCCTATAGCCCCTGTAGGGATTTGGCCTGCCTCACCACTTCCATGTACTCCCTAACTAAGAATGTTTATCCATCCCTCCCTGTGGCCCTATAGCCCCTGTAGGGATTTGGCCTGCCTCACCACTTCCATGTACTCCCTAACCAAGAATGTTTATCCATCCCTCCCTGTGGCCCTATAGCCCCTGTAGGGATTTGGCCTGCCTCACCACTTCCATGTACTCCCTAACTAAGAATGTTTATCCATCCCTCCCTGTGGCCCTATAGCCCCTGTAGGGATTTGGCCTGCCTCACCACTTCCATGTACTCCCTAACCAAGAATGTTTATCCATCCCTCCCTGTGGCCCTATAGCCCCTGTAGGGATTTGGCCTGCCTCACCACTTCCATGTTTATCATGGATGTAAAATCATAGCATGATTACCTCTGCATTTGTTGAGCTTACACTAGTGTACTACTAAAGGTTCAAATATTAGTCTTGTAATTACAGGAGTATTACTTTAATTATACCTTTGAATGAATTAATACACCAGTAAAACGAACCCTTTGTACCAGGCCTGCACAACTCAAAATGTAAGGCGGGCCGTAATACAGTATGAAAAACTTGTGTGGGCCAAAAGAAAATAGGACAGGACTTGCGCGGGCCAAAGGAATATAGGTCAGTGGGGGAGCTATTAAGAAAATAATAAGAATAAAGAGTTTTTCTGTTACCTCGCGGGCCACAAAGTGGGTGCCCGCTGGCCGTATGTTGTGCAGGCCTGCTTTATACAATTGTTCTTTTTAAAGTTAATAATTGATTGCTTAACTTTCCGGAAAAATGAGACAGAAAGGAATACATAATTTTTTTCCTTTCCAGTCCGGAAATTCTCCACATCAAGTCAGTTTGTGCCAAACAGTTTCAAGTCTATGAGAAGTGTATGAGTGAAGCAGCATCTAATCCTGAAAAATGTACAGAATCATTTCAAGTATTCTCATCTTGTGCAGCAGAAGCCTTGCTAACTTTCAAAGCAGCAGGTAGATTAATATTGTACAATTATCCAATTAATAGTGTACCCTTTTATTGTTATAGATACAGGTACAGACATAGATATAGCCAATACTGGTTAATTATTTTATGTCTTTTTAATGACTTTTCTATTTGTTTTTTAATTCTAGAATCAAGTTCATCACCAAATTGTTCAAAAACTGAAGAGAGTTCAGATAGTAACGTATGACATCAGTAGATCTTAGTGCCTCATAAACATGTCTTTACCAAACAATTCAGCACTCAGAGGATCTCAAAACACAACATGTGAAATAACTTTTTTATAATTTATTACAAGTGTGTGATATTGATGATTAGTTATATATTTTAGAAGAATGTATAATTTCCCCATATAGTATAATATTTTCATAAAATGAACCATGCACAATAATCATTGTCTTTTGGTGAAGTTATTTGTGTAAATGAATGCAATATCCTATTCTATAAACATAGTTTTTAGTTGTGCCAAGATGGCAGAAATAGGACAAGTTGGATGGTGGGTCATCAGTGGGAAAGTTTTTAGAGCTGGCATATATTGTATTAAATTTAATTAATATACCTGCACTTATTACCATTAATCCTGTTAATAGGTTAAGTTCACCCAGCACTGATGAGCTGGTCAATATGGTGCTTATAAATGGCTTTTTTAAATCCAGTGAATTGCAAGTAAATATAGACAAATGATTTTTTTGTTTTTTTTGACAGAATTGAACACTTAATTAAGAAACAACTCCAATTATTATACATTATAGACATTTCTTTGAAGAAAAAAATCCATTTAATTTTCATTTTCTTTACATTTGATTTCAAATTCTGGGGTTAATATCCGTTTCAAATCGTAAAACAAAACAAATGTTTGACTTTTTTTTAAATGCTAAAACAAACTCAAAAAGCTACACAGATATCCCTGCAACATTTTATTTCCATAAATAACTGTCAGTAAAAATGATGGCATATCGCAAAATGTGTACAAACGGTAAACTTTTGTTTTCACACAGTGCACAAGATCTTTAAAAAAAATTCTTACTGTCAGTCAATGAACTTTTTAAACATTTAATCAAAGTTAATGAAGAAATGTATAAATACTAGCTCACCATTCTGAGTTGGGGCTGAATTCATAATTGGAACATCCAACCATTTGACTATAGCATATTTATATATAGAGATTTATAACAACAACAAAGTCTTTGGTTGTTTCAAATTAAACACATTTCCAAATGGACACATGACTTTGACATACTTATCAATTCATAGGCACAACCAAATTCATGAAACTGTTAAATAAAGGGCCCAAATTTAACAGGGCAATAGAGTTCACATTTGACAGTTTAATCTCAAAAGGGAGCGCTAAAAACTAGGACACAATGTTTAATTTTTTTTTTAAAAACGTATTTTACTACAACACAGGGCAATACAAATCTAATCTTGTTGGACCTTTTTCTTCTTCAGTTAAATCTAAAATTGAACAATCTGAAGAGTTTGATGGTCAGCCAACTATATACAAAATATTCAGTTCATAATAAAATCACATTTCACAAGTGCACCTTTTTTTTTTTTAGAGCGGACGTAAGGACCACCAGAGGAAAGAATCCTCAGCATATGATAGTACCTATAAAAAATATTTTATTTGAATTTTCAAGACTGGAGTTGACCAGTGTTCCTTTCAGGACTATTAGCACATGTAAATAGATTAAAAAACCTAACCCAAACCAAATGAATAATAAACACAACATTCACTTTAGTAAAACAACTAGTTATTGCATTAGTACTTGCAAAATCAAACACAAATTGTAAGGGGTAATTGAGTGGTAATGAACGCCAATGAACTCTCAACATCAACTCATTCACTCTTCCACGTGTCATGTGACCTTCATACAATATAAAGAAATCTACAAAACCACGTATCTTATGGCAGGTTTTAAACTTGGTGGCAGCAGATCTTTATTTAGATACCATAATTTATCATAGTAGTAAATCTTTCAGCATAAATTATTGCAATTGAGAATAATTAATAGTTACATTATTTTCTTATTCCCTGCATTTTTTCTTCAGCAAAATACATTTGTAAATCCCAGATTCCCCAACCAAAAAAATGTAAACTTTGGTTTACAAAAATAGTGCCAATATAAAATGAAACAAAGATAAAACATTTTTGAATTTTTCTATATAAATATATACAAAGTTGTATACTACGTATACATACATAAAAACATGAGGTCTCATACCGTCTAAATATCATTTAACCCCTTCGTTTTTTGTACGTTTGTACTTTTGCAAACAAAAAAAAGTCCAGATTTAATAGGAATTTTTAGGATGAAAGGAAAGATTGGCAATACGTGACAAAAGGTTATATGCGCTGAATAATTTTTAAAAGAACTTTTCAATATCAACATAACACGATGGGACAATGTAACTAATTGAAAGAGAAATTTCTCTTTTTTCCTCCAGGCACAAAAATCACTAGTGTGCCATGATGGTTTAGGCAATACAGTTTAGTTAAGAAAACACAAAGCTCTCAACTGACTTTGGCAAAACATTCATTCACTTGCCCCTTGTTTCACTTGATCCTTTGAATCAAGAGTCCAGTGCTGAGCAATTCAAAACATGCTCCATCTCAGAGAAAGAATCCTCAGATTCATTTTAACCGATTCAATTAGGTAAAGAAGATTAATGACCATGATTGCCATCGATTGTTTTAAGATTAATGAGCATGATTGCCATGGATTGTTAATGATTTGACTATGATGTTAAAAAATGCAAATTTATAATCTTGTCTTGCAGTACAAATGTATGAACCAGACTTTGCCTAGGTCATTGGACCAATGGCCGTAGGCTTACACAATGAAAATGAGCCAATATTTCTCCTACATCAAGATGTACAATAAAAATACAAATATTGTGCCCTAAGATGTGTATCAGAATAGTAGCGAAGGGGTTAAATGCTCAATCCAAAGTGACTTACAACATTAAGGAACAGTTTAAAAAAAAAAATGAACAATAGATTCATGTTAAATCACAAAATTTGTTCACTTTCATTTCAACTTTACAGCAGCTCTCACATCCATCTCTCCAGGAAATGTATCAAATTATACCACCACCTATCAAAACACAATCTTTCTGTGACATCTGAATATTAATTTTGAAAAACCCAAAGACATAAATTAAATTATTTTAAAAATGACTTCAAACTTATTGGTTATTATTTTTAAAATATTACCCAAATAGGAGGAACTGCCTCACTCTTGAAAAGGATAAAATATGTGTGTATTTGCACTCCTCTCGTAATATAATGCCCCCATGTATGAAAATATGACTTTTAAAAACCATTTATTTAACTAGTCACTCAACTGAACAAACTCCACCCCAGTTTAAAAAAATAGATTGCCTTTCTCTGGATTGTCCAAGATTCATCTCTTTGTTTTTATTACACAAACAACCTTAAAAGCATAAAAGCTTAATGAATAAAAAGCAACATTTTTAAATCAGATACTAACCCTAAATTTATTTGAAATAACTTTTAAAAATATGACTGTGGCAATTTAAAATAATGTGATTCTTAGATTGTACTGACAGATCATATACTTCCAAATCCTATCAAGGCTGGGGAAGTAGAGGTTGTTGGTATACCTTATATGAACGTGTATAACGCAATCCACATCTCATGCAAACCCCTAACTTTTGGTTTGACAAAAAGCCCTCAATTGCCATGGCAATAATGGGATCTGTTTTTTGTGTTCTCTCCATAATAACTCAATATGAATTAACTATATAAACATTTATCTTTAATAAAAAATTCAAAATCATTTATATTATATTTAAAGGTTATGCGCACTCCTCAATCGACATTAGTGACTAGACCCAAAAGATTTGGTTGCATAGGCATTAATAAATAAAGTTTACCGCTAAGGAAAAATTTCTAATACAGTTGTATAATGTTAACCCCTAATTTTAAGTGGCATTTTTGTACCGTAAATTTTCTTGCATTATACATGGTAATATAGAGTATTTAAAAAAAAAAATTTCCACATATATCCAAATGCTATAAAATACAATTATTGAAGTGTAAACCATCTATTTTTTTTTTAATTTAAAAGACATCATTATTCGGATACGGTATATCAACTATTTTAATCCAGCAACTGGATTTCTTTTCAAAAAAGGGGAGACAAAAAAGGGGTGAGGTGTATGCAGCACGAGCACCGATTGTAATCGTGGTTTTAAAACGGTGGGAAGGGAAAAACATCAATTATCTAATTTTAAAACACACACAGTTACAGTTGTTGAAATTAAAACAACTTCATTACAATGAAAATATTTTTTACATTCCCTAAAGTGTAATATCAATGAAGGTGAGCAGTTCTTTAAATTATGCTATTTTAGATGGTGCGTACAACCTGGCATGTCACTGGAGAGGCTTGTTGACCTCTTGCACTTAGAAACATCTCACTGAAATAAAAACAGGAATATCATTTAACAGGTTTTATAGGTTTAAATTTGGAATAACATTTATCTCAATCGCAGAGCTAAATTTATTAGAGCGGTTATAAACACTAAAGAGTAACAAAGTCCCACCAAAAAGATAACAAATAAATGAGAATATATTGGTGTGAAGAGAAGGAGGGTTTAGCAGAAGCTTTACTTTCACCATACTTCACCACCCTCGTGCACATGAACCAGAATGAGGTTATTCAAACAATCTAAACAAATATATTCATATCTCATAAAAAGCTTATGGTTGCATGCATCGAAAAACAATTTTAACATGCCAATAGGAAAAAAAATTCCTTAAATTAAGCAAATGTTTGAAGAAATTGGAGTTTCTAAACTTTTAAGCTGTCTATAGCTACACAAATGTTGATACATTAAAAACCATTAGCAAAAGCATTTGGTCAATTTGAGGATAAGGAAACAAAATTCACTTAAGAAAAATCAAGGTAACACAAAGACAAATGAAGGCAACACAATGAAAAACCAAGGTAACAAAAAGAAAACAGAGAGCGCTTATAAAGAGTAAAGAACATCAATATTTGGCCAAAAAGCATGCGCTACACAACACAATTTAAAATTGAGTACCAGTTGGGCTTCGCGCATTTTAATAATTGTTCATAAAAATGTAGATAGACTTGTTCAGTCTTTGATACGAGATTACAAAAATAAAATGACCATTTATTGACATGTTAACATTGAGAGAGAAAGGAAACGCAGATATTCACAGGAACAAATTAAGTGGCACAAGTCAAGCCCCTTTAACAAAACTAAAAATTGAACAAAAATTAAACCACAAATTTTTTCAATTTTAAGTCCCCGTGAAACAAAAGAGAAGAAAAATATAATACAAACAAAGAATTAAGATATTAATAAGGGAGAGGAAAAAAAATCAGTTCTCACTTCTATTTTTGTTTTCACTCGGAGTCTTCAAGTCCCCACTGAAAAAATCATAAAACGGGAAAATGATTGTGAGAAATAAAAGTACAAAGACGAAACAATCTTCAATTGCTGATAAAATAAAGGTTGTGAATTTAGTTTTCGTTGCTTAAATCTATTCACTCAAAGTCATAAACAAAAATATTTTTTTGGGGAAACTTACATATATTTTTTATTAAAGTTTGGACTCATAAGGTTACACTCTCAAATAATTAGTATATAACCCATGCCCTTGGTGGTTTACTTAAAATTAAATTCCAATACATGTTGATAAACTTATAACGTAAGCCCAAAAATTTAAATCCTAAATAACGTAACAGAAATGAAAACTATCAAACACTAACACTGATGCCAGTAGGCTTGTTTTCTGAAATTTTTTACCAAAATTGATATCAGTAATCAATGTAAGCGGCTGAACAAGGCTCAGCTCATTATTTATTGAATGTGACATGATATCAGTTTAAGAGGGCAACAAAGATTGTTTCTTTAAAGTTAGTTAAGATCTTTCCACACAGTCCAACCCACCCCCTGAAATCAAGATATAAAATAATCAACAGGTTAAGATATTCAAGTGTCCTGCAGATGACTATTACCAGATGTCTGATACTATGAGTCAATGATTTTTCTAAAAAATTTTAAAAATCCAACATAAAATTTAATGGTTTCAAGGATGATAACTTAAGCAAAAGATGGACCAGAGTTGACACCCTTGAATAATCCAGGTTAAGATGTCTGACAATTTTAAAGTGATATGTTTTTGTTGCCATGGTAAAACAGTTGAAGTGTTACTTGAAGCAAAGTATTCTTAACATGATGTAGCTGAAACACTACAGACTCACAAGAGACAGAAAGCCACAATGAAGATAAGAACATTCCAGTCTTCCTAAATCTAATGTCATGCCTAAAACAATGAGTTAGTGCCAGTTGCCTATTTCACCACCTATGCCTAGCTAAGTATGGAAGAGGCTCATAATCAGGATCACCCTTGACGATTAAACGTTGGGTTATAGAGGGAGATAAGAAAGAGATATAGAGAGAGATAAGAAAAGGATAGAGATGAGAAATGGGATAATGAGAAAGATAAAAGACATTTTAAAAAAAAATTTCACCAACCCCATGGCAGAAAATAAAAAGGCTTTGTACATATTTACAGCCGCATGTGGTAGACGAGTTAATTAACAAATAAGTAATTTCTTAAAAAATAAAACTATTTTTGATAGTTTTTTTTAGATCGAGGCCACCCTGAGAAGCCATGCTGGAATATCAATGGCAAGAAATAGAAATATGAGCAACATGCAGCTATAATGCACTGTCAACAAAAGCTGAGGGAAAGATGAGATATGATGGAAAGATGAGATTTGATATTAAAAAATGTCTTTCCAAAAAAAAAAAAAAAAAAAAATTTTTTAAATTAAGTTTTAAAAAAAAGAAAATATTCCAGTAAACCACCTGTCAGTGAACTCAGAAATCAACTTCATGAGACATTAAAAATATGGAGCTGGGAAAAGGGGAGGATAACAATATGTATAATATATTTACTGATCACCTACAGAGTTTTCTCCCCCAGGGTAATTTTCTCCTCCATTTAGGTTCATGTACATTCCCCCTTGTCCGGCCATCTGAGATTGTGACGAAGGGAGGCTATAGTTACTTGAACCTACAAAACGAAAACATTCATTGAAAAGATTGGACTTACTCTGATCAAGTGTTAATAGTAGACCGTTCTTTAAACAAAAAAAACACAAAAGAAAAGCAACAGAGAAAAACCAGAAAACATCTCAATATCAAAGCTCAATGTTAAAACTGTCCGATTAAGTCACACATCAACAAAACACTGTTAATAAATATGTGCAAGAATAAGCAAGGTATGCTGGCTGGCATGAGTACTAAGCTATAGTACCAAACACACTAACTAAACATGTTGCTTCTCATGCAGATAGCTCACAACACTTTAATACAGTGGTTCTTTTTTTTCTTCTCCTGACCACTGCCCCTTGGTGACATGATATCATATGAACCACTCCGTTATAACATACTGAATGGAAGCCACTGTGTTAGCGTCTCTTATGATAGCACCACTTTTTAAATATGCTTCATACAATGCCACGCACATGCATGCTCATGGGATTTAAACTCCTAAAACAAGTCGTCATCTCTCAACTCTTCTTACTAATGCACTTGTCTATAAAGGTGCGGGGTGCATTTAAATAATTGATTGAGGGTAATTTGTGTGAAAGAGTAAAAAACAACACGTACAGATACAAGCATCCTCATATGAGATGTGGTATTGTAATTGCTTATCAAGAAGTTACATTTTTTAAATTGAAATTTGAAAGTTAAACCTTTACCAGTCGGTGAAGAAGGATCTGTCACCATCTGTGATGAGGCTGCGGATGCTGCTTTGGCTGCGTACAAGTTGGCTTCCTCTTGCGCTTTGCCAATGTTCTTCTTGTAACGAATGCGCTTGTTTCCAAACCAATTGGAGACCTACATGAGAGAAAAAGAAAAGAACATTGGTGGCAACCAAGCAGAAGAGAGACAAACAAAGAAGGAGAGAGCAGAAAAATGATAAGATTTTCACATCTTAAGCCACAAACAGTATCATCGGCTGATACCTATAGCTCAAAGAATATTACAAATGTGAATCACAAAGTGTAGGTTTGTTAAAGAAGGACAATTCTGATAAACTGGTTTTACTTCCTTCCTAGTGAAAAATATGGTGAAAGTAGTCAAGAAATGACCATATATGCCAGAGCTGATGTATCCATTAACTCCCTGCAGTCATATTCAGTTCCATCCTCCATTTATTAATTACACTATACTCATTGGGGGTGTGAGTGCAAGGCAGAAATACAATTGTCCACTTGTAAAAAATTGACAGTGATGAATATATAATAAACTGGGAACTGCTCTTTTATTGTGAGAAAATGGAGTTAACTTTGTATTCTAATTATACATCTTCAAACAATAGTTATAGAGATTTAAGAGATATTTTTTTTTCTTTTTATAAAGCAGGAATTACAAAAAATTAGAAAGTTAATGAATAGGCCTTTGAAAATGCTACAAAATTATTGAAACCAGGTCAAATAGCTACAAAAAGTATTATTTCACCCATGTCAGAAGTCAAAGTTGTAAATGTCAACTGTTGATGTGTAAGTTATATTACATTGGTAATAATTGGTGGAAACAACAAATACTCTTGGAGAAAAATTTTCATAAAATCAAATGCACACTTAAGAACAAAAGTTTTGAAGTCGGTGAGTAAAATTGTTAAGTTAAATAAACAGATCGTAAAATTGTTATTGTGCGGCCTAGAAGCGCAACTGAGTAGATGAGCGAGAGGTTGAACTACAAGAAACAGGTTCACTGGTTGGTTTGCAACATTTGTCCTAATTTCTGTTCAGAAAAACTGGGTTATCTGCATTGCATGGTGATAGTGTTCAAGCTACTGATCAGTTACACATCCGGCTGTCACTTTACGACAGGGCTGATGTGGCGGGGATGCCATGGTGATAGTGTTCAGGCTACTGATCAGTTACACATCCGCTGTCACTGTAAGACAGGGCTGATGTGGCGGGGATGCCATGGTGATAGTGTTTAGGCTACTGATCAGTTAGTTACACATACGGCTATCACTGTAAGACAGGGCTGATGTGGCGGGGATATTTACGACAGGGATGATGTGGCGGGGATGCCATGGTGATAGTGTTCAGGCTACTGATTGGTTACACATCCGCTGTCACTGTAATACAGGGCTGATGTGGCGGGGATGCCATGGTGATAGTGTTTAGGCTACTGATCAGTTAGTTACACATACGGCTATCACTGTAAGACAGGGCTGATGTGGCGGGGATGCCATGGTGATAGTGTTCAGGCTACTGATCAGTTACAAATCCGGCTGTCACTTTAAGACAGGGCTGATGTGGCGGGGATGCACAAGTATTTAAGTGCCGGGTCACCAGCTCGGGGAAATCCGCACTGTTGATTGCGCCGACATCTTTGAAATACATGCATCCAACTAATAATACACAATACTGCTGTCAGTCGCCAAACATAGCTTAGTCAGTTCACAGAAAATGTCAATTTGCATTGTCTTTGCAGATGGCAGATTTAATGCTAGCGACTTAGCATTGCCCGGGCATCAACATTTCTTTGTAGTTCACTTCTTCAAAAAACTTCATAAATTTGAATCTTGGATTGCATAGCAGCCTGCGCAGCATTTGAATCAACATTACTGTCAGCATAATATTGCAGTTTTGCTGGCATACATTCTCTTTCTACTGGCTCTTCAATGCTCTTGTTAAGAAATAAAAGCCGGCAGTCAGATGACAGAGATGTATACAACTGCTCAATTAATATCGGTGTGACATGCTTCAGTTTTGTCACCATTGTCATGCACTTCTGTTTTAAAAAAATATACTTTTGTTGATGTACCATTCTCTAGCTGCCTCAGCCAACTGAATGCTGAGATTTTCTCAAATGTTTTGTTCGCCCATCACTCTTGCTTGAGTTGCCAGTCTTAGGCTAACCAGTAGAGTGACAAACAAACCTATTCAATATTTCGAAGAGATATCCATCTCAAAATCGTACATTGTGTATGCCAAAATTGTATGAGTAAACAGGTCTGATGTACTAATAAATTGAGCTGTGAACGAAATTTCAGCTCAATAAAAAAAGATAAGATAAAGCATTTTAGCTCGGATGTAAAAAGAAAAAAAAGATACATTATTTGCATAACATCAAACCAAATATTGATCATATTAAGAGGAAAAAAAGATTTTGAAAAATGTATAAAGAAAATATGGCACTGATTCAAAGAAAAGTAATACAAATAGATTAATACATTTGCAGTTTCTTAAAAAAAAAGGTTACACAATAACAATGGGTTCCAGGTGACGGGACGGAGAGGCTCATTGCTGAAATGATTGGTTGGTAGATGCAAACAACGAAAAACTAACCTGTGAAACATTGATGCCACACTTGCGGGCCAATTCTTCCTTAGCTTCTTCGCTAGGGTATGGGTTAGATAGGTGGGAGTAAAAATACTCATTCAAGATCTCAGAAGCCTGTTTGCTGAAATTCCTTCTCTTGCGTCTATATCGGCAACAGAGAGAATAGAAGAGAAAAAAAAGTAGGAAAACCAAAAAAATGCGCGATCTTTGCTGCCAGGAGGGAAACATTGTTTTTGGAACACTCAAAACACAGGCTACTTACGGTTGGTTGATCGTCTTCATGGGTTCAGGAGCCTCTCTGGACGCAAAGCATAAAGCAACAACAAATATAGAGAGCAACTACCAATCACAATCATTCCAGCTGTCTTTGAAATTTGTAAAAGGGTTGCAGAAAGCAGCCTTGGAAGATGAAGGCCGAGAACATCCCAGAGGGTCAAGGAGAGAGAACCTGGCGCCAGGTATTAAAGAGAGTTGGTGAAAATAAATGCCTGGACAGGACTAACCTGAGATACCGATATCCCACACTTTCTGGCAAGTTCCTCCTTCACTTCTTCACTAGGGTACGGGTTACTCAGGTGTGAGTAAAAATACTCTGTGAGTATCTCTGTTGCGTTCTTGGTGAAATTCCTCCTTTTTCGTCTAACCAAAAAAAAGAATGTCAGAAAAGCAGGTTCGCTAAGTGTTATTTTTTTTAATTTAAAAAATACCCAGCTTGAAAATAATGTTTGACCAGTTACAGAAACAAAAAATTTCAACAAAAAATTTAAATTTCATCACAAGGAAAGAAATCTGAGGGAAAAATAAAAATCATTTTTTTTTCTTTTTCATATTCACATACCAAAACTGCTTTATTGAGCTTTGAGACCACTTACCTTAAAATGATTGTGGTATAATCATGTAGTTAAAGCCTCCTTTACTTTCTCATGCAAAAGAACATATAGTCTAACTCTAAACTAATTATTATGCAAGCGATCTTAATCTTTTTCTTTTAACTGGCACAAAAAAATATGACACACATAAATTACAAATCACATACATACATACATATAAGTCACAATTGTTTTAGCTATGAATATAAAAGACCAAGAATCTAAATAAATTTTTTTTTTTAAATGGTTAAAAACAGAAGTTCTTTATTTTATCATACATGCTCTTTATAAATAATATATATATATATATAAAAAAAAAATAAATAATAAAAAAAAAAAAAAAAAAAAAAAAAAAAAAAAAAAAAAAAAAAAAAAAAAAAAAAAAAAAAAAAAAAAAAAAGCATTACAAACAGGGGTTGAAAGTTTGACTAAATATTCACCAACAAGGCAATGCCTTATCAATTGCTACTGTCAGAACATAGTGTTATGTTATATTTTGTTTTTAAGTATGGAATTAAGAACTGGTCAATTCCAGAAGGTAAAAACCTACAAGTAGAAATAAATGCAGACAGAATACAACATACCTGGCATCTAAAAACCTTGACCTTAAAATCATGACAGCTTCGCATGTGCTTTGCTTTAATTGCATTTCAATGGCTGAAAACTTTTTTCTGATGATGCCAACCATCCTCTCAATCTCTTTGGGTTGTATTGGTCGCGTGCGGCTCTGCTCTCGTAGAAGATTGACCACGTGTGTAGTGAACTCATTGCACGCCTGGTAAAAGTGAGATGTAGTTGATATCTAAACTTTAACAACATTTTGATGACTAATGAAGAAAACAAAAGTTATTTATAAAGACTTGTATGGTAATAAGATAAAAGAAAAGATATTTATATACATTGATTGAACTGGTGAAATAAAGCAGGAAGATTGACATTTAAAAAAAAAATTAATTTAATTAATTTTTTGTTGTTGTAAACTTAAACTTTTACAATATATTTAAAAAATAAACATGAAGCAAGTAATCTCTGAAAATTTGTGGTTGAAACTCTTATTTTATAAAAGTTAATCATTTTGAGCTATTACTCTACCAAATGTTGATAACAAAACAAGTAGATACATGCTTTCAATGGTGATGAAAGGAGACTTCACAGGAGAGACCTGGGCGCTGACAAAGAAGAGACCTGGGTGCTGACACAGGAGAAGTGCTGAGGGGAAACTTCAGGCTTTGGTGGTGAAATATTGTAAAGAGACTGGTTTGAAACCATCAACTTACTTGTTCATATTTTTCAAGTTCTGTGTGATAAATTTGTCTAATCTGGGCCAGTTTGGCTCGATAATCTGAGTGTTCAATGGCACTATCTGGCTGACCTCCTGAGGCTGCAGCTGTAGCACTGGCTGCTGCTGTGGAACCGCCCCCCTTCTCTGGACCGGCCACACCTTCTGCTATAAGCATGTTGTCAAGCCTCATGAGCTGAGGGTCTGGGGGTTCTTCTTCTTGTGTGTTACGTATACTCAAAACTGTTGGAGTGAAAGTCTTCATTTAAGCATTTCAAGTGTAACGATTATATATTTATCAGGCATTTAGTTTGATAACCCACGATATTAAGTCTTCATTTAAGCATTTCAACTGTAACGATTATATATTTATCAGGCATACAGTTTTATAATCCAAGATAATATGTATCAAGATTAAATAGGATAGAAATAAAATACAATCTGGAACTTAAAACCACAAAATATTTTACAAAGATTACTTAAATATCGTCATGACTAAACAAAAAAAATTTTTTAATGATGTAATTAAAGATATCTCCAGACAGATATGTTAGAGATGGTTAGGAAACTCAATAGTACTATTTATAATAGATAAATAACCAAAGCTTTTTGTCTCCCACAAAAAAAACTCTCTTGCTGGCCAAAAATAATTCACCAAATAAATATTTAAAAAATTTCCAGTGAGGTTATTTGTAAAAGCACAAAGCAACCATATGACAATTTTTTCTCTCCTCTTTATATTAATAGCAAAAGAAAATAAATATAAATAATGTCTTCAAAGATTTTTAGTTTTTTATGAAATGTCTGAATTTCAGAAGTTGGGAAATGTGCGTATGCATTCTGCCAAGGACTCTACTTAACACCAGTATGGAATATCTCCATAATCAACCCCCCCCCCCCAAATCATGTAGTGCGTATAGAATATATGGATGGATGGACCTTTATCCCTAAGGGTTATGTATTGTTGGGGGTTATTTTAAATGGACACCTCTAGGCATTCATAACATTGCAATTTTTGTAAATAGTTTCTCAAGCTCAAAAATACCTGTTTTCTCTTTAATTTCACAGAGAACATTGAACAATGCTGGCTTCATTCTATGGCAGTTAAGTGTGTGTTTTCTGAAAATAAAATTAGAAATACAAGTTTCAAATATCAAACATGCATAAAACCTTATGTGTTCATACTCTACAAGGTATGTGGAAGCTTGAATCAAAAGATAGGACAATCAGAGGAGAAAGTTTCTTCTCTTATTGTCCTGTCTTTCGTTTCCAGCTTCCACATACCTTGTGGTCATACTCATACTACTCATACCATTAACTTCACCCATGGTCGGGTTGAGCTCCTGTAGGAGACACAGTTCTTCAAATTTTATCTTAACTATCAGTCTCCCCTTATCTGAATTTTAGTACACTGCACTTCTAAATTAAGTCCCCTCATAATGCAAAAGTGGTTTAAATCTCTACATAAATAATGTATCAATTAATCCTTGTGTAAAAAATACAATCTATCTGTGGCAAACAGGAGAACCCAGTAACATGTCACACTTTGTATGAAACATACAAATATACTTGTAAATAATCAAGGCAAATAAAAATATCTAAAGAGTTGGTTAAGCATAATCATAATTAATAATAAGGCTAAAGAAGTTTTCTCCAAGAAAAATTATGTTTCAGTGATACAATCATTTGTGTAAAAACACTACCGTCACTACCGCTGAGCGTGACAAAGAAAACGCCACAAACCATAGACTTACTGTTCTGATTCAGATCTAATAAAATCATTTAAAGATCTAAGATTCTTTTAAGACAGGGGTAAATTAATCCAAGGCCAAATCGGGTGAAATTTGAAAATGAGGGCTCAGTAGGCATAAATATAATTATGTGACAAGAGCGTTCCTTTTTACGGAAAAATTTTCTTCTGGCAAAATTGCAAATGACCCATGTAATAGAGAACGCATCCAACAACATGTTGTCTGTACTAATGACTTGGCAGCTAACGTCTTGTATTAGAAAAATTTGCCTAGTCACCTATTTTATGTTATGCATATTAGTTACGGTTGGTGTAAAAAAAAAGTGATAAACTTTCAGTGACACTGCCCCCCAGATCGGAAAGCCCCCCCCCCCCACTTCTCCATCGACCTCAGGGTCTGCCTGCTCTGGTGGTACCCTGCACTGGTAGTAGGTACCCTGTGCTACTCATTTCTTATGGCACCCTGATCAAATTATATTTGTTATGAAAGCCACTGATTGAGCTCTGTCATATTTACTATTTTCAACTGTGCGTCACACCATGTGAGTGTCACCCAATGTTGTTAGCACCATTCACACTAACCTTTTGAAGCGACTGATAACTGATATGCAGTGTTTTAACACTATCTTACAGGCTGACTTGAGTAATATCTAACTAGTACTAGTACTGTCCAAAATTTGGCTGCTAATTTATATATCAGTCGGTGCAACCTTTGTGAGTTAATTAAGTTAATAGATTATAGTTAAGACTTAAGGCCTTATAATTATAAAAAAATACTATGTAAATGTAGTGGTCTAGCAATTCGGCTAAGGTAATGGTTAAGTGCCTTTTTATAAACAATATATGGAGTCCTCCAAGTAGACTTAGTAGGCAGTAGGTGTAACAAGTGTTGTTAGTAGTAGTATGTCTAAAAAAAGAGTTTAAGACTAAAGAAAAGTAGTAGTAGTTGTAGGCCTAATTATTAATACTTTCTACTGCCCACACCCTTTATAATATATCTTTTAATAAAATTCTATACTGGGCCTGCAGATGGGTATATAACTTGAGATATAAGTTTTGAATAAATTAGGTCTATATAATATATCCATTTCAATTATTAGTATTTAGGACCAATTTCATGTGTACGGCTAATATCTTTGAGTTTGAGTAGGCCTAATGCGAGTAAAGTCCATGCCCATACCGTGCTTGAGCTTCATCTAAACTTTGATCGGTTATAGTCATAATTTGTTGCAGGACATCTCCAATCTCCTGCTTTCTCTGATCTCCATGATCACCTGGTCCATATGGTCCGTCGTAAGCTTGAGGCATTACACTGGACATGTTTACTTGGCCTTGCGAAGGATGTGTTAGTCTTTGTTGATCGTCCATCTTGAATTTTCACTAAAACGCCCTCGACAGCAGCTTCGACGGCGGAGAGTTAAGCCCGAGCTCCCCGCTATGCCGCGTCGATGATTTATAAATCGGAAATACTCAAGTAATCAGACATAAACGATGAAAATATCCGAGATGAAGAACCAATGCCACAAAAAGAAAACATATACGATATGCCTTCAAAGCTTAACGAGTGATTTCACACCGATAATAAGGTGTGACGAATACTCAAGCAACTGACAGATAATGGCGGCCTGAATACATAATGTGATGTTCCATGAAAGAGAACCAATCAAAATAAAGCAACCCTCCACACTTTCTGCGCAAAAAGAATGCGCCGACAGAAATTTACACACAGGCATCATTTGATGCGCTGCTGTTAGGCTCAAGGAGGAAGGGTTTGACTGATTTGATGCGTGATTGACAAGACCTGTCAAATTTGACAACTCGTCAATCACGGCGGGAAAGCATTTAAAATAAAAGCTACGATTATAGTTGGACCATCTGAAATAAGTAGCAGACAAATCGATGGTCAAAATACATTTATTTTTTTTCGTTTAATTATACTCCAATAGTCAGAAGCGCAGGCTTTAACTTTAATAAAATTTTTAAAGCTAAGCTCAAATAATTAATTAGATCTTAAAATAAGTTAAATATAACAAACAAAAATTGTTACTAGCGCATACGAGCATTCAGAACATCGGAAAGATCAGCGCGCCGGTTATGAATTGTAATGTAAGCTAATATTAGTAATATTGAAGATAGCTAGCCAGCCAATATAATATTATATAATAATAATAATATCGTTTCTCACTCGAACGTGTTAGTGCCGTGACTCCATGCATTTGATGACATATTGAGTTGTGGCGAATCACAAGGATTATTCATAGAAACTCGTGTTTCGAACTTTCAAAAAATAAAAAAAGAAAGAAAGAAATGCTACAATTTTTTTTTTTTTAAGTAGACTTACAAATTCCGAAGTTTTTAAGCGACTCCGACAAAAGGAAGATCCGTCAGTCAACCCACAGGTTGTGAGCTGCTGTAATTTATAAGTGGGTAGGCCTCATATCACTATGACTATGAATTATGAATTAATGAATATATTAAATAAAATTAAACATAAAATTAAACATAAAATTAAACATAAAATTAAAAATAAACTTAAAACTGTTTTAACTACAGCTTTGTTGGGTGTATTTTATGTTTTTAAAGCTGTTTTGGGTGTATTTTATTTTATTAAAGCTGTTTTGGGTCTATTTTAATTACCGACGCTATTTCGGAGTTTTACCGCATAGGGGCCGTCCATAAAGTACGTCACGCTATTTTTGACCATTTTACCCCCCCCCCCCTTTCCCACGCTGTCACAAATCTCGGACCCCCTCCCCTTCCCACTCCCCTTAAAGTACGTCCCACTTTCGAACAAAGTTTTGGGTCTGTTTTAATTACCGATGCTATTTCGTAGTTTTACCGCATCGGGGCCGTCCATAAAGTACGTCATGCTATTTTTGACCATTTTCCCCCCCCCCCCTTTCCCACGCTGTCACAAATCTCGGACCCCCTCCCCTTCCCACTCCCCTTAAAGTACGTCCCACTTTCGAACAAATAAAAAAAAAATTAACACCTAATTAAAATTTAATCTTAAACACACTTCACTATTAAACTGTATTAAAATATAAAATTTCCACTTAAAAGAATTATCACATTATTAAAATTACTTTAATAGTAGAATAGTTAATTGTCGACAGTTGTCACAGTTATTCATTGAAGCAGTAACTCAATCTAGATTGAATTTGAAAACAAAAACTACAAAAATTAGACTAGACATATAATACACATCATTTATCTGCTGCTTTTTCATTTACAAAAGGTGAGGTTAAGTTTTAGATAATCTCCGATTATGCAATCTTTTTACACAGGATAAGAAGTAAATTAACGAAACTTGACCTCTCCCAGTGATTAAATAATAAAAAGTAAACAAAACAATTTGACTAAAAAAGACTAGATTGACAAATTATGTGACAAACCCTTGTGCTATATTGAATCTGTTTATTATGGGCCTGTGAGTTATGTTTATTTAAAAAAAAAAAATTCACTGGACATCATCCATCCATGGTGAAGTGAAGTGTCCTCCATAGTTACGACTGGCATCAATCTTTCAACATCGTCGTTTCCTGGAAGGATAATATTGCAGACAGATCCACTTCATCCTCATCTAGCCACTCAACATCCTCTGAATGTGCATTTTCTCTTCTGGCAATAACTGCCATGAGTTCTCTTTGCCTTCTAGTTCTAGCAGCGATTCTCAAAGGACTGAATGCGTTTTATCTGAGTTGATTCTGGAACAGTTTGGGTTGGCACATTCTCCCAAGTCCGAGCTCTGTGTTGTCCTGCATGTTTCTTCGACATTGTTTGTGAGGCAAATTATAAGTGACATACTTTGCAAATTCGATCAAGTAAGCTGGTCTACAAAGATGGACAATAAAGATCATATAGTTGTACTTTGAAAACTCCTGTTGATCTCGGCAAGGCTATACATAAAACAAGGCTTCGCAACAGCATACTAGCGCTCCTAGTGAGAGGAATCGTGAGCAACACATTCAGGAGATACACATTTCATGCTATTTTGACATAAAACTAATTCAAATGTTTCACACAATTTTTGAAAATCATTTTTAAAGCTATTAAATTCTACTAAAAAATAAATAAATAAATTAGAAATAAAATTTAAAAAAAAATAAATGTGTTACGTCACCATGGCCTGCCCCCCCACCCCTAAACTGTCACCCTTTCTTACACCCCCTCCCCTCATCTGGAGCGTGACGTACTTAATGGACGGCCCCATATTAAGACTCGTCCATAAAGTGTGCCATGCTCAGGGAAAAAGCGGGGTCCTTTGAGTTTGTAACGAGTGTGTGTATGTGTGTGTGTTTTTTTTGGTTTTTTTTTGGGGGGGGGGGTATATGACATTTGACTTCACACATTTATCTGATATCTATTTTTATCATGTATATAATAAAAAAGCTGAAATTGACAGTGTTGTCTGAAAGAAGATGCCACGATGGATGTCACTTAGTGGGTTATTAGTAATGATACGTTCTCGTTTTAATAAAGGAGTGGGTGGTTTAGGTTGAACTTTGATGAGCTGTTATTTTTTTAAAACAAATTTTGCTTAAAATAGCGTGACGTAGGCTCTACTTTAATGACCGACCCTTACTAATAAATGGCCTACTACAGTAACGAAACCAGGGTTAGTGCCACTAATAAATGGCCTACTACAGTAACGAAACCAGGGTTAGTGCCACTAATAAATGGCCTACTACAGTAACGAAACCAGGGTTAGTGCCACTAATAAATGGCCTACTACAGTAACGAAACCAGGGTTAGTGCCACTAATAAATGGCCTACTACAGTAACGAAACCAGGGTTAGTGCCCCCCGGAGCGGGGGCCAAAACTTTGACCCCCCCCTTTCACGAAAAAAAAAAAAAAAAAAAAAGGTAATTGGTCAAAATTGCACCCCCTCCATATACAGGGTAAAGTGCCGCCCTTGCGGAAAACCCCATCCTCACGCCTTCCTACGCCACTGATGAAATTAAGTTTTAATATAGATTATTTTGAACCAAATACTTCCAACAAATTTTTTTGGTCATTTTTGACACTTAACATTTGCCTGGAAGCTCATTAGAGTTAAGTTTTGATTGATATTTCCAACAATAAATCAATTGGCACTGCCCCCCCCCCACCTCCCTGAAAAATCTGAAGTGCCCTCCAGGGGGAAAATTTCTGAAATAATCACTGGTCTCATTTCAGCTAGAGAATATCTCGACTCTTCTTTTAAATTGGTGCAGTCTATACGCTTTGATAAAAACTGATTTTTTTTTTTTTTGGTTATGTTAGTTGAAATAAAACCAAACTATTTCCAATGTGCGATCATCACTGCAGTGGCGTCATTAGGAGGTGGGGGGCCGTACCGAGTGACACCCTTCCAAAGAGGGGGCGGGGGGGGGGGCGGGGCGGGGGAGCGGCGACACCCAATGAAATTTGACAATGGCTCAATCGAGTCGGTTTCATAACAATGACAAAGTGGCGCATCAAAATTGGGACCACCTTATCCGCCAAATCCATTGGGACCACCTTATCCGCCAAATCCATTGGGACCACCTTATCCGCCAAATCCATTGGGACCACCTTATCCGCCAAATCCATATTTTTAAACAGTTGATTGATATCGTAACATGTTTCTACAAGTTAATTTATTTTATTTTAAAAAATTATTATTTTGGTGTACAATAAAAATTAGTGTGTACTCATCGTACTCATCGGTTCTTAACAGCCCCCCACCCCACCCCACCGCCATGCACGACTACGCGCCTGATCAGTGTTCCTGTATACAAACCCAAGACATAATTTTTTCCAATCTTGAAAAGTGGCCAATTTCATGTAATCTCTTTTTCCGGTGTTGCAAATTTACCACGCAGGTAGACTTTGTTGTTTGAGGAGACCCTAATTAGCATAATCTACCAGGCTTTTGTCCGGCCTGTTTGGATGTCACGCTTTTCTGGTTGGGTCAAGGCTACATTCTCCAGATCAGTGGTCCCCAAATGGCGGTCCGTGGACCTTCACCGGTCCGCATGCCTAACGCTGCCGGTCCCCATAGCATAAATATTTATTGTCAAATAGAAATAAAAGTATAATTTTGCGCCTGCCTCAGGTATCTGGTATCTACTTGGGACGAATGCGCCTGCCTCAGGTATCTGGTATCTACTTGGGACGAATGCGCCTGCCTCAGGTATCTGGTATCTACTTGGGACGAATGCGCCTGCCTCGGGTAGTACTATCATTATTATTGCGGTGGTCTTATATAGCTCACCGTGCTGCACATAAAGACTATCTGTAAGTAATCCTTGACTTGGGGTACGTTCACACTAATGGCCACTGTCACTTTTGGTACACGCTCTACAAACACTGCTTGCACAGGTTTTTCCTATCCGAGACACATCGAACGAAACGATGACGTCACGACTGAACTGTTCACGTCTTGAAGCTGGATCTTCATCTTTTCTTTTCTTTCTTTTCTTTTTTTTTTTACTTTTTAAATCCTTTACATTACCTCCGCTTTTGTTCGTGTGCTTCTTTCTGGGTTTGTAGCAAAATCTTCGGAAGGCCAAGTGACCCACTTCCCGTCTACCTATCAAGCTGAGCCTTGGCACACAGACATTCTAGCCAATTGTCAGCCCCACCTTCACTCCCAACCGCCTCGAACCAGTTTTA